TATATATATATATATTGTAACATACACATATACATAGGAAAAATACGCCGTCAATAACTGCTCTCTATAAATAAATAGAAACATTTATTATTTACAATTGCAAGAATGACAATGATCATCCTCGAGCAAAAACTTGAAACCATTCGTCATCAAGCTCTTAAGCATTAGTCGAGCGACAATTCGACCCGTGTAAATCAACGTACTCTCAGATCCATCTGTTTTGTTTCGCGAGTTCTCCTAGCTTGAGATTCTTAAGTCAGATACACGAACGTACCTTTTTTTTAGATTTAGCTTACTTTATCGCGCCTCGATTGATACTACTTGCATTCTTTAACTTTCACTTGAGAAGACAGGAAAGCAGGACGGTATATTAAAATTAACCGTTCCAATAGAATCCCAACGAGAATTCCTTTAATCTCTACTTCGAGACTGTTCGAGGTCGATCATACTCATCCGATGGAATAATTCATACGAAGCCGCACAATTTTGCCGCTGCTTCTCTTTACCGATGCTTTGGAATCCTTGAGAAGTTTATCGACCGAAAACCCAGCTTCGCCCGGCGCACACAGCCGCGTGATGTCCCATAAAGGACGCGTACCGCGCAGTTTCCACTCGGAGGAGAGAATCCACGCCAGCATCAGCTCGATCGGCTGTTGTTATTGTTCGGTACGCGCTCTTGAACGGCGTCCTTTATGGGAATCGATGGGACATGCAAGTAGACTGGCACGTTACTAACGCAATGACCAGTCCACGCGTATAATATACTCCGTTAAAAAAAAAAGAGAAAAAAAACAGACACGAAGTAAAAACAAGTGTTCGATCGTGCAAAGGCGAATACCACGATGGGAGATAAAAGTCTGATCCGGGATACGGCGCGTCGACAATGACGACAGTCGTAGCGAAAGCTACCTGTCGTGTACACTTGCTCGCGCTTTGCTCTGCTTTTTTCTGCTCTCGGCGCGGCCGCATCGTGCAACGCCTAATGTCCATTGACACTATTACTATTCAACAATTCAAAATACTTATAATGATACACACAACCTTGAATAATCTCAACAGCTGCTGGCCTTAGCCCGAACTAACTTACGCATACATCGTGGATACAAAAGTAATTTCTCGCTATTGCTACGTTTTTTCGCACACGCTCTATTCTCTTCGAAGAACACCTCTCGATCCCCACACCTTGATCAGCGCCGTGCCGGATCCTCGCGTGTATCCTTCCTCGTTCGTCGTTTCTTTTTTCCAATCGCTTCCAGTTCCAGCAGTGTGTGCGCGCGCGCGTGTGTGTGAGTGTACACAGCACGGTTACGTCACACCCCGACTGAAACGTTCGTTCTCTTCATTGCGTAGTTAATGCGATTGCAATGATCAATTAGCGATTAAAATTGTGCGAACGCATCTACTCGCTCTTCTCTTTGCGACGAACAGGGGATACGCGGGAGGATCCTCGCGCACGCGGATTCGGTTCACAATAGAGAGATCGAGGGTTAATTTATTTCCTTCTTTCATTCTTTCCCTTATCGATCGATCGAAGCCTCTCGCGACTTGCCACCGCATATCTTGTGCAAAATATACATTCGCGCGGTTTCCGTCGCGATCTCATTGCCATCTGTTTGTGATCGTATTATATCTCGTATTATATCCGCAATAGAAAAATAATATTCAGTCGATTAGTTCGGATTAATACTCGTGCTTAATGAGATAATGAGGAGGAAGAGCTGTCGCGCGATGCGGGTGCTCGAATACACGTTGCGCGCGTCGTCGAAGAGCAGACAGACAGTTAATCACTCCGCGACTTGTGTCTTCTGCTTCTAACGTTGTCATCGCACTTTTGCACATCAATCGTCGGAGACGCGAAGTAACACATCTCTCTCTATCGCCGGCGCTGCTTGACGTTTGCGTACGTGGGCTCTCGCGCTTGTCGCGAATCTGAGAAAGTGCGTCGACGATTGACGCGAGGCGATCGTGCGAAGGCCGTTTCTCACGTTTCAATTTTGCTCGAGTCGACGATCTGAATAATAAAGAGAGAGGACCGACTTCGCGTCGACCCGACGATACGGAGAAAACCATCGATTTACACGTCGATCGGTCGACGACCCAACAACGTCCTTGCGAGCCTTCGCAACGCGAGCTCTTCCTCTGCGCGTTTAGTTACAATTATTTCTCTTAGAAGAATTTCGTATACGTACAATGCCGACAATGAAGTTTACGCTCCCGTCGAGATGCAATGATTCGACGTAGCGTGAATCTACAAATGCGGGCAAAGGCACCCAAAGCGCCGCCGACTCTGCGTCGTCCGCGAGTAAGAACGAAAATAATGGGGGGGAAACAGAGGCGAGAATAAACAAGCATACGCGGGAGCGTATGCACGGTCACGGTGTGACATGCCCGGTGTGATCCCCGCCAACCTTGATCCCGTTGGCGGAGAAGACCCTCGACCCTTTCGTTCCCAATATAGTCGAGAAGCTGCTCGACTCTCTCGATACAATAATGTTCGCGACACAGTGAGTTGTAGCTCACACGCACTGGGAGAGGAAGGGCGATCATTCGTATGGGCGAATAGAGAAAAAGAGAGAGAGAGAGAGAGAGAGAGAAAGAGAGAGAGAAGCCTGCATTGCGTGCTAAAATATGTGGCCGTGTGTCCCGCGTTTGTAAAAATGTAATACAATCGTAATAATAACATAGTAATAAATTATTAAGCCAGTCATCGCGCCAAAACTCGCACGTAAAAGATGCTGCGTATACGGTATACATTATATACGAGTAGTCCGTACGTACGTGTGTGTGAAATACAATAAATTAGCGTTTAAATAATATTTTGGAGATGGGGTTAGGGGGGAAGGGGGAAATTGTAAAAATGGACGTACAAAAACAAGGGGGGAGAGAGGGGGGAACGGGCAAGAAAAGAAGGAGGGTAAAAGTCAATAATTTAATAATTAAGTAAAGTAAATCTCGCCGTTGTGTCGGGGGTTTAAGTAGCGTCGGTTCAAGAATCACTTATCCACTAAAATCAAACGTGTAGAATACTGATACATAAAAAAAACATATGTATAAAAAGCCTCGGCTTCATCATCCTCGAAACAAACCCATGGCGATTATATTCGCGAAATAACTATATACTCAAGAAAAAAAGATCTTACGAAAGTTATGACAGAAACAGAAGACGAGAGGAAAGGAGCGCCGTGTCAATCAAGTATGCTCAAATAACGACGCTAATAATTAATAATGATAATAATAATAATTAATAATAACTAATAATAATAATAGTAATAATAATAATAATAATAATAATAATAATAATAATAATAATAGCGATAGCAATAGCAATACTCAGATCATAATGATTATAAAAAATATTCTCTAATTCCACATTTAGTAGAGAGCTCAAACCTAGTCTATACTTTAGTGATAATGATAATGATAATAACTATTTAATCAATAATAATAATAATAATAATAATAATAATAATAATAATAATAATAGTATTTTTGGATGAGTGTCTGTGTATATGTGTGTTTGTATGTGGTGTAAAAAGAACTAATAATTAAAAATCTACAACGTGCCAATTGTAATTGAGAATACCTAACGCACAAAAAGATAAACCGTTCCTCACATTCCTCGCGAATGATCTCGCCTCTCTTATTATACAAAATGTACGTGGACCCCGCTTATGTGGATTCGTGGATCGGATCAGCTTCGCTGACGTCGCATGCTTTTTTAGAACGAAACGCGTTTGCCCATCCAGCGGTATCAATCGAGAATCGACGGAACTTTAGTCCCGGGGAGGGGGGATCTCGGAGGGATTTCCACGAGTAATACTATGACGATAATACTAAATCGCGCAACGTTCTCCCACGTAACGTTGGATGGACACGATATCTCGGTATTCTTTCAACTTTCGCCATTAGCCCGCGAAAGGATCACTCAAGTATCTGGAAGCGACCGCACTCTCGCAGCAAAGTTCGTCGCCGCTTGCGCGCGGATGTGATTATTTTTGTTCTTGCTCAACAACGCGCTTGGTTCGTTAGTCGAACTCTCGTCGATCTAACCGTTCACTATGTCACTTTCAACGAGAATACGTTACGTCTCTCTGATCACTTAACGCTAGTGGCGCTTCCGATTTATTATTATCAGTTATCAAATGTATATCGGTAAAATCGCGGTTCTCTTTAGAATATACACCATTATATGGCTCAATTTCTTTCCTTTTTTCTCCCCCTCTACGCGAAGTTACTCTCTACTTTTATACTCTTCTTTTTTAACAATCTCCTTTGTGTAATGTCTCGTAGAAAAGATAGGAAAATGAAGTTACGAGTTTTGATTGACAATGACACGACATAGCGAAAAGCTATCGTGAGCTCTCTCGATCTATTTTCGGTTTATCGTGCGACGTCGTCGAGCTGTATTCTTTCTGGACAAGAGGGGAAAGAATGTCGAATATGTGCATCGAAAGGGGGAAGGGGGAGGAAAAAAGGATCATTTGCCGAGACAGAAGCTCCGGGTCGCCGCGCGTTTTGCTTACTTTGTATGTATGCACATACACCCCGTCGTAAGTCGTCGCCGACGACGTCACGACGATTCGATTATGTTGCTGTTAATCGTACGATTTTTTTTTATATACGTAATAACGTGCAATATTTCTCCCGCGTGTATGTATACACGCATGCCTATACATATAGGTGGTGTAGATGTGTGCACACAAATATATATATATGCACATACATGCGCGCGCACGCACACACATACATATATATATATGCACACATCTATATATTACAATATACGTATTTATACACGTACGTTGGCAACGGAGTTCAAGAATGGTTCGACCGGGCTTAACAATGAGCGCTTCTAGTACTTTTGATTTATTTCAAAGTGTGAAATTTGAAATAACATGGTAATTAACATAACGTAAACGTTTTAAATTTTCCGATCAAGTTTTTGCTTAACTTAAACACTGCTGTATTTCGTGCATTAAAATTTCACTGTGAATTGAAACAGATGTCACTATAGCCCTCGAGAACGCATCGATTGTTCATAATTGTTAGTGAATAGTCGATAAAAATTACGACGTAATGATATAATAATACGACAAATTTTGTATACAACGGTCGATAATTGACCACCTCCGTGTAAAATTTGTACAAATTTCACACAGATCCCATCACAGTATCTGTTTCGAAAATCCAGCGATTCCACTTAAGCTTAATCATTACTTAATCATGTACGTTAATACATTTTGTACTTAGTACAAAAACGCTCAATATTAAGGAAAACGTATTTAGGTCAATAATCATTCCAAGCTCAATTTTTCTAACATATATATGTATATACAGGGTATCCCGATCTCTAACATCGTTTTCTTTCATTTGTGAAGTTGACACTTTTGCTAGTGTAAAATGAAAATAAAAACTTGAAAAATTTGTTCTCGAAAGTTACATTTTTCCTATCTTTTCACAATGTTTAACATTAAACGCACTTATAAAATAGCTTCGTAAAGCTTTCCGTTTTGAGTTCTACCAACTATCGGATCGAAATCTCGATAATACCGCTTTAGAACGAAAAGATCGACTGCGAAAGAGTTCGTAGAATGAAAGAACGGCGTCGCCAACGGAAAAAAGTATTTGTTATCGTAAGGCTCCTTTGATAATGACTAACGCTAAAATAGCTTCTTCCACGGGCTGCTGCGAGCTGTTTTCGAAATCTCACGAGAACGCTTCGAGGGTCTCCACGGAAAGAGCGACAGGCTCGTTGGGGAGGGACAGAAATAAAGAGACATACGTAGTTTCGCGATTTTGAGGAGAGAAAATAAAAGCAAAGAAATAGAAGAAGAAGAAGATGGAGGACTAAGAATAGAGAGTTGGCGGGGGAAAAAAAAACATAATAAGGAAGATTCGGGAAGAGCAAAGAAGACTGCTAAATTTTTCATGTACGTCCTTAACTATCCTATGTACGTAGACTAAATCTATTTTTGGCAATGTTGTTTAGGTATACGACATGTTAGGTATTACGATACCATGAGTAGATGCACTGGCCATAGTATTATGCGCTATGTAAAGTCGCTTAACACCCGTTCCTTGTCACGCGTTATCTGTACAATTCTGGAGAAATGGCGGAGACCCCAGCCCACTATGCTTTTCTTGTTATTACATTATACGGGGGACTCGGATTGGAGAGAAAAATATATATTATATATATAAATTTTTTTATATAAATGTACTATATAATGTGACATACTATTTATATAAAAAAATATATATAATATATACATATTACATATATATACACACATACATATATATAACATAAGAGTCGATAGTAGAAACATATATGATGCTTTCGAAATATCCAAAACAACGTCCAATGTTATACTGAAATAATTTCGGCCGTGACTTTACACCGATGTCCTGTTACACCTCCACTATTTGGATATTTCTTTCCCCCCGACTAGGGAAGATCTACTTTATGTGAGAGACAAAATATCGTTCCATTCAAAAAGAGTTAAAAGGACTCCGTCGTATCGGTCTGTCATAAAAGAGCTCGGCGAACATTAAAATACAAGAAAAAAAAAGACAAAAATTGTCGTAATATTGAATAGGGAAAAAACCTCATAACATCTTGGATAAAATATCCTGTATGATCAGTTGAGAAGAGTATATCGGCTCTATGAGAACTCGGCAGAGTTATTCACAAGACATGTAAACATTGTGAAGATCCAAACTCATGGCAAGTTATATCGGAGTGTGATATTAAACCATTGATAAACACATTGAAACACATGGAAAAGATTACAATTGAACAACCCGCGATTAACCGTACCTTTGAAAGCGTGTCGTTAGCGAATCAAGTTGCACCTTGCATATTGCATTTCAAACAGCTATATTCTACAAATTAACTTTTCGCAATGTACACTTCTCGTTTTATTATCGTTATCATATTAAATGATTTGTGTAATTGTATATAGGAGGTAGATATGGACCCTAAAGTTTCGGTTATACTCTAATAAAGTGAAGGCTCTCTCCAATCCGATCCTACTTGTGAGAGAGAAAGAAAGAGAGAGAGAGTTAAGGGGGGAGAAGCCACAAAATATATATATTTCTATTATATTACTATTCATAGAAATTGGCTACGCAGCAGCAGTGGAACGATAAAATTCATGACCTTTAACGTATGTGACGTATGAATAAATGTTATCTAAGTATTATTACTTTCTTAAGTTGCCGCGCGTTTCTCGTTCGTCATCGAATGGACAGATAGAAAAAGAGAGAGAGAGAGAGAGAGAGAGAGAGAGAGAGAGAGAGAGAGCGTAAATGAGTATCCGTAGTGACGACGACAACGATACATAACGCTACGCCGTGTTCATTATTGCTTTTTCCGGAGTTTTAGCTTATGTAATTGCGCAGTACGCAGCCCGAGATTAAGTACAAGTCTTCCGAGAGGCAGAGGATGTGGAAAGGAGCGAGGGTCAGGGAGGGGATAGAGAGAAAGGGAGACGAAAGAGAGGAGATAGATAGATAGATAGATAGATAGATAGATAGATAGATAGATAGATAGATAGATAGATAGATAGATAGATAGAGGGGGGGGGAGAAGGGTGGAAGTTTAGAAATATTAATCGTTTTCGCACAATTATAGCAGTCTCGTAAACTCGATAGCATCTACAGGTTTCTAACTTAAGGCTTCGCGAGTGCATCCTCCGAATAACGAAGAAGAGAGGAGGCACGTCTGTGACATAGCTGCTAGCATGCTGCATTTTATTCAGGCCCCGAAGTTTCCTATTGCGCCAATCTTTTTCTATATTTTATTGTCAACCGCTCAAATTTTTTCGTCATCGGACAAACACGTTAAGATGTTGCGTATGAAATGCAGGATCTTTCGTTGAATTTTTCATCCGTGTCTCTTATACACGTGAAATAAAGAAATTACTTCTTCTATTCGTGTTTGGTCATAACACGTTGAACACACCAATTTTCTATTGTGTATGTGTGTTCAACTGAAATAAAACACTCAATTAAAATGTCTCATTTTGCGTTAAATGTTGATCAAATTTGTTTCCCTTTCAACAAAAAATTAATTTACTGTGTCGCCTAAAATCAAATGATTTTAATTTTGGAAACTTCGAAATTGCAATGAAACATTAAACAGGTTTGAAATTGACTTCTATTGTATTGTATTGAGTTTTTCACTTTTTAGTCGATATAACTTCTATTAGAATTAATAAACCAATGTTATGTTATTGGTACCTTGTACCAATCAGCCATAATATCGTATATTCTTTTTCACATTTCCCTATCATACTCTAGATCTTAGATTTCCTGACCAAGCGGTTCTTGGTCTTCAGTATCGAGTGTCTTATTTCGTAACTTATTGGAAAAAGTGAATTAATTACGATAAAACATATTTCGATTATATAATGAGACTCCTATATAAAAAAGCTGTAAAAAGAGATTCGATTTCGAGAAATATCCATATTTTTCAAAAATAATAGAACGACAATTAGCCGTCAATTGAAATAACTTAATCAACGCAAACCCCCGTTGTAAAATATAAATATTTAAGTTAGAAAAAACATTATAATACTCGATATCGTCAAGTAGTAGTAACCAATATACCACTTGTATTTAAAATAAAATGAAAAATCCAACATTCATGGTGCAACGGTATAAAAGTTCGAGAGGACCTTCAAATTTGGAGCGTAATGCAGATGAATGTTGAAAGTCAAAACGACCTTGCAGGTACGCCATTGGAGAGGCCGTCGCCGTCGCCGTCACTGTAAAACCCCCGATCAAAACCAGACGACGGCGATAACGACGACAACGACGAGCGTCTCCGAGAGGCACCACGGGTAGTTCCGCGGCACATGTATGTACAACGGACGAGCGTACAAAATTTTGTATAAAAATATTTTCTTATATGTGTCTCTGTGTGTTCGTCGGTCCTGTGTACGTGTTACGTGTGAATGTATGTTTGTATGTGTGTGTATGCATGCGTACGTGCGTACACGTACAACGTGTCTGTTTGTCTACTTTTGTGTGTGTGTGTGTGTGTGTGTGTGTGTGTGTGTTGTGTGTGTGTGTGGTGTATGTACATCATGAATAATTAATACTGCGTAATTAATATCATCTCGTTTCATCGTGCGCGCTGAGCGAGAGAGTAGTGGCTCTCTTCGTAACACCGTCGCGATCTACCGCGTCCGTCATAAAACGACCCGCTATTTCTTAGCAGAAAGAAACGGAGACCCGTCGAACGGACTGCGTCGTCTAGAAAGCTTCCATAAGCATACCTAGCCGTGAAAGTCGACTCTCTCAATGCGCCTGATCCGAGAGCGAAGTCGCCACCAAATTCAAGGGAACATCGGAAACGTTCTCCTCGTCACCTTCTTCTGCTTCCTCGGTGTCCACGGACAAGTGCCGCTGCATACGCGTACCATCGGCTTTCACATGTTGCTGTAATTTCAACAAGTCATGATTGACAGAGCCACGAACTCACGGTGAAAAAGACATCACGGAACACAAGAACAAGTGTGAAAAATTCAACAATGTTTAACTTGTCTTTTTTCGGCTACTTTCAAGTCGCGCCGGGTCGTTGCAGATGAAACAAAATTGACCGTTGCAACTTTAAGGGCGGTATGCATAGTTGGATCTTATATTTAAGATCGTCCTAAATTCATCTTTGGCTGCTGCTGCTGTACGAATCGTTTCATTTGGCTACAAAGCATCTGAAGATGAAGACGACTTTAAATATTAGATCCGATTATACGAATAGTGGCCTAAAAGCGTAGAAATTTCGGCGATGTCACTCAAAATAATCTGGCAGAAGGATACGAATATAAAAATATCGCATTTCATTTAGACGCTCGTCCGTACAACGAAAGTGTTAACTTACGTGAATCATGTAACCAGGCAAAGGTAATGAGTAATTGAGTTGAGCGGTAGGCGGAGGCGGATGACCAGCGGCTATACGCGGGGGCGTCAACGCCATCATCAGATGGGGCTGAATTTGTCGTCGAAGTGCCTCCATCATACTGTCATCGCGATCCATTTGTTCCGCTCCTTGAGGCGCTAAGATCGTGTTTCCTTTCTCTGAGAATGTTATTAATCTTCAGGTGGGATCATTTTATCTCGAATTTTCTCTGGTAAAATCGCTCATACACTCATACGCGGTCAATATATGAAGGTCTCTAAAGAGAAATACTGCAATTTCCATCAAACGGATCTTTCGTACTTACTTCTGTGCCTCGTTGGTTTCTCGCCTTTGGGTCTGCGCCTGCGTGTATGTATGGTGTCCCTCCGCATGGTAACCGGACGATTAATGCCGTGTAGCTTGTAATACAGCCCGCAAGCATTGCACACCATCTCGCCCTTCATGTTTCTTCTCCAGATAGTCGTCGTCATGGTGCCGCAATTCGAGCAGGTCATCTCGACCTTCTTCGCAACGTTGCTACTCTGTTGGTCGAACTGTTGTTTCTGCTCGTCCACCATCTGAGATAATCGATCGGCGATATCGCGTGTGATTACTGACGCTGCTGCATCCTGTGAACGTAGTATCGTCGACGCTCTGTACAAAAATACCTTGCTCTTAATCTTGTTGGACCACGTGGTGAAATCCTGCGCTTGTTCTTCGTTGTGTTCATGCTGATACGCGGTAACGACGTCCGGACTCGCCGGAGCCTTGCTCGGGTAACTCTGTTTCCTGCGACCTTTCGTCGTTGTCGTTTCCTTACGACTGATGCTGGCGGGGCTAGACGGATTACTGTCTATCGAGGCACTCTGTCACACATGGGATATCGTATGTCTCTCTGATATTTTAGACCTTTGCGATACAGAGAAACGGCTTAATTTGGTTTCCGAGTTACTGCCGCATTTTTCATGAATCTTTCAAAAACGCAACAATAACTCCGAACTCAAATCTAAGAATATGTTTCTTTACTTTATTTCGACATTATCTCTAAAATTTTGCAAAAAGTTCTCTAATTAGACTTGAGATATGACATGATATTATTATTGTTATTTCTAAACACCACAGAGTCCGAATATGAACGTGACTAAATGTGAAAATTAAAGATTAACCCGCTTTTTTTTAACATACTCGAGACGTATTGTTCATCTTTCATTCTTTCCAGCTAAAATATATAGCTCACACATCTCTGTTTTTTTTTCACACTTTCTATCTGTTGTATGTATCACAGCCCTGAGGATCTCAGCAATTTTCTAACGGAGCGCGCAGGTATAGCCTACGGATTTACGGTAACGCTTTCTATCTATTATCAAGATGAAAAGACGCGAAAAGGGCACAGCGCCTAAGAATCCCCCAAAAAATCTGTTATGATAAAAACGCGAGTTACACTAAGCGTGAAGAAGGGATAACACAAAATATCAATCGTTAACAATGTATTGTCAGAATGTATAGCAAAATCCGAACGTTTATAAAATAACGAAAGATACTCGAAAAGAGAAATAGGGACTATTTGCTATTTATACTTGTAACAATATATTGATAATTTTTTATATTTGATTTGGAGAAAGTTATTTTCCGGAGCAAAAAACCAAAAGTAACAACAAGAAAATAGATAACAACTTTAACAAATTAAAACAAATGGAGAAAATTAAATAATGTTCACTTTATATACCGAATACGCGATGGAACTTTTCCGACACATTTTTTCACTTCTATAACACTGAAATAGGAAGCTAACACAATGAATCTCGAAGGTGTTGCCGGTTATCTTTTATCTACGGGACGATACCTGCAAGTGAATGTATTCTGAATAGACCTAAAGGGATTTCTCAATAGACCCGGCGACCGAACGGTGGTCACCTACCGAGGGGTCTTAAAGATTTTCCGTTGCCATACCTGCGGAACCTTTTCTGTTCTGGTATCTATACTAAATGTACAGATGTTCACATTTGGCAAGGGACTTCGGAGAATTTCAGTTTTTCGTTTGCGGCAAGATGAAATGTTCTCTCGTTGCGCTTACGGCACGTACGAAGTGTTTCACTTCGAGGAACAATACGTACTCGTAGCTTTTCATTCAAGAATTTTCCAACTGATTCTTGTAGAAATTTATTTTTTTATCTATCTGTTCGGCGTTCGCTTACCTTATTTTCTAAAGCTGTTACATTGGTACGATTACCGAGCACAGGACAATCGGACATGGTACGCTCTATGGTAGTCCCTTGGATATCCCTGTAAAATCTGACTTGCGAAGATAACTTATCCGAATCAACTGTTGTAATACCGATCTGCCTATTGTTGATCAAAGTGCGCAGCAGATTGGTCGCTTCGCCGGTAAATCCATTGTTCAGCTTATCGCCGTTCGTCCGAGTAATTTCCAAGCTTCTATTGCTGCGTTAGTAATAAATACAAATGTATAAACACACGAGAATGTAAACACACGTATAATTTGTATAATCACGTAACTTCTTATGATTATTATTATTATTATTATTCTCGTATATATTTGTTGCAAGTATCATCTATTTTCAGCAACATACCACCGATTGTAAGATCGAGCGAAAATATTTGCAACATCGCGTTGAATAAATAGATCTTACGCAAAAATAATTTAATGGCGATGCCACCTTGCCAATATTTTATCGCCAAAAATAGAAAAAATAATTGGAGAATACATAGTTATCGAATACAATGTGTCGTCTATCTCCCTCTATCTCAAACATTCACACGTTCACACGCACACATGCACGCATTGCGCGCGCACACCGTACGCACGCCGCCACACTTTATCTGTAAACAGTTGACACATTGTACCTGTAAAGCTCAGATAGTTACACATAGATAAGGAAGGTAGGCAAATATTTACCAAACACAAACAGGCTTGGCTAACTTACTTAGCTAGGGCTTGCCACAACTTAGTCGTTTCCTGGTCAATGTTGGTGTCGGAACAATTGCTCTCCGGAGTGTCCATCCGATTAACCGGGCTACAATTGGCTGTGTTAGGCTCGGAGTCATCCTGATTGCTCTCTAGTTTAGCTCTCTTGCTGATGCTGCTCGTCTCGTAACCGTTTTCTTCGCTCTCGGTATCTTGTTCGTCACGATCCTCGATCTCCAATCGGTCGGGATCCGAACTGTTGGAGCAGGTGTCGTCCCCTGGCTCGCACTTAACATTGTACAACTCTGGCATGTCGTCGTTATGCAATTCCAGACGATGCGTTTGTATTTGAGGTATTACGTTTTGATTAATGCTGGCCGGCTCGGAGTTAGGCTCCTCACTGAACAGTGTTTTGCTCAATTGGAGGAACGATTGCAGAGGGTTTACACCCGCTACTTTGGCAGTGGAGAAAGACTTTATCTATAAATAAAAAAAGAATAGAACAAAAATATTACCTTTGTCTTATTTCCAGTCTTCTTGTTAAGTCTGCCAAGTCAATCGAAGCAATATTATATTGTGTCACATTGTGTCACGGTGCATAATTAATTATATAATCTTATGTAAAGTAAAAATTGTATGATGTACCTGCTCGTCGTGAGACAGTTTCTTGGCATAATCCAGGTACTGTTTGAGTATAATGTCAGACTTGTGCGATGCCTCACGAAAGCTGTGCAATGTATCCAACTTAGATACACACCGATGGCAGAGACTTGGTGGTAGGGAATCACCATCCTTCACCTGCAAAAAATGCACTACCTATTAAGGTGATGTCATGAAAAAGCCGGTTGTACTTAAGGAGAAATGTATCAATACACACATAGACTGAAATAATTTTTTATAATAAGATTCTACTTGGAGATTCTGCAGCAGTGACTTTGTGTCAAATAAAACTGACTAGTATATAGTCAACGCAGAAAGCTTAATAACAGTATGATAAAAATATAAAGACACAATCATAACAAGTACTTTCAACGAACAAAATACGAGGGGCGAGAAATATATTCCTAGGATGAGGAAAAACTCGAACTCGCCGCTTATGTAAGTAATTCGAAAGACGTTCGCTCGCTGTGAAGTTATCACGCGAGATAATTCACGCGCTCGCAAAATTCCGAGGTTCGCGGTGCGTGAGAAATGGATACACTCGTGTTTCTAATTCGCCTTCTAACTCGCGTCGATGCCGGGATATCGATAAGGTGAGAGACACGGATAACGTACGATACGTGACAACGGAATCCGCGTGTGAAACCTGATAACGTGCCAACCAAATAAGGAGCCGCAGTTCTCTCCCCTCCCCTTCGACTCGCACCGTAGTTCCGCTTCTCGTTCGCGCTGGGCTTATCACTGCCATTTTAAATGCCGCTGCTGCTCGTCGGCTTATCTCGCGGACACATCTCTTGCCAAACTTTCTCCCGTGGCACGCGCACATACACACACACACACACACACTCGCGATGACGCGATCGCGAGCGCAAGCGTGATCGCAAACGAGCGGAGTCAGAGAGAAACGGAGAGGAGAGGGAGACTGAGACAGAGAGAAAAAGAGAGAGAGAGACTGACTAAATCTCGCGGTAGAGAGCGCGAGAGAGCTTCGGGTGCGAGTGAGAGAGCTGGTGAGGGAGTCAGCGAGTGAGCGAGAGAGAGAAATCGAGAGACAGAGATGGAGGTAGACGACGGTGACGACACGGGAAGAACGCAGACGGAGAGACGCATACACAATTGTGCGAGTAGTACAGATGGTCGCGTTTGATAAAAATGGGAGTAATCGTAATACGAGATACTCACTGTGAGCGACAGACATGTCAGTATCTTCTCGGCGAAGTTTCGCTGGGCGCCCTCCTGCTCGAATATGGACAACTTGACACCGTCCGACGATAAACAAAGGCGACACAGCTCGTAGAACTTCGACGGTACCTCGTACATAATTGCGAGTTCCGGCTTGCCTGCGGCCCACGTAAAGCGCGAATCATCAAGAGATGAACTCTATCAGCGGTCGACGTGCGATCTTTCTCCACTGCCACTATATACGCGTTCAGCAACGAGGATGGCCTTACGCGAATCACTTATCACAGTCACCGCCGCGGCTCATTGTCAGCGGCACCAGTACACGCACCGTCGCGTATCACGACATACAAAGGTGGACGAGTTCCTAGTCGGAGAGTCCCAGCAAGCCATCGGGACGTTACGCCCTCTAGAACGCCTGTTTATCACAATCGCTTCATTGGCGATTTCTGATTGCGTTCCGAAATGCATATTTGGCCGGCAATGCCGACGGTTACATTCCAGGAGATCGATTGCGCATCTCAAAACGTCGTGACAGTTACAAAAGTGAACGAATTATTAAATTACTGGAATATTTATATTTCATTGGTCAACACCCGGGCCAATTGTTTCAACTTCTCGGTAAAATTTATCCGACAGATTTATCTATCAGGTAAATTTTTATGTGAATGATTTAAAAATGAATGCGCCTATATACTGATATATACAATGTCGATGCACTTATCTGCTTGGATTAACCGTAATTTTTGCCTTCCAACTGAATTCCAGCAAAAACGAATTTTCATTTCTTGCTGGATTCACTATTTCATCGCGCACGCGCGAAAAGCGAATTTGCTCTCCACCATTGCCTTAGATTATTATTCAGGAAGAGCGGAATTTGCAAAGTAAGGGGAAATCAGTGATAGAAATTCATCATCCGGTTTCCGGATACGGAAATTCGAGAAACTACAAAGATTGCTTCTCAGTAAGGAGACAGGAAGAGGCACAAAGTTCTTTTATTGGCCGAGTATCATCTTGAGATTATCTTCAGATGACACGTAGCCAATGAAGCGACTCTGTGTCTCTATGCTTCTTGCTGAAAAGCAACCCTAATAATGTCCTTGCACCGAGTCCCTCTTTTCAATAACCGCGCATTCACGAATGTGTCGCATATCGAACTTTTGCAACTTGCACACGTAATTTATACACGTAGATACGCATTTACGCAACATCATGGATGAGAAAGCTGACGATGTAATCGATGTTTAAACATTCGTTTGACTTCCGCGGACCAATGCGTAGTGCGTGTTCTTCGTACCGCCATGTAGTCGGCTGTCCGCCATTACCGCAATTTTCGTTCGCCATCTTCTCTTCCTCGCGTGGCACCGGGGTGCGCGTAGTTCTGCGTAATTACCTCCCAATTTGTCAACGAAGCACGGCACTCTCCACGATTTATCACGAGAACAACGTAACTCACGTAAGGGCAAGATGAGTTACGGTAGGCCACCGCCCCGCATTGACGGTATGGTTTCTCTGAAAGTCGACAATCTAACGTATCGGACAACACCGGAAGATCTGAGGCGGGTGTTCGAGAGATGCGGCGAGGTCGGCGATATTTACATCCCCCGAGATCGCTTTACGCGCGAGAGCCGTGGTTTCGCGTTTGTCAGGTAAGCATCAGCATTCATCATCGCATCGTTTAGCTCGTCGTCGAACCGTCCGAGCGAACCTACGCGTGTACGCCGATGATGCTGACGTCACGACGCGATCTAGAGCACACCACATTCTCGCGCACTTGTGCGTCATTTTTCCGCTTCTGGGAAATACTTTGATGATGTACTACTCGTTCCAATGTGGATAATGTATTGTGAAATAGGTTTTTTGGTAGTTACAAGTTCAGACTAACGATATCGGCGAGATAGCAGATTTGTACGAATGTATTTTAACATCAATCTCGTGTGCGTAATTTTATTCTTCTTTCATTGCCTGTGCTGTAGTGATGATTTGAAGGAGAAAGTGGCACCATTTATCTAGAATTAATAATTTTCTATGTGGAATAAATGAAAATCGTGTGAATAGCTGTACGATCTTCTTCTGTTAAATTGAGAAATGTTGCAATTTCTTTGTCACTAGCTATACCAAATTTTCTAAATTTTCAACTTTACCTTGTATATGTGAAACATAATTAAATAAAAATTTGGGTCAGGAAAATACAGCATCCAAATATTAAAGTAGTTAGCAATTTAAATCCTAAGAATGTTACAACAGGTCAAGTAATTTAAACATATATTTCTGTTGCAGATTTTATGATAAGCGCGATGCTGAAGATGCGCTGGATGCTATGGATGGAAGACTGTTGGATGGCAGGGAACTTAGAGTGCAGATGGCGAGATATGGACGTCCTACGTCCCCCCATCGAAGTCGTGGAAGTCGTCGGCGTGGAAGGTGAGCTTTGTAATTTTGATATTTTATGCTCTTTTGTTCTAGGTTAGTTGTAGCATTTTAATTAGCATAGCTTAAAATTAATTAGTGAATATAGACAAAACAATTTCCTATTATATGACAATTTTTTATTATATATACAGGATATTAATGAATTGATATGAAACAAGCTCTGGAGAAATGGCGCAAAATAAGTTAATATATTATTTATATGCTTTTATTATTATGTACATAGGATTTATGTACTCTAAATATCTATTACACGATAACGCGTGATCGGCCGTTTGATGAGAACTCGCATCACGCGATATCGCGTGATTGGCAATGAACGTTTTAACATTATTTTATTTCCATCAATCAACGAGCTATGTCGCCATCTTTACAGTACTAGCCTACCGCATTGCACATGATCATTTGCCAGTTTTCTTTAATTAATAATTAATAACATTTACATGATTGTTTTTGGAAAATGGCAGAGGACATTTTTGTTCAGTTTGACCCAATTCACCTGCCCTCAAATACTGAAACATCAGTACGCTGTATTACTGTAAGGAATAATGATAATATTTTAAATATTTTTGAACTCGTGGTTTTCTTTGTTTACAGATCACGAAGCAGAAGCAGAGACCGACGACGCTCCCGATCTCGATCTCGTAGCAGGTCGCGCAGCCGCGACAGAGATCGCAGGCGTTCTTACAGCCGTAGCCGCAGCCGTTCTCGCTCCGACAGCAAGAGCTCGCGCGGAAAATCTCGCTCTCGCAGCAAATCTCAGGACAGGCAAAAAGACAGTCGTTCCAAGTCAAGGTAAGACTGTACTTTCGTAATTTCGATTTTGCCACCGAAAGACGAATTCTGCAAATCATGGAGTGTTTCTTCATCATCAATTTATAAAATAACAATTCTGAGAATTCTGTACTTGAGGTTTTAATTAACTGCTGGAAAAAAAGTCTGGCTGTATGATTGGTGAAAATGCAAATTTGGATAAATAAATCAGTGCTCTTAATTCGTTACTTTACCACGTGGTCACGTCTATCACACTTCACTACATATCACGTTTTAACGCATAACGCAAATTCGGATACTTGGAATTGATCCCATTGTTTTTCTACGCGGCACACCGATGAATTTAGATGGTTTATTATGGTCGATCGATTCTGTCGTATATTTTCAGGGACTGAGGTTCTCGAAAGAGTGTGTAACAGGATAAGAATGAGTGCGCGAGCGTCCAACGAATGCCGAACAATCTATGTTGAGATTGAAAAAGGTATTCCATCACACTCTATAGCAACACTGTCGCACGCTTCTTCACGTTCTATCATTTTAAAGACATACATATTATATACATACATATATTTGAATTAATATTACGCGTCTTCCTCCTGTTTCGGAGGCCGATTAGTTTCTCAATAACATATATATATATATATATATTCTTTTTCTGCGTGCTTCTCCTTAATTCGCGTTAATAACACTTTTGTTGTGCAACAACATTGTTTAATTAACGTTGTTTCCGTCTTACTATCGGATGAATTCTTTAGAATTTTGTTCGTATGATCTACCTTTGGAGGTCGTACGCATTTTGTGTATCTAATTCTTGTGGATAGATATTACAATACTACGTTTGTGTGTTACGTTTGATGAGGTCCTCTCAATGGCGACATGTACCATTCATATATATTTTTCACCGACGAATAATAATATTACGAGATGGAAGAAAATAGCTTTCCTTGCTACGTTTTATTCTTCTACTTTCTAAATCATATCGGTTGTCCGCCGCGCGAAGCTACGCTGATTAAGCTTGGTACACACTTGCAAACATTGGTGACAAACATTAGTCACGAAGTAAAATTTACTCGTAAAATTCTACAGATATACTTTGTAAGAGGTAGAAAATAACGAGTAAGAAAAAACACGAGCAATCATGGATCTGTGTATTAGAAGCTCTGTTGTATGAAGTATTTCTCTCGTAAAATTTATTATTATCATGATCTTGGATTCACATTTTATCTGCAAATAGATTCGATACATTTAGATTCGATACATTTTAGTTGTGCAAAGAGTTAACACGATCAATGAAGATAGTCAAGTGTTATGTCGAAGGTCTATTAGTCTGTTCGGGATTTAAATTTAATGTTGCATAGCCACGTTCAACCAGTTTGTCATCTCATTTTACTATGTAAATTGATAACTTACAAATGCAATGCGATAAAGATAACTGGAACCTTTTCTATATTGTCGTTAGGAAGCAGCAATGAATTAAACAACATTTGCTGCATAAAAGTAATGTGGTATACAAAGACATTACATGTTACTTAGCTTCAATATAAAAAAAAGGTCGCTTTAGTAACGTTCTTTTCGCTTATCGAAAGTGTTTGCCAACAATGTATCTAGGTGTGTGTACTGGGTTCACAAGGGAAGTCCTTTATCCTCCCTGAGAATGAATTCAAAGTTTTAGGTTTTTTCTCACGCACGACAATACATTTCTAGAAATAAGTTTGCGTTGATAGGCAATCGCTCATGTAAGTCCGCACACCGTAGATTCATTTGTAATAAAGCGCAGTGAGTTGCAGAAGACAGAGCTGTCTACGTATCCCTTGTTTTTCCTTTGTGGATTTTAATGTGTAACGCTCGACCCACCTCTAGGTTTTGCGTCTATACATATTATACATATATTGTATCACATATATATATAAAATAAACATTTTATATATATATGTGTATAATTTTTATACATGTGCATAGTTGCAAATGAAATGTCGGATGATTATTACTTTATTGAAATATCTGTTAAGATTGAGATTTGTCAGAAAAGACTTTACCAGAATACATAAATCTTTCCCAGATCGGTATCAAGATACTTTATATTATAATTAAAATTCTTGGTTTAACTTTGCTAATGAAAGGAATGATCGCGCAAATTCTTATTTATCTTATATAGACTAATAAATTACGAAATATATCTGGTTGAAATAAAGAACGAATTTTTTTGTTTACCGGGCTTAATTTTTCAGACGATATACGAAAAAATGCATTCTGCATTTGTGGCATGTATATTTTATTAAAAATCACAATAATGTGTAAATAAGAAATAATTTAACGTCACTAATGATTCCGACATTTTATACTCAACGAAGGTATATATCTGTATATATTGTTCTATATTATTACATATATATAGTACTATATATGAAAATATATTCGCTGGCGATTGGCTGGCTGTTGGTATTGTTGCGTCTTTTGGAAATCTAGGAGGCACGAAGCTTGTAGATCCTTGGATTCGGGGGTGGTTTACTCTGAGGTATCGGATTAGTCTCTCGCGGAGAATTCAAGTTCGCGTGTATTCGATATAACTGTTACAGTCAAAATGTGTTTGTGTGTATGACTCACTTTATTTTGATGACAATTTTTGCGCACCGACTTCAGTGATCGGCTCTTAAAACATTGTATGATGATCTTGACATAATACGACCTGTAGTGTTGCTTAGAATGAATACAATCACTTATTATATCGAGTAGAAATGCATTATAAATAGGAAACAGTCAACAAAGAGAGCATTAGCATATGTGAATTTGGTAACAGCCATGAACTATCAATTGTTACAAGTGTTATACTCGTCCCTGGAGGATACTTGTATTTTACAATATTCGGTAATTCAGCTAACATTGAACATTTTGACTGCAACATACCCCTCCGTGTTTCCGTCGGTTTATTCTCTCACTTATACCTACAGTCCCCCCAAAAAAATAAAAGCAAAGAAAATTACTACTCCTCTCACACACGGATGCGACACATTTATTCTCTGATGACTAAGTTGTGATTTTATGGTGCCACAGGCGGTGGAGAGGAGTGGCGTGGCGCGGGGGTAGCTGAGAGTAAGCAGTAAGCCGAGTAGCAGGGGGCTGTAAGCAGTTCGCAGTAGCGAGAGAGAGCGCTGTTGATGGTGCGGTGCGGTGCGGTACGGTGCGATGCGGTGCGATCCGGTCCGGTCTGATGGTCTGGTGATCCGGTGATTTGTGGAAGGCGGGTTTGCGAGAGGTCAGGGCGAAAGAGAGTGAACGAGCGAGCAAGAGAGAGAAAGAAAGAGAGAGAGAGAGAGAGAGAGAGATTGGGAGCGAAAGGAAGAGAGAGAGAATGAGGGAGTGAAAGTTTTTAAAGAGGGAATAGAGAAGCCAAATGTGATCTGCAAGTTAAAAACAAACTATGATTCTGTTGCTGGCTTGTTCGGACGACGTCCGGAGCGCAACATCGGGTTCTAGCATCACGCGACAGGCCATCACCAGACCAGACCTCGCGAACAGAGGTGCCTGTGATTCATAAAACATCGTAATCATCGATCGAGCATCGGTAAACGCAGTCACACGACACGGTAAACTATAGTAGACCATAGCGCTCACATCATTGTGCCCTGAGAGTGGCAGCTCTACAGATAGTAGTCTTAGGATACGAACGACTGCGTTCGGCAGATAAAGCAGCTTAGCTAAGCATAAAAACGCCGCGGCGGATTTTTCGCCGAACGACATTTGGCCGCGTTTATGATTTTTCTCACATGTTTATGTTATTAAGCGGTCCGGCGTGTTAAAAGTATGTTGGAAGAAACTGCGATCGCTCAGTAAACATGATGAAAAATCGTAAACCACTGTTGTCGTTCAGCGGATAATTTTTTACGACCGTTGCGAAGCTGCTAGCAGTGGAAAGCGTTTGCTAAGCTGTTTCTGCTGAACGCAACCAATGCCATTCGGTCTAACCGACGAAGCTTTGGAAAACGCGAACCTACGGAGCATAGGAAAGCTTGGCTAACCAATCAAATATTTTGGACAAGACCCCCTCCTCCACGTTCTTTCGAAATTGAACACGTGAGAAACTCCATGTTTCTCGGGAAACTAGGCAAAGTACACGAGATGTTAGACCGTAAAAGTACCCTTTTCTCAAAGTGATTTGTTGCAAAAATGCTTAATTTTTAACCGTCGTGCAATCATAGATTTCAGTCAGAGCCACAGATGTCTTGAAAGAATTCCACGTTAGATGATCTTAACTCCTTACATGGCAAACCCACCATATGGCAGGCAATATTTGCTTGATCCAACGCGGCAGGCAAGCCCGCCATATGGCGGGCGGGGTGAAAAATATGTTCAGGATCATATATCGAATACCAATGATATCTTGGGGTTTTCAAGATCGCTGATCATGAATCTGAACTCAAAATTCAGAAGTTCAACATGGCGGATACCCGTGATTTGGATAAACGTCGGTACTCGGGGATATTTGAGATTTGTTGATTACAAATCTGAATTCAAAACTTGTATTCAGTGACCAAAAAATCCTCGAGACCGAGTTTCATCAAAATCGAACTATTTTGATTTCCCTGCCCCGTTTGGAGCACAAACAGCAAAATTTTGCTTGCCACGTAAAGGGTTAATTTATTGTTAGTTTATCTTCTCACTATAGAGCTGCCTCCGACAGTGCTTATCGCGTGTCATTCATAATTCATCTTTTTATTTCGTTTACGTTACATACATACATGCGTATATATCGAATACGGTTGTTGTGCAGAAAATGCTTCATTTATTTTGATCATTTGAGATATAATTTTTATTCATTGTTGCTAAAGGATATTTTTCATTTTAGCAATTTTTCAAAGTAAATGTTACTTTAAACGAAGCAACGGGATTTACGAGCTTCGATAATGACGTGTTATAAAAATCACGACCCTCGGTAATCTCGAAAGGTCTTTTTAAATGCGAAATGTGTGATGACCCATGCGAAACCGTACAATTATAGCTCTCTTTTTCCATCGGAAGCGCCGCAGACGATGTGGAATAACGCATGTACTTTATAGATATTTTCGTTGGTTTTTACAGATCACACTCGATTTCATGAAAATCGGAGAATGGACTTTCTCGGAGAGAACTATCTTCGTATTTTTTTTTTATCATAAATTATCGTGTGTTTTCAACTGTCACGTATATTAGCAAATGTTACAAGTAATGAGGATAGGAGAGCTGAGTCTAGAAAGGTTTAAGATGGATATAGGCGGAATTTTTGAGCGTCCGAACACGGAATCGGTGTTAACGCATGAGACGACGATGCTATTGCATTATCTCAGTCCCGAGCAATTGCCACACATCACCTGCCTGCGAAAGATTTGATACTCGCAACAGCGTCACACCGACCGAAGAAACTTGGAAGGAATATGTTTTCTAGGAAGATTTTTTCCCATGTTTCACCATGTCTTTCTTTCAGATCTAAAGTGTGTAACTGCTCACGGGCCTATGTAAGTATTCGCATATGTGGAAAGTGTGTTTTAAAAATGACCGTATAAAATATTTCATCTTAACGAAGTAACATGTACAACAATGGATTGTGCAGATGTTGCAAAGATTAATAAAAATCTGGTATCAGGTAAAGAAATATATTTTTTTATTGCTCTTTTCGACTATCGTCCACAAATGTATCCCTATGTTTCCGTTTTACATTCATATGATACACGAACGATACTTTCTACCTTTCCTAATAAGAAACAACACGGATGTTCGAAATATGTCGTAAAGGATGTCTAGATTCTCAACAAAAAAAAAATAAGACGTCTCTTTCAGACACTCGTATTGCATAGGATTATAAGAATATTTCAGAGAGCGTGTAACTTTAACTAAGTGGCACTCAAATTTGTACTAGTGATATCTTCCAATACCCGGTATTCCCGGTATTCCGATACACTGGTACCACGTAAAAAAATATTAACAATGATCGCTACTTTTTGATCGTACGCTTTATCAAAACGACGCGGAAGATTATAAGTTTCTTTTGTCTTTACAACGCACTTTTTGAGAAATCTAAAGCAGAGATTCCCAAACTCGCTTTTCGGCATTCTTTTTTTTCCTCTCCGGTATCTTTCAATATCTCACATACCTGACATCTTCCTAAATGTTATAAGGAGGTTCGGGTCCTACAATTTTCCTAATGTATGAATTAATATCGCAAAATTTGAACATGAAACTGATTGTATATCAGTTGAAAAGTTCGAAGAAATAAAACTGCCGTTCCTCGTTTATGGCACAAGAAGAAAATCCAGAGATGTCTGGTGAAAGTTTTGCACTCTTTTCCAAAAAAATGGCTTTAGAAATATTCTTCCATATGGTACTCTGATACAGGAATCCCTGTTTAAAAAACAACAAAGCTCAGCGAAGAAGAACGAAAGAGTTACTTGTTCTTATCGTCTTCGCTTGGGCGTCGTTTCAAAAAGTAAATCTTCAGGACTCGAACAAATAAATATAATACAAGTCCTAAGATATGTCCAGAGAAGTATAGACTCTTGTAAAAGTGTATTATCTCTTGAAGATGTAGCAACTGGAACGGTACACCAAGATACGCCATGCACGTGAGTTTCGCCCACCATAGGAAGAATCCCCAAGCCTTTTTACCCTGTATTTAATTGCAAAAATGTTATTGCACACAGGTTGTACGTAATAGAAGTCGGAGAGAAAATTATATTGGAAGCGCGAATTTGTTGGGTCAAGAATCGAGCCCGAAATTGCCTACTCCATCAACCAAGTTCTATTCGCTCCGATACATTTTCTCTCCCCCTTTTATATATCTTAACTGTCAAGATAATCTTACTAAATCTCCTTTTTCGTTCGATCGCCTATAATATTTTTATGCTGTATCTGAAAATATTGTTCCGGACGAATTTATGCTGTATCCGAAAATATTGTTCCGGACGAATTTATGCTGTATCCGAAAACATTTTTCCGGACGAACTTTGCAAGTTTTATAAATTTTTACTCGGTCGTTTTACAAATAACAATTCGAAGAGTTTAATTAATCGTAGTTAGCTGTGGTAATTATGATAAACGTATTTTTAAATAGAGAAGAAATGTTTTTCAATTACCGATATCCTTATGTAAGCAAAGTTATCGCAGAAACCAAGTCTGCGATAAAACAATTATACGGGTTTTTAATATAATGTTGCGAATATGGCGACATTCGTTCGCTAAGGGTTAATACGACAAGATACATCTTATTATATTCTATCTATGCTAATTTAATAACGAAATTGATTTCGCTTGCATACGAGAACTGAATTTATATGATTTTTATGCCAAATTTATTACTTACGAATCCGTTCGGATCGCACTGATTGTAGAACTTGGTGCTGATGTCCTCGAAAGGTAAATAGAGCGGAACTTGGCAGATGCAAAAATAGTAACCTGCAGCATAGCCATGCCATAAAGCAGAGAGAAGCATCGTGGCTATAGTTCTCAGCCCTTTATGGGGGAATCTCTTATAAACGCATATAGCCATCCAGTACTGTATACACGTATTCCACATTTTCATCGTGTGCCTAACGAATGGAGTAGTTTCCACTTCCCACACGTTCATATTGTGCACAGTCTCGAAGTCTTGCTCCATACCCTTCAGTTTTTCTTCATCCGCTGACCTGGTGAGTGATTAACAAATTATTCACTTCAACAGAATATAATCTTGACAACATCACAGTGATAAACTCCAAAGAAATAACACCAAAGGAATACTTTCTTAAGTGATCATGTTGCGACGTATCCTGCATATATCAACTAAATGATCACGTAAGCAAGTTTCCTTCCTCAATTATTGTGATTCTTAATATAATCAAGATGTACGTACAAGCGTGCCTTTCTACTTGACAACTCTGATGACCCTCACCCTACCGTGCCAATCAATTTGACTTTTAAACTGAGAGAAAAGAAGCTTACTAAACATGTGCCTTGAGAAAAGGTGTCGCCGACACACAAGGGATAAAAGCTAAACAGACACAAAAATGGACACGGAAAGCGAGTTTGTCTTACAATTTCTCGATTGTTTTGTAATCGCGCGGACCTAGACCAGGTATGGGCTGGCAGTGGACCGGATAAGCTCCTAATCCTGACATCTGACAGACGCATTCAGCCAGAGCCATGCCAATAAACATTCTCAGTCGGAAGCTGGCGAATGCCGGATACATGTAAAAGAATCTATATATGAAACTGTGTTCTTCAAACTCCAGCGTTTGCGTGTACTGAAATAGCGAAAAAGGTGCATTACTAGAATGAATATCCGGCTATCGATGATGTGTCTCGATATGTTACGATTGTATAAAGTTACATGCTTCGGCATGTTTTTTATATAAGTGTAAAATGCAGCAAATATATTACATCGCTGGGGAAGAGATGGTTCATTGCTAGAAAAAGTGCGATGAATGCTGCGATTTGCTTGAGCTTGTAAAACGTGAGCGGCCACGGATCGACATGCTTGGAAAAAGGCCTGTGCAAAGAATCCCAGTATGTTCTATAGCGGTAATACGGACCTGTAAATATCGGAATACGTCAAAAATATACAACTTTTATCTAGATCTCATTCATTTAGATTTCGAATCTCTACCTGTTAGAACACCCATGTAACCAAAACTGTAATGTATCACATCCATGAAGCTGATGTTCTTGAGTGCTTCCGAACCTGTCCCTTGAACATCATCACTTGGCGCTGTAGCTGCATTATTGATTTCGAATGCCAATCCAGGTAATTTTAATGCGAGTATCATTACAACGAGATTTGTATGAGTCGGTGAACTTGGCAATCCGAAATAGTCACCCAATCGAAAGATCACCAGTAAGTAGAAGAAGGAGAAAAATAAGCTGACTAGATGGCATTTTCTGAAAAATTAAGTTTGTATATTTAGTTAAAAAGTAAGTTTGTATATTATATATATATAACGGTATTTTAATATATGTATATATCTTAACGGTATTTTAATAAATATTTAATGATTATTTATATTATTCAAATTTTGAAAAAATCTAGACAATGTTATATCTTACACTTTATTATACAATATCTCAAAAATTTTAAAATTATTTCTACCAAAACTTTCCTCAATACAAATGTCAATTAGGGGTGACTAGCATTAACCCCAATTAACCAACTGATTAACTCAACGGAATTGACTAATCATGTTTGCCAATTAGCTAAACTGATCAGTTCGAAATTGGTGCAAGTGATCTTAAATGTCGAGATATGACATAAGATATAACAAGATCAATCAATGCAATGCTCCTTTAGTGCTTATATACTACATTATTATAAATTATATCATAATGTTTATAATTATCATAAATTAACATATTCATACTTCCATGACAAGTTGGTTATGATAATAGCGTTGACGAGAACTATAATGAGCGGGTGCAAGATTGACCATCCTGAAACACAGATCACTAACGCGAAACCAAGAAGAGTCGCGAGCCATTGTTTTGCATAAGGTCCTTGCACCGAACGATAAAAAGGCCCGACCGCCACGGAGATTAACAGCAGCGATACGTACACAACATCGTTCCACAACATCTCTCTACAACCAACCGTGAGCGAATGAGGAGAACAACTGACTAAGCATATCTGTAATTCGTGTCAATTGCAAATCTCGAGGTTTGTTCTATCTGGCTGCTGTCGAGACTGCATCGTAACCGTTATAGGACGAATGAGGGCTCATCGCAGCCAATTGGTATATATTCTTAAATGAATCAAGAATCTAAAAGAAGACTCCAATCACTGAGCTGCTTTCTCCGCTGAATGCAGCCTACATGATTGGAGAATTGATACCGGTCTTATATCATCGTGTAAACTCAGCCTATATCTCTTCAAGTACGGGTGCATAGATGATAAGAGTAGCACATGCATTCTCCTCATTATCTAGGTTAAATTTCATATATTTTACAATAATATCTTTTGTAGCACAAACAATTGTTACGGGATAAGTAAGATATAAAAGCGATGGAAGCACAAAAGAAACGAGTGGAAGACAATGTGACGAGACTGGTCGAGGAAATTGATAAGTCTGTTTTACGGAAAATGCAGGTATTTCTAAATTGGACTTTGAATCACTTGATTGAAAAATAAGAATTTCTAATTAAAGGGGAAAAGGTAAAAAAAAAGACATAAATCAATTAACGATCTTTTGTCTCACACTTTGCACATTTCATACATAAACGCAATGTTATGTTACATTTCAGAGGGATATGCATAGGTGCGCTGCTTCCTGTTGTGAAAATGAAACATACACCGCGCAAAAAGTGCAAAATTGTGTGGAAAATTGTACCACCACTTTGCACAAAGCGCAACAATATGTCCAAGGAGAATTTGATCGAGTGCAGGTGAATAAATATGTTCAATTTAGTCATTTAGCGAATACAAAGTCTTGAATTATTACAATTGCTTGATAGTTTATATTCTACAAAATGTTGCTAAGAAGACATTAATGTATCAATGTGTGTGTGTGTGTGTGTGTGTGTGTGTGTGTGTGTGTGTGTGTGTGTGTGTGTGTGTGTGTGTGTGTGTGTGTGTGTGTGTGTGTGTGTGTGTTACAGTTATAAAAAAATTAATGTCATAAATTTAATATAGACAAATATATAAATGAATATATTTTTAAATTTTAATCACAACTTTGAGCACCTCTTGTGTAAAACAAATATATATATTTTCTACATATTTATGTATTTTCACAAATATGATTTCCTTTCAGAATCGTCTGCAGAGATGTATAATGGAATGCAATGATGATATAAGGGACAAGATGGGTCCAAATCCTACACAGACAGAAATAGACAGATATAGCGAACAATTCGAGAGGTGTGGTACTAAGTGTGTAGATTCTTATTGTGATTTATTGCCATCCCTGGAAAATACCATGAAAAGAGTTTTGAGTAAAAACGAATTTCTTTAGTATCTGGTTTAGTCAATTTATAAGTTGAATTATAACTTACCGTCATACTGTTGACATTTATAATTAAATATACATATAAATGTGTTCACAGTTATGTAAGAAACAGAAATTTTGTAAACGTACTGAAGGTATGAACTAGATTTACATATACAACATATGATATTGTATATAATAAAAAAGATACTGTTTGAATAGACAATTTCCCAAATACTGAATTGGTCGATGTGAATCCGTAATGCTCTTCATAAAATCAGGAAAAACGGACATGCAAATGAGTGCGATTTAAATATAAACCGACTTGATAGCTTCCGTGCTGGATGACTAACGGCGCTTCGACACTATTGTGTATATGCGTACTACCGGATCCATTATTATGTATAAAATATATGTTGTTAAAATATACGTTGAATAGTGATGCGGACGATTCGGATACTCATTCTTTCGCACATCGGATGGAATAATGATGAGCTTAAGAATTCAATTATATAACGTAACATATATAGCCACCGACCTTTCATGAGATCGCGAAACTGATAGCGCGGGATGACGGTCAACAAGGATAACCACATGCGAGAGATATTTTCAATAGCACGCTCGTCCATGCTGAAGAAAGGATTTGACGATAGCTACGGAAATTTAGTGAATATTTGCCGACCAAATATTTTGATTACCGCAACCAAATAATTTAGTTACGTATATTATATTATTTGGTTGCGGTAATCAAGTGTTTGGTCAGTAAATATTCACCGAAAGTTTAATATTTATCAACAAATTCTTTTTTCAGTGATATGATTCCGATGTGTCAGTCGAAATTGCAAAAACTTTAAAATCCCGGTTGATATGTTTTTCAGCGAGCATTCCGGTCTTTGGGTAATTCCCATATGACATCATACATTTTTGGAGATTGCGAAAATCTCGTTTCAGTATAGTAAATCCCCACCTTGTCCTCCGCGATTTGATTGTGTGATTCGCGTGAATTATAGCTCGCTACTTACGTAGATCGCCTGGCCTTTCCCTACCTTGAGAGCGTATCACGGTATTGCGTTACCTGCGCAAACGCAATCTACGTTCTCTCACTGTGGCCGCAGGATCTCGGTTTTAACGGGTATCCCAGTGATGCATGCCGAAATTGCCAGTTTGTGCAAGATGTTGAGAGCTGCAACTACTTAAATTTGTAAACACTTTCACCGTGTCCCCCGTGTTTGAATTTTCTAATTTTTTCTCGCTCGTCGCCGTAAAGTCCGCGAGTATCTTACGTTTTATACCGTAATATCTTGTATATTTTTTCTCTAACCGAGGAAAATGGGGAAGGTGAGAATTTATAGTAAGGAAATCGGACGAAATTTTCGGATATTCTCGCAAAACTAGTTCAAAAGCACAATGTGAGAAGTGAGACAGGTGTGGTTCGTTCGAAATCTTTGCAACGCGCGCGAAAATGTCGCGCGTCGCTTTTCCGAACTGCTGGAAACTCGAATAGACGCACTTCAGAAACGCGCTTCCATTAATAATTTTCAGAACTACTTGCGATATCCCCGCAAAGTTTCGTCGCGACTTAATAATCTCTACTACAGAGTCCCTGAAATCGGCATGCGAATTTACCTGTCCTCGCATGAAGGTGACGAAATCCAGCCGTGATAATCCATTCCAAATTGAAGAATAATAATCGTCGTGTGATTGACCGAGAGAGATCCATCCTTTCCTTTCACTCTTATGACGTCCTCCAAATTCACGTCGTGCCGTGCTTGTAAGAAACAGGGTCAACATAGTGATTGACTACAGTTACGGCAAAAAGTACGGAAACAAGTTCGCGTGACGAAAAAAATTCGACGTATCTGAGAACAGTTCAATGGCATCTGACTTAAATGGAAAAATAAATGATAAAGGAAGAATAAAAAATATATATGTTCATCGTTTGCTCGATCCCGGTCGTTACGAGTAATTTTACACGATTTCTTCACTGTCGCACCGATTGAGAAGTCACAAATGCAAATTGAGAAATCTATGAATTTGCACGTCGCTAAAGCGAATCTTTGTGCTTCATGTTAACGAGACATCTGTTCTTTTTGTTATTGTGATGTATTTAATTTTTCCTTTCTTTTAACTTTACAATTATCTCGTTTAACATCGCACGGTGGTCGCGCAACGTTGCGTGATGAATGACGCATATACAAAGTACGAATATAATATAGGAGTATTCAGAATGAGACCTTCATATTTCATAAACAGAAATATTGATTATATAATTATAGTAATTATATTGAACGACGCATTGAGAAGGATAGGAGGGTTTAATAATAGAAAATATGCGGATGATATGTTGCGTGATGATAAATAATTAGTAATAATAAGTAAATGTGATAAAATTGCTTCCCTTCGCAGGATGGGAAAGACAATCCAGGCTTCATTGGCGATAATGGCCGTAGCAGTAGGGAAAGGCGGAACTCGAAGGAAATCTTTGGAACGGTACGAAAGATATATTTACTTCTTATGTATCTACGTTCTTCAAAAAGCCAAAAATTTATCGTTTAAAACTCTATCGCATAGAGCTCTCCTTGACATTTTTTTTTATGAAAAAATCTACGAGTTGTTGAGATTAGATTTTGGAATGTTACAATGTCCGCAACTGTAGAACCGGAAAAATTAACATCTTTTTTACAGAATAACGATGGAATTAGCTTTGTCTGTCCGATCTCAGACGACAAGAAACTGCCGTTATCGTTTTCGCCACTGGAAGAGACGGTAAATATAATCCATCGCTGTAAGACATCAGATATAATTTTACAATCTTACAGCTTAAGTTAAAGTGTAATTTTAGAGCATTTTCGGGTCATTGCCGGTTGTAGCCAGATTTTCGTTATTAGCTCAATTGTTGTGCCTCACACATAGCACAGTTAATTTCATATACGTTCTCGAAACGTATATGATATGATTGTGAAACATTATCTATATTTCAAGAAGGTATATGAAATTAACATGTATTACCTAAGTATATAAATATAATATTTAATGATATTACACGTGTTGTTTCACGTGTGCAAAATGTTTGCTCGCAGCCGATAGCGGAGAACGAGAAAGAACGGGCGACCTGGGGTAACAACACGGAATTTCTAATGTCCTGCATCGCAATGTCCGTCGGACTCGGCAACGTTTGGCGGTTTCCGTTCACCGCTTACGAGAACGGCGGTGGTGCTTTCCTAATCCCATATATCCTCGTGCTTTTCGTCGTGGGGAAGCCATTTTACTATCTGGAGATGATAATGGGCCAATTTGCTAGCAGTTCCTCCGTGAAAATATGGTCCGCCGGTAATAACCAGAAATATATCAAGATTGTCCAGTTATTTTCTTTCATTTTTTTTTTTTTGGTATTAATAATAAGTAATTGCAGAATATTTACTTTTATATGTTATTATTCAGTACCGGCATTCCGTGGCGTCGGCTGGGCACAAACGTATTCGACGGTCGCCGTCGGTACTTATTACTGCTCGCTGATGTCGATCAGTTTGTTGTACCTCGCGAATAGTTTCGCGACGCAACTTCCATGGTCGGCGTGTTTGGAGGAATGGGGAGACAGTTGCGTGAATTCGGCCGGAATGGATAACATCACTGTGCGCAGCAACACCACCGTGGTGAGAAGTTCCGCCGAACTATATTTTACGTAAGTCCGCACAAAATGTTTGCTCGTTGTTGTTGTTGCACGACAAAACTTTGTACGCTTGCCTTTTGCACCAATGCACAGGATTTTATTATCGAAATAGCTGATTCATTAATGCGCATAAATTCACAGATTTTAAATTTACCACATGTTAATGAATTTCATTTGCCACGAGATTGATTGAATCTTTTTTGTTATCTCAATGAATCTTCCCAATAAACACCAACTAACAACAACGTTACATCAATATTATAATTTCTTACTTAATAACGTAACTTTTACACACAACATTTACAATTATATTATTAAGTGGGAAATTATAGGGGAAGGCGGCATAAATGAGAACTCTGCCAATAAATGAACTTTGTCATATAGCAAAACGAAAAAATCACTAGATAGTGCTGAAATCGACACGGATCCAAAGTATAATAGATCTAAGATCCTCTCCTAATATTGCTGTTCTAAGATCTAATCTCATTAATTGATATTAATAATATAATATTACTGTTAGTTGGTGTTTACTGGGTTCATTATTTACAATATAAATACATACATATACTCTAGGCAGCACAATGTTCAGAATCGAGACATAAAATGTCTTTAAGACCCCCTAAACCAGGAATAGTCATCTGGAGTCATTTAGACTTCCGATTAAAAGCCGCTATTATTAACAAAATCTAGCGCATTATCGATTGCTCTGATGATTCATTGTTATTTAGGAATATTATAAATATAGATTTATTCGCTACTTTTTAGAAAAAATGAGGAGAATCCGAAAAAATATTTGAGAAACGGAATGAACACATCAAATATTCGTGATCGTTTGCGAAAAGAAAACAATGAGGTGACTATTCCCGGATTAAAGACGCCTGAATATAAAATGTCTTACGTCTAATTTTGGACATCGTGCTCTCTGAGATGTTCGCAAAATATAAGCGAAAACACCGGATTAAAGGATTAAAACGTAGAAGAAAGTAGAAGCAAAAGATACGTAATAAATAATATACCTACCGTAATATATCTACCGTATGACAATGTGAACGTATTTTCTGTTTATTAACGATAAGAAGCAACATGTTGTTCACAATCCACGAGCTTAATTTTAATTCTGATTCATAAAGTAATTTCGAGTGACATCTTTTCACGGATACAAATACGATCAAATTGATTTCCTTCACGCGCTTGTACAACATTCGCGTTTTCGCATAATAAAGAAGATAATGATGCCAAAATCCACGCCTCGAAATTCTACTTCGCACGAAAACATCTCCGAACGTGTGCCTTCTTTATCATTCGATCTTCACTCCAACTTTTCCATTTTAAGTCGCTCGTTTTGCGACTGTCTTTTCGCATTTATTATTTCTTATTATTTCTCACTTTTTGGCAGGAAAGCAGTGCTGAAAGAGAAAGAGAACATCGACGATGGAGTGGGCCTTCCGGATTGGAAGCTGACAGTATGCCTTTTAATTGTGTGGATCTGTATCTGCAGCTTGGTGGCGCGCGGCGTAAAAAGTTCGGGAAAGGCCGCCTATTTCCTCGCCATATTTCCATATGTTGTGATGATCTGTTTGCTAATTAGAGCGGTGACTTTGGAAGGTGCCGTAAATGGCATTATCTTTTTCATTAAGCCCAACTTCGAGAAACTGTTCGAAGCGGACGTCTGGTATGCTGCTGTTACACAGTGCTTCTTTTCACTGTCGGTTTGCTTCGGCGGTGTAGTCATGTACTCCTCTTACAACAACTTTAACCACAATATTTACAGGTTATTCTCTTCCATATGAAACAATATTGCATTTAAAAAACTAAGACGGATCAAAATCATACCCGAAACGGGGACGAATGGCACGGTTTGAAATTGAATTAAACTTCGAGCGTACAAATGAAAAAAGAGAGTGTTGGTTTTTATAAGTGTAAAAGTGGATTCTTTTCTCCACGTGCAATTGTAAGATCTAATTGAATTAAGATACGACGATTCTCTTCCCCCCCCTCTCTCTCTCTCTATATATATATATATATATATATATGTGTGTGTGTGTGTGTGTGTGTGTGTATATTTATTTATTTATTTATTTATTTATTTATCTATCCATCGACTGCACAGAGTGGACAATACGATTATTAATTAGTTAATTTATTATTTCGCTTATTTGTCCAGAGACGTTATCGTTGTGACCACGTTGGACACATTGACGAGTTTGTTGGCGGGCTTCACTATTTTCGGTATACTCGGTAATTTAGCGTATGAACTTGGCACCGATGACATAAGTCGTGTGGTACGGAGCGGAACCGGTCTTGCTTTTATTTCTTATCCGGACGCTATAGCGAAGTTTAACGTCTTGCCACAGGTACAAATTATTATGTATATCGTAGTCATAATAATAAGAAAAAACAACACGACGTAATTACGGTCGATATAAATTACAATTATCATTTTTTTTTTCTCAGTTTTTCTCCGTGCTTTTCTTCTTGATGCTGTACGTCCTGGGAATTGGTAGCGCCGTTGCGTTCGTCGGTGCTCTTAACACTATTATTTGCGACCAATTCCCAACGTGGAAGTACTGGCATGTGGTAATCGGAACGGCTGTAATTGGCTTTTTAGCCGGTACACTTTATTGCACACCTGTAAGTATTTCCTTGTAATATATATACAGATTAATGATAAAATCGTCGTACCATATCATTTTTTTTATTTCCTCAAGACCAGCCTTCAGTCCAAAAACGAAGCTGGGTATGATATTTTTTGTACATTTTTGTTTTTACATTTTTTTTCACGAGGAATCAATCTTCACAAACAGCATCATAAATCTTGCTTATCTCGAAATCCGGGAACATTGTATTTAAAATTTTACTCGCATGTAAACTTTTGTGTAAACAAGTTGCGCCATATAAACTCGATTACATTTGTAATTTTTTACACTGTTTATACAGGGTGGTCAATTCATGCTAGGTTTGGTGGATTTCTACGCGGGATCGTTTATAATCTTCTTCCTGGCCATGCTGGAGATGAGCGGCGTTTTTTGGTTGTACGGATTGGAGAATTTCTTGGACGACGTCGAGTTTATGTTGCAGAGACGCCCGTCGGTATATTGGAGGATCTGCTGGGCGATAGTCACACCGTTGTTACTTGCGGGAATTTTACTTTATACCATCATCAACTTGAAGCCACTGACTTACGGCGACATACCTTATCCATCGAAGGCACATAGTTAGTGTTTTTCGCTCATTTGACAATTGAAAATGATATTTTTCCCTGCAAGATTCTCGGTATCAAATCATGCTGAATGTTTGAACCAAATCGGAAAGAATGTTTTGAAATTGTATTATATATTCCTTCGAGAGATCAGATTTAAAAAAAAGGCTCTATACACGACTCATCGTAAAAGTGAAGACGAAAATTGAGTTTTTTTTGGTATAATCTATGAAAATATTCTAGTTGCTGGTTGGACGTTATTCACCTTCGGTGTGCTACAGGTTCCATTCTGGATGTTCTATACGATATTATCGAAAAGGAACTTGGGATTATCCGAGGTAATTTTATTAAGTATATCTAAGGGTGACTCCACCAAAATTCGGTTTAAACTAATCGACGAATAATAATAATAAGTGCCAACCAATTTTCCGTTCTGAAACTTGTCGCTTAACAATAATCGAAAAGTTCATAATTCCTATTTGCGTTAGCAAGATAGAGTGAATAATACTCAAATTAACACAGCAATTTTAAATCGTCGATTAGATTAATCAGAGTTTGATGAAAGTTACATTAAATGTTATCAATCGAGTACGGATCTTCTGCTTTAATACTCCTGCTATTCGAACATTTCCCTCGGACATTTCCCCACAGATGTTCAAGGCGGCTTTTCGCCCTTCGCCGGAATGGGGACCAAAGAGTTCCACGCGCATGGCATCCTGGCGTGAATTCAAAGAGGTGATGAATAAAAAACGCGCGAAGCGCAACTGTTCGCGAATAAAACAATTTATTTATGTGATTTTCTGTTTAGAACATAAACTCGTCTGACTTCGTATGTTACCTTAGTACTTTGTGCTATGAAATGTCGAGTGGGAGTGACAAAACGTACAAGTTGAACGAGCTTGCGTTTCAAGCGGAATTATTACATAATTTTATTTGCACTTCATCTATTTACGTTTCTTGTGTCGACAGTATTAACAGTTCGTGTTAATATAACAACATGTGAACTCTAGCGATTGTCAGTAGTCGGCTGATCTTTTCATTAAATGTGCGTGTGCACACCTGCACGATATATGTCTGCGATAAATTGCAAAAATGTTGGGTTATTTATTTTATTTTATTTATTATATGTGTTCAGAACAGTTTTTTTTTAATTTCCGACAAAATATTTGGATAATAGAGAATTTTAGATTTTAATAGAGAATTACGAAATTTCAATCTGTAACTACGAACGAGCATCTCGCATTAATGTTAGCAAATAGAGTAATGTACAATTTGTATAATGTATTCTTCGCAATAATTTGTAATAGTCCGGTGTACATTTCGCACGTTTCATCCTGTAAGATTATCATCGAAATACAATACAGCGATGCATAAATAATGCAATACTAACAAAGTTTGCCTAAGCTGCCGTGTATTTACTATTGATTGAACTATGAATTGCTATTTTCGAGTGTGACTTACAAAGGATATATATTTTTCGTTGATTTTATTAAAAATAGAAATATATATGTCGGTCAGTATTTCTTTGATAAATGTATGGTAACTTGTTCAATAAATAGATAAATACCACTAGTGAAATAAAATAGCACTTTCCAGCAGACTGTTTTAAATACTGATCATTTACATTGTTATCGCAGCAACCCAATAACAATGTTAAAAGTGCATTTTTTGAACACATATCGTAATAACGAACACGTATCGTAACAAGTCCTGATACTTGTCATAAATTACTGACCATTTATTCAAAATACTGACCAGGAATTAGAATCGAATAATCACAAGTCCGAAAAATGCACTTGACCTTAATTTAAGTTAGACATTTGACTTGCGCGATCCGAAAGAGATGTAGATACATTATGTTTATTTTAATTGCCGTTTGTAAGTACAATATATTACTCGACTTATACCTAAAAATTAAGTTAAACTATTCAAATGATAGAATTGAAGGATTTCCTATCTCCTTCCCTGTGTAGATTGTCAATAATCTGTAAAATCTCGCGTTTCATTAATTATGACTAGATATAAGCAATATATAATCGATGGAAAATATCGTCGGAAATTTTTACGCCGAGGATAATAGGTATTAATAGAGGAACACGTTCTCTTTGACGAGACGAACACAGGCTGACACGCATATAACTATAGTTTAGTCACATAATTCTAATAAAATATTTACGGCTATCTAAGATGCGGGAAAATTGATTAAATCTTACTACTGTATTTATCTGCTAGAGCGTGGAAATCGGCGACAATTCCGAGTCTTCTTACGTGCGGTGGTTCGAGATGCGTTAACGGATACAAGTCAATTGTTCTAAATAAATAGCAGAAGAAGGAAAAATCCATTTGTCTTACGCTCGTTTCGCTTTGTCACATCGTCGAACCTCACCAATCAACGAAACGTCAACCAAGATATAGTAGGTTAATTTGAAAACCGCAAAAGCCTCAAGTATCAAGTTAATTCGGAATTTAGCCTATAAATATTTACGTCACGTATGAGAGCCGGCGATATCAGCTTAATTTACTATATAGTGTAATATCTAGCTCTCTCACGGCTTGTTAATTTTCAGTACAAAACTACATCCATTCTTATTAACTATCTGACAACATTCCGATTGAATATTTGACAAGCGTACTACATGATGAAAATTACGAAATAACGTTGTGTAAAATACAAATAGGCTAACCAGATTTGCGTATCTCTAGACCTCCCGATATCTTTGGGCCGCACCATACGGGATGTATGAAATAATCATGATATATTATGTTACCGTCAACTTTATGTTTATAGGCAACAGACCTTTTTCTCACGTTACAGACTAATCAAAAAGTCCGATCTCTATTCGATGCGAAACAGACCTTTTTCTCACGTTACAGACTAGTCAAAAAGTCCGAACTCTATTCGATGCAAAACGGTAGTTAATGGCATTATTATTGAGGAAAACTTCCGTAAAGCTCCGCCTGATTACTAGCGTCATCTTCGTATGAGCGTAAAGTACAGTAGCTTAGATCCGACATAACGTTCGACGGGACTTTCTCTCGAAAAACCGTTTGTGAAGAGGTTTGTGAAGACTATAAATCCACAAAAGTGATAAGCATGCAAAATTCTCATCTAATCGGGCAACGTCCTGCGATATACCTAGAAGATGATAATATAAGTAAAATGTTATTATATTAACGTCATTATTCATCGATATTCTTTTCGAACATTGTGAGAAATAACATTCGCTAAAATCTTCAAACTTGAAACATTCAGACGGAATAAATTGAAATATCCGAATAAATTGAGATCTTTTGCACGCTCACTAGTGTCTACGATAAGCGACACACAAATAATTCACAAACGGAACTTTGAGAAAGACGATTCTCTTTTTTTTTGTTTACTATCTCCCTTGATATTGAATCGAGTCATAAATAACTTCGGACCGAGACTAATGCTTGATTTTTTCCTGGACACTCACAGAAAGAGTCTATCGAAAAATACTAGAAAAGTATCAATAAGGACGAATACACACATTATTATTAGGCTCCATCGTCCAATATTTTATACGAAAATAAACTTGGAGGGAAAAACACGAAAGTTATTCATGACTCAGCGGAATAGACTTAGAAAGTACCCAAAATATTCTTCTTTGTTTCTTTATATTGGGTTGTTCGCTAAGTTCAGACTTTTACGAAAAACTTGAAGCCGAAATTCCCACAGTCAAGCATAGCTTGCTTTCGTTGCTTTTTCTTTTTTTTTAATGACCTACCGTCAACAAGAAAATGGTCAATACATTATTGAATAAAGTTACGCCCAATTGTCAAAGTCATCGGCCTTGAACCCTTTGTAAAAATCCGCGCGAACTTATCGAGCAGCCCAACACATTCAACGTGCTACATGAAGGGATTCGTTACAGTATTAACGCGCAAGAGAGATCGCCAATTGATATTAAAATACTGCCGATACAGGAGTTGCGTGGCACTCGCGGGGCTGCTATTCGAACGGACGTGGGGTTATAATTGTATATAAGAATTGTGTGCGAAAAGTGCGAATAAGTTAGTTGCCAATTGAGTTACCTATTAATTGGATTGTTACACTTGCACTGTTCCGTTACGGCGGCATTGGAATACACCCGCGACGTAATGTGCGGCAAAGAGCCGAGAAGATTGGCGCCGCGCAGGCTGCCGGCGAAGCCGCTTCTTCCCAGGAAACTGTGAGCGCATTTGTAAAGCCGGGTTTGCAAGATCAACACGTCGTCGAGGTCTTGCTCGCTGCAACAATCGCGTTATCTCTTCACTCTCTCTCTCTCTCTCTCTCTCTATCTATCTATCTATCTATCTATCTATCTATCTATCATCGTGGATTCAGTCGGCATTCTACATTATTTAGATGCAGCGTCTGCATTCCCCGACTTGCTTCAGCCGAACGAAAAGCAACCGGTTTCCCCCATTACGGTAATCCCAACGTAACGAAGTTGCACGTTGAAAGTCATTCACGGTGATGACTGAACGTACCTTGCTGCGGCCAGAAATTTTTGGAAGAGCTTGTTAGGGACGGTACGAGGCCGATCCACGGTATCCTCGTAAAGATCCGTCTCTCTGTTGTACAGATGTAAAAAATCCGACAATTGTTTCGCAGTAATGGCAGCTCGGTCCTTGTCGCTCAGCTTACTACACGGTAACTACGGGAAAGACGAGTTATTTCGCGAATCGCCCGACCCAGTTGTCGTAATTTTTCTCTTGCCGGGAAAATCTTACATTCCACCTGCTTTAACTCATTTGTCAGGAATGTGCAACTTTCTATACGGAAAGTAAAATCTTTAAGACGACAACCGTTGTGCCGCGCATTGCGCCCCGGCAGGATCATTTTGTTCAACATATTGCGGAAGTATTCGCGTCGAGTACATACCGTGAACAGAAACGGCGTCCTCAGGCTGCAGGACGAATGTTGGAGGAATTTCATCACGAGATCGCAGCATGCCGGGTCTGCGTTGGACTGTGATATTTTTCGTAATATATAACCTAAATATAAACCGAAGGCCTTCCTCGCTTCACCGGGACTGAAATTTTGCACTAATTGGCTTAATGCGCTTGTTAGGATTTTCACACGGCGAGACAATTTCATCTTTCACTTGGGAGACCTCCGTATATACAGGGTGTCCTATTTTAATAGAAACAGTGGAATATCTTGGAAACGAAGTAATTGATTTCATAAAAAAAAAATTCAGTTGAAATGACCTTCAATTGTTGATCAACGTTATATAACTATATGAAGTTAAAGTTACCAACTTATGGTCCCCCTTCAAACCCTACAACTTTGATCTGAACCATTTTTTTTCGTTAATTACTCCGTCGTCGTGATATTTTATTGTTCCGATTAAAATGGAATATATGTGTAAAACACACATCGAGTGAAAGATTTCCTCAGTGCTCTACTTATGGATTTTAACAACGAACCTGAGTTTGTTGCCTTCCTGCATTGATTGCATCACTTGATTCTTATATTTATGCATATCTATATCCACGTTCTCCTTATTTTCACGATCCAAGCTTTGCTTGTGACCCTTTACCAATGCTCTTTCGTACCTCTCGTATCTACAATCAGATGATTTAATTACTTTTACGAGCTAAAACATTGCATGAAAATATCATTACAGTGGTGCATCATAATTTAATTTCTACCGCTTTCCTTTTTCTTTCCCATCATTTCTATTAATATTAATCCCTTGCTTATATATATACTATCTCTTTTATATGATTATATAATCTTACATGATTATCCGTATCTCTTACTTATATACTGCCTCTTTTATTTTTATCTGATTCACGCACGCACGAACAAAATGCAATAACTTCCTGATGAATAAAAATGACCGAAGGATAGCTTCACAATCGTGTGATTTAAAGACGATGCAACATACCTAGATAGTCTATCTAATGTTACTTCTGGTATTAGAAAACCGGTAACACGACTAGCTGCGGGGAACAATTGTTCATGTAACATCAGATTATGATTTGTATTGACTTGTTGCGGCAGCCTCCTCGGGCCAAGTGGGTCTGACATCATCGGCGAACCTGTAATCAGATCTAAAACATACATAATTATTACAAATCAATCAAGTCGCTAAACAGATCGTTCCGATTTCGAAAAACGCCTACTTGTTTTTCTCACTTAAACTTTATTTATTTTTTCACTTAAACAGGAATGTACTGTCAAACGTAAAATTACATTTACCCAAGTATTGCGAATAGAGCTCCCAAGACTTCGGACTTGGGAATATTCTAACAAATCCACCCCTCCTCTCGAATTGCGCTTTGGCAGACGCTACTATTCGTTGTTGCTCTGAACTTAAGCCTGACTTATTTACGTTACTTCTATTAGTGCCCTTCCTCCCCTGAGGTAATGTTTCTGCGGACTGTACCCTTCTATACTAAAACAAGAGAACGAACGTGTGCTCAGCATACCGCTGTTGTTTGACGCAATCTATTATTCTCGCTCGTTAGCCAGTTCTTGCACTTTACAAAACGAAGAAACGATATGTAAATCATAATAATGAAGTAATTATTATATGCTTAACATACATAATGCTTTATTCGTCTCCTGCCAGACGCACATCGCATGTTCTTATTTATTTTAAGCGCCAAATAAAATATCTTACGCACGTTCCTGCTAATCAAAGATGAAAAGCCGAATAAAACATAATCCCATGTTAATGAAGAAATAAATGATTTTGCGAAGCGTATATCCCGCCGTATAGACGGGGAACAAAGAAATCAAGATAAACGAGTAGATCGGTAAATAAATGTAAAAAAAAAATCAGCTTACACTAGTTATCCTTTTATTGGAATTGACGGCAGCACGATTTAAATTTTGAGGGCGCAGGATTGGATCAACAGCAGGTATCCCGACAAGAGTAAGCAAGTCTGCTATCAAAGCTGACTTGAGTCTAACATCTAGTGGCGAATCGCATCCCAATGAGGGAGTTAAATTTACTTCCAGTAACCACGGCTTCAGCGTATCATCGATTAATATATCAAAGCCAAATAGTTCTAGAATAAAAATTATATATATATGTGTATAACATGTTATCACATTATGTGTAGCATCCGAGACGTAAGAGTCCTCTTTACAAGAAAATAAATATCACACTTGAGTCTTAACGCATTTGATCCTCCGCCCAACTGAAAAAAACTGAAACTTGTTAAGGAACAATTATTCGTGGATTTCGCATATCTGGAACAGCTTCTTAATCAAATTCCACTTGTGGATCATGAATTATGTATACTTGAAAAAGAAATCGGGGATCTCACTCGTCTCTTTCTCTCTCCCTCTCCCTTCCTGACGTACTAGAAAAGTGAATAATTACCGAAACACGTCTCGGGATGTTTCACGAATTGCTTTAAGCCGCTAACAATCCCGGATGCGGTAGCGAGAATGGATTTTATGATAATGTCTTCTATGCGTTGCATTAGCAATTCCGTGTCTTGGCCCAGTGAGCGCAAGTGTCTGAGTAATGCTGACAATGTCCACTTGTGTCCCACATCCTCGGCATCCGGATCTTCGTTCCTAATAGCAAATGTTTACATGTATCTCTCTCTTTGCGGCATTATTCGGCGGATCAACCTCAATTATGTGCTCGCTTTCGTTCCCCCCCATTTCCTAATTCTTTACATTCTGTATTCCACTCCAATTGTGCACCATATCTAATTGCGCCTTCCTATGTTCCGCTTTTGTATTTTTTTTTTATACATTCTTTTCTCCCCTCTTACTCTCTTGTGTTCTATTTGACCATCTGATTTTTTAGCACCTCGCTCTAATATTAAGTGAATTGGAACCTGTCGCGTTTTCTCCGCACAGAATATGATAAAAAGAGTTTCGCATCGTAACTCGCGAGAACAGTTGCCAACCCGCAACTTTTCAGTAAGAGAGAGACAGCAAAGCAAACGGCTGCCGGCAAATTTGTCAAGTTGAATCAAGCCCCATCTCGCAAAACTTTCTTTCAAAAGCGGACTGCTCTTATATTTACGTCCCTCATTAATGCAAATAACTTCATTTCGATCACGCACGACCGCACATCGTATATTACGTTGTAACTTACTTTACATAATCCACGTGGAACTTGTTTATGCTGTAGTTGCAAAGATGCATGCAAGGATTCCAGATATATTGGTTCCCGCCGTCGTACTTGACGGTAGCGAATCTCACTAAACCTTCCTCGTATAAATAAATTAGCAAGGGGTCATAATTCGTCACAGCCACGTAGAGACGCAAGTCGCACTTGTGTCCATCGACTAAAAGCGGGTTATTTATGTACTGTGCCACGATAACCGATTCGTCTGTCAGAATCTTCTCGGGCTACAACAACGTGGTGAGCGAACGGGTAGAGAGTTGGTACAAATGTCATGACAATCTGTGTCCACAATCGAAGCGTCGAGCATCAATAAGGTCTACTACTTAGATAAAGTTGTCTCAAAGAGTGGATGTTTTCAATATTAATTACATTTGCTTTAAACTGATTATACTTAGCGATCCTCCGACACTTTTTTCCGATTGCACTTAAAAGCGAGATATGACGTGAAAATATATATATAGAAAGGAAATGCGCTTACATTGTTAACGATATAAATACCACGGCCTCGTGAGCTAGCTTTAGGTTTAACGATCCACGGTCCTCTATATCGGAAATGTGCCGAGATCAATTCCCTGGCTTCGGCCGGCAGTAAAAAAGTTTGAGGTATAAAGTCGAGATTTCGAAGGCCTTTGCTCCTTTGCATAGCTTCGATGTTTTTGTAGAGACGATCCTTGCGTGTGATCTCATAAGACCTAAAAGAACGAAATTAACTTTTTTTTTCAGAGACATTAGTATTATTTGCTTATTTATTTTACTATATTATAGTGATCATATTAGGGAACTGAATATGAAAGGAGTGGAACGACGACTGGGAGGGCACGGAAGAATTAAATAGGAAATAAATAAGGGTAAGCAAGGATAAGTGATTAAATATAAAAGACTGTGGTGGATAGGATAGAAATAACGAGAGGAGCATCGTTTGTGTATCAGACTTTAGCTAGTCAAATAATTATATAAGAGGTGGACGATGCGTTAAGATAAAAATTGCAAACTAAGTCTCTCCTTGGCATATAAGCTGAAGTAAATATACATAATTATGTGGGAAGATATAAATGTTAAAATACTGCCTCAGCCGAGAGACATTTCTCGCAGCACGGCACAAATGGAATTAATATATGCTACGCTAATTATTAGAAAATATTTAGGAAAGGGTTAAGGGAAATTATAATATAAGAAAATGATGGGAACTCAGGATTCGTTTAACGCGGAAAGTTGATTCACTGTGCACGTTCATCGTGGAATAATCGGACACGCGCGTCATTACATTTATGTTCTCCCACAAAATCAAAAATAGTACGTTGCTACAACAGCCGCGATTAAATTCTCTGAAAGATCCGTTCTGTCACTCTCTGGTTAGTCACCTACAGAGCCGATGTAAATATAAATTCGACATTTATTTTTAGTCGTGAAAGTTGTCTTGTGATAATGGTGCTCACCTGGGAAAATGGTTCACTTTCTGATAAGGCATCAGATTCCGTAGGACATCTGGCTTCGGATGATTTCCCATCCATAGAATATTAAAATCCGCCTCGTTCATCGGCACCTGAAAACAAAGACGGCAACATGTTGATTCGCTGAGTTCCCCTAACGGAATGATTAAGAGACTGTTATATTTTTAGCTTTCGCTTCTTTTTTTTCATTTCTCTACCAGAATGAAAAAAAGCACGCAAGAATGCATTAGAAATGTATTAGATGCGAGCGAATAATACACCGCTTCTCGTGCGTCTCGTGATATCAGCGACGATTGTGAAATACGGAAATACGGTGGTGGTGCGTATATACTTAATATTCGAGTTGCATCGGCATACACCGGATCGACGTCAACTCCGTTGACCTCGCAGTTTCTTTACGGAACAATACGCCTAACTACGCAAACCGACTACCAATTACTAAAATACGCTCAATTCTGAGGAAAATTGCATAATATATATATATATATATAAATAAGTGCAAATCGAAAAATATAAATAAGATCGCTCCTGAACTGACCTCGTCGTCATCGTGAGCTCGATACGTTTAGCTCCTCGAGCCGAATGACGAAACATTAATACGAGGAGAGTAATAATCAGCTTCTAGTCACTGAATACCTGCATTTTTAAATGTGTGTCGACTTTCATTATGATTTTATCGAAGAATTAATAACTGGGGCGCTAATGGCTCGGCGAGGGTCAGGCGAATTCGGGATGACAAATTTATACACGATATAGAGAGAAAGAAAGAGAGAGAGAGAGAGAGAGAGAGAGAGAGAGAGAGAGAGAGAGAGAGAGAAAACTGGTGCTAATTCGCGTCGTTCAATTTCTCTGGAAAATCACACCGTGCTCTATGCATTTTGCATAGTCAGCCTTCTCTCTCATTCACAAGAACCCGATGAGACGTTCTATTTATAAATACAAGAGAACTGCTGTGCCGTTCTATATCTAAAACCGATATAATCTGGAATTTCTAATGAGGACGTTAAATAGCAGGTGCAAGTCATTGATACGAATACGATTGTGTCGTTAACTCGGACGTTTATACTATAGAACGTGAGCGACATACTGCATCGCCGATCAAGGATAACGAGCGGGCAGCCGGGAAGGCCACGTGACGAATACTTCGATATATTCTCGCGAAGGTACACCATACAATCAAGAAAGAATCCGCATACGAGACACCGTCGACGAAAATATTGCGATATTAATACCGCATATTTGAAGATCGATAGCGTCACACGCGGGGTGTGCCGCCGTTCTCTCGTGCAAAAATCATTTTGTATCATGCGCAAAAGTCGTTCACAAAATCGCGGTGTGAATCGAAGGAACGAATACATTTCGAGATGTAACGTAAAGTAAAAATTCATACGATTTCTCGCGCTCCTGACGTTCTTATTTTTACTTCAGTTCGGCCGCAGTCAAGAACCTCGAGAGATTAATAAATCGCGTCTTAAACGACTCAGACTTCATCTCGGCGATGGAGAAGCCAGTCTTTCAAGATACACGAGTTCGGAGTACTCGTGAATAAATTAATTGTACATCAGACTATTCTCTAAAGCTCTTGTTTCGATTTGTACTTTTAATTTTACCTCGTCTCTTGAGATATGTGCTCGAGAGGAAAGAAAGAAAAGAAACGCGTACAAAGTATAAAGAATACTATACGCTCGGTTATTTATGTATCAACGTACATAAACGGACGTTGCGGTTTGGGGAAAGGAAAAGATCTCTCTCTCTCTCCCCCCCCCCCTCTTTCTCTCTTTCTTTCTCTCTCTCTCTCTCTCTCTCTCTCTGCCTCGGACGATTTACCTTGGAGGCTCGAACGATGCCTTTGGCGGATAAACTTAAAATCCGTCGAGGTCACCGCGAGGAGGCCACGACAGTGTCACGAGACGCATCAGTAGCGCGTCCTCATCAACGTAGCGATCAACGGCGGCAGTCTAGCGCGAGCTCTTGCTCAGGAGACGCCCGTAGGAACTTTGCTCGTTTTCAGGTATCTTCGCGCTTTTGCCCGCAGCAAAACATTAGCTCGGTCTTTTCGTACATCGCGACTGGCATCGCGTTGAGCAGTGCTCGGTCTAAACACATCGCATACTAACAACACGTGTGCGTTCATGTGCGTGTTTCGGCGGAACGAAAAGCGATCGCGCGCGACACTCGCCTCTTGCCAAATTTCGGAATGAGAGCGACAATCGTGAGAATGCAAACCCTCCGTACGTGGATGAAAAGAATATAATTCGAAACAAGCGGCCAAACTTTGTTGGAACGTACACTCTATTCAGATAAAATTATTGTTCCACCTGTACAAATGTATTGTATAAGATTTGTCTCTGCGACAATCTCGCTGGCATATTCGTAATTTTCCAGAGATCATTTTCACGTCGCTCAGCGGACTCCGATAACGAAGAGATGAAGCAAAGGAAAACGAAATGGGAGAATGTTTGAATTATTTTTATACTTGTTTGAAGATCCTTAGAATAAGGAGTGATGGGGGAGGGGGAGGAGAGAGGGAGAGTAGAAGAATGAAAGGGGTGAGGAGACGAAAAGAAGGGGAAGAGAGAGAAGATGGGAAAATTTCATAATTTTAAGTTTGTTAAAAGAAAGCCGACAGAGAGCGTGACGTTGCGAAAACTTTAAATTGAGTAATTAGCAAGTTGATATTCAAGTCTAACGAGATTTCCAACGGTATCCGAATTTAGCGACGAACCAACGGGTGTTAATCGTTCTTTTTTCAGCGAACGGGGCAAGATGCCGGGTCACCGTCAGCCTAAGTCCTTGGTGGTGCTTAGTTTGGGACGCGTGTGCGAGCAACTCGACGGGACGTGCCGGCGCTTGCAGTCGCTCTCGCAACGATCGACCGCGGCGCAAGCGCTAGCCTTAGCTAAACGCGTGATCAGGCCGTACTATGTGAACGCATTGCCGACTCGCTTGCGCTCCCGTGTGATCGAGGAGGCCTCGAGGACGCTGTGCCTGCCGCTACCGGACGAGCCTCACGTCGTATCCGAGCCGGCGATACTATTTCTACTGTGCCTCCTTCTCGATCGTGACATCAAACGACTGAAGGTCCAGCTCTGTTGCTATTACGGGTGCAGCTACCAAACGTCGTTGTTGGAGTTACTCGCTTCGGAGGGGACCGGACTGGAGTCGTTGCACCTGTTCCGTTACTCCTTGCTGCGCATGGACTGCAACTTACTGCGCACGGCATTGTCGAGCATGAGGAACCTGACGATACTGACGCTTCGCAATATCGCCAGCGACGCCATGCTTCGTGTCATAGGTAAGACCTGTCCGAAGCTCGTGATCCTCGACGTGGCTTGCTCGAGAGAGGTAACGGACGCCGGGCTGAAGCAGTTGCTCCTGCAAGTGGAGTTCAGAGACAAAGTGTTCGCCGCTGTGCCGGCGCGCACCAACTGGTCGCGACTGAGGAGGCTGCTCGCCAGGTGGAGGAGGAGGACGAGCGACCCGAAATCGGAGAGGAAGCGAAACAACGTGCTGCTGGAATATCACGAGAGTAAGAATCCGCTGTGCGGCACGCTCAGGGCGCTGAACATCGCCGATACCTGTGTCACCGAGGCGGGTGTGTCGCTCGCACTGTTAAATATTACACAGCTCGAGTCTTTAGCTGAATATAAGTACATAGGTCACGTGATGGAGACCGTGGACGTAGGTCGGTCGCCGCTGAGTCTGACCGAGGCGATCACTTGCGAGACGACGCCCGTGCAGCTGAAGCTTCTGGCGCAAATGTGCCCACGGATGACGAAGCTGTCCATATCCGAACCCTGGCATTACCCCGCGGCTCTGCGCGTCTTTCCCCACCTCACCTCCTTGAGTATGCACAATATACTGGCGACGAAGGAGTGGTTGGAGAACCTGTACGGTTATCTTCGCGCGCACGGCCACAATTTGCACGAGCTCGGCCTCTGGATGACGGAGCAGAGGAAGAGCCCTTTGCAGGTGGACCTGAGGGAGATTCTCAGCAGCTGTCCGAATCTACAGACACTCGTCAACGACGGGGCGAAGGTCGTGTGGACGGAAGGACAGGATCCTCCTCCTCCTCCTCTGAAATATCTGAGAAAAGTCGAACTCGGACACACGGTGGACGCGTTAACGATCACGAAAGTGTTCTCGCTAGCCCCGGAACTGACAGCGTTGCATATTCACAGTTGTCTCGACCTGACGAACCAGCACTTGGAGAAGCTACTGGAACCGTCCGTCGGGTCCGACGATGACGAAAAATTGAACGACCGTCGCGACAGCACATTGTCGAATCTGACGTGCTTCTACATTCACGAGGCGAGCAAAGTGTCAGCGATCACTGTGCTGAACATGATCAACAGCTACAAACGGCTGAGACGGATCGGCAACTTGGCTAATTGGGTTTTGGATTACGAGAGTGTTGCGATAACTGTCGCGCGTGCAAACTTGAACGTCGACTTGTGTTCCGGTCCGCATTGGAACTGGGATAACTGTATCCAATGACATCGCGTTAAGCTTGACTCTTCGACGTCGGAATAATCGCGTCCTAATACCTACAGATCGTGACACAATTCAGATTAGCTTATACTTCCATATCGATTTCACATGTAATGATTGTAATCAATTGTAAATGTATTCAACGCGGAACAATCGATTTAACGACAGGTAAAGAAGCACAGCCGTGTCTGTTAAATCGTTTTTTCCCTCCTTTTTCTTTCTACGTGCGATCATTGCATAATCCACAGACACTTCAACCTTTCGTGCAACCTCTCGGGGCTGTTATTACTCGCGTTACTTTCGACAAACTAGTTCAAACTTAGCCAAGTTGTCTCGCTGCATCACATATACATGTTACCGCGACAACGTTATCACTCAGTTGCACATAAATACAAGGTCTTATACGAGAAGTATTTTCGCAAAAGAATTACCTTTTACTTGAAAAAAGAAATTACTTAGCGATCTTTATCGATTTCCTCTCGGTTTCTGATAAATATTGATTGAATATATATTTCAAAAATTCTTATGTACTTGACGTATTTTTTTTTACCTTTGCAAGATAAGACATGTCATCGCGACGAAATTATCGGATCAATCAGTCACATATAATTGCTCTTCCAATTTTTTTTTTTATAAATAATATGTCCTTGAGAACAAGACTCACCTCTACCAAGCCGTGCGATTGTAGCAGAAGACTGATGAGCTTGGTGTCTGTTTGAAAGATCTTGTAAGTCATATGCAGCTGCTTCGCGGGCGGGTCCTCCGGTGGCGTGGCTAGAGCGGAACATCTATAAAGAACAAGTAAAATATACAGTTCCTCGAATACATAAACGTTTCCCTAAAGGGAAAATGGCCGATGAACTTACTTAAAGCGTAAAATAGGCGCCTTGTTTCCATGCGGTCTACTTATTAACCATTCGTTGTTCTGTGCACTTCGTATATTCGTTGCGCTGCAAATGAACATTCAAAGTACAAAATACATCGTTTTCGTGATTTCACAGCACGGTTTTCGACGAAAAATCGCGGTTTTTCTAGTGTCACAACTCGTTCCGGATGACTCACGTTTCTAAATTATCAGATTTATGGGGTTTGTGTACAAAGGCCTCCAATGTCTCCTCACTGCTATTGGACAATTGCGACATACCGGAAAGACTAGAAGAGGACATGAGCTCTTTCGAACGCTTCCCTTTCAGTTTCCCCGCTGCATTAGTATTCTTTCTTTGGGACATTGTGCTGTATCTAAGAAGGGCAGATAATACTTAAAATTATGACACGATTATCAATAAGAATAAAATCACCAATAAAAATCTATAGGAACGATCGACGACGTAATTGTTCATTATTCAAGAAAAAAAGACGCTATCTTACTTTACAAGAAAGTTATGGTCTGATATTGTTTACAGACTCAAAAAAAAGCGTTTGCAGCAAATACTTCGCGAAACGAAAAGTTTGACAAAAAATAAATAAATAAAAATCGTTGAATAATAACGCAGCAACAACGTGAAAGTAAGATTTGCATGTGCACGTTATATTTTATACATTTGAATTTCTATTTAATTTTTATTTTATATTTCTATTTTTACAATACAAATAGTGAGAACGGAGAAAGGCTTTTGAATTATCAATCGAATATGGAAAACGGGCTGACGAAAGTCTGTAATAAAATCTAAAATACAGATTCGTGAGCGCAGCATATAAAAATTATTGTAAAAATTACAAGTATCTACGAAGAGCCGACGTGTGTTCAACAATTTCCAATTTTGATCTAATTTTGATGTCCAATTTCAGTTACAAATCACATAAGCCGCATACGATCGTGCGTGTTCACATTGTACATAAGTTTCTCTTTCCACGATCGATTTCGTTGGCTCGAGCGCTAAGCAACTTCGTGCCCGCGCGTTTCAATTAATTACAGTGGGTACTTTTAATCCAAATTAAGGCCTCACCCTCGTGATAGAAATACCAATCAATGTTGCATACGCGTATGAATTTACGTCTGTGGTCGCATACGTATTTATATTCATATGCGTACTCCTTTAAAAACGACGCGCACGAATTTGAAATATAAAAAACCCGGATATACTACATTTGAAATTGGAGATTTGCGAGACATTAAAAATCGTTCATTTCGAACATCTCGGAAATTACTGTGAATTCGTGAATACTCACAAATGATAAAAACGATGGAAAATCCAATGGAATCGGAAATCTTACAATAATCGACTATGGAGAAACGCGTGTTTAAATATTTGCAAAATTTTCAATTGCTCCCCCGTGCACTGAGAGAAGGATTTAGTAATCGAAATTTATCGTTGACATATTTGAGTGACACTTTCAACAAATTCCGCTATGTACTTTTCAATTGGTATGTGTACTCTCTGCGAAAGATAATTATCTCTGAACTTTTACGCTTTCTGATTTCCAACACTAATATATAACGTATACATTAGTTGAAACAGCAACAAAAGTATAATAAGAAAGCCTGCGAAATTATCATTATCGTCGATCAGGAAATTATTCCTACATTTACATACACTTTCGTATTATTTCTCTTTAAATTCGCGAATGGTCTTTCTTTATCGCCGTAAATTTCGGACTCGTCAAAGTTACACATGAAAATCATTTTCGGCATTCATTCGAAACAGTTAAAAGAAAGGAAGAAGTTAAACACGAAAAGTCAAAGCGGAATGTCGCGAGTCTATTATGTACAGCGAGAGCTGATAAATCGGCCGCCCCGATATCCTTCGCCGGTAAATAAACGCTGGCAAATGGATTTCGTTTGCAAAAATACAATTTGTAAACTGCACGTAGAGACCACGGCGAAAGCCGAATTCGCTGGACTTGAAGCAGAAGAGAAAACGATCGCAGACGGATTATCTAAGCGTGTATCGCTCGCGTGCTTGAAAACTAGGGCCGAGTGTAAAGTACTTGTGCAACACGAGGAACAAGCGCGGCATTGGCATATTTTTTTTTAACGTCGAGCTCAATTATCGTTAGATCCGTCCGATAATCACGCGACGATACGCGATATTTTAATTTATTTACGGCCGGCTAAAAAAGGCGGCCGGTGAGATCGCGGAGGGCCGGCGGCAGCGGCCTGCGTGTCCCTTGCGAAGTGTTCATCCTTCACCTTAACAAATTTGTTACGTATCGCTATCGAGGCTACCACCCGTCGTTAGCAACACACGCACACTATCAAGAATCGGGAGACTGGAAGGCGCCTGTCACATTGACAGAGAGAACCTAACGTGTCGCGTCACGTCACCGCGTGCCGTCTGCTAGGAAATACACGGGGAACGCATATTTTCGCCGCGATCTCGAGTAAGGACTCACCGCGAAAGTCCGCGCACGGACTTCTTATTCCCGATCGTCGATCCTGCAATTCGTGATCCAACGGCGCATTGCAAAAGGGCTAATTCGTTTTACGATACTTGACGATCGAAGGTAAAACCGCAACCGACACCAACCACAGCCATGTCGCACGAAAGCGCAACGAGCACTACCTGCCTCTATCAATCGAATGCTGAATTAATGCCTGCGTACAGTCGCTCGTGAAAGTACCGGCATACGTCACGCGACGACGACAACTCGCGCTGCGTGTGTGCGCCTTTCGACGTGATTGCGACAGGCACTCGCAACACGCATGCCCGGCTGCGCGGTGTTATAAATAGCGATTTGTAAGAATAAACGCATCACAGCGAATAATAGTGTATATATATATATATATTTTTTTTTTCTTATCGCTTACTTCTTAGTTATTGAAATTATCAGCGCGAATCACACGATACAATTACCAAAGAGTATCACTATTTTATCCGTTCGTTGTATTTTCTTTCCAATTCGTGTAATTTAGAATCAAGTTCTGCCGTAGAGTACGTCTGAAATGTGACATTTTTTACAGCGTTAAATTAATATTTAATAGTGAATTTTTGTTTAAAGCACTAGTGAGTCTGATCGAGTTTGTTTCAGTATAATTGACAAATATTAAAAAATATTGAAAACTATTGCCAAAGATGAAACTCTCGACAATTATTACTGCATTGTGTACAACGTATCGAAAGAATATCGCATACAATACTTACCCTTTTTTGAACGGGTTTTAAATTGCCCTTCAAGATATCGATATCCTTTCCTGCCTACGCAAGTTGAAAATTACGTGTATATAAAAAATTTAAAAAAAGTATCAACGCGAATAATGACAAATCAATCTAAATCATTTTCTTTTACAACTTATGTGATAAGATATGTTCTTTTATAATTGTCTGAAGTTATCTCGTAAGAATACACAGATCGTCAGATTCTGTCTTCATTACAATTGCAAATGAAAATAGTAAGATAAGTATGGTATACCCAAAATTCCTTGTATTCTGGCGATATTCCTTCTAAGTATAATATTTTATCTTCAATAATTTTCAACCTTTCGTAAATATCTTTGGGCACCGGTTTGTTAATTCCTAATATACGTTCTGTCACTGAAAATCTCTCGTTCAATATAGGAAAAGGGTTCGCAGTATTGGAACTTGTACTACTTATGGTTGTTCTACGTAAAATTGATTGATCAACCGTCTGAGGTCCCCATATATTGAATACCCTGTGAACTGAAAGTCATTGCAAACATATATCATAAAATCTTGAAGTTCAACACGAAATAAAGTACATAAAGTAAACGCGAGTATGTCTAAATTTTTGACGTAATGATTTAAAGTGTAATTATATCAATTGTAATTACAAATTCCAGTTATTCAATTTCTCTTCTATATCAATTATACAATCGTGAATCGAGGAAGAAAACTTTCCCGATAATTCTATATAATTTAGATGATCTAGAAAATTAAGTGACTTTCTTGTCTCTCCCTTCCCTGACATTATCCACGACAACCGTCTTGAATTATGACGTCTGAAGTGGAAAAAATGTCGCGTATATAATTCTTACAACATACATTCGCTTAAAACTTTTCTTCGAGAGCTTTTACATCAAGCTGATCATCGATTCAGTATATTGTGGTAGTTTTTACAATAAAACTATGAGCGAGAAATTAAGATGAAATGGATAAAATATGTACGTACATATAAAATAAAGACGGTATCTATGAAAAAACCTATATGCGCGAACAATAAGATAAAATTATATATTACCTTTCATATGACTTTTAGAGTCATTACGATGCATAAGAATGGCATCTACTCTAGCACAAGAGTTTTGATTATCTTCATTCTGTTCACTGCAAATACCGTTTGTAGTTATAGCGAATACCACGTAGTTAATTTTATTAGGACAATTATATATAATCATATATACTATATTGAATTATGAAATTATATGAAAATAACTACATACAATAATAATTATATGTATACAACTATCTTTATATCAGCGATAATGATGAACCAACCTGCGGCAGCAAAACTCTCGCACATTCCCGATATTTGCTTGCCGACGTTTTTTTTCAATGAATGATTCTATCCTATGATTTAATTCTTCGGCGTTCGCTCGAATTTGTACTTGATTAGGATCGATAACAATCTTATCTGGTATTTCCTCATCTACATTTATAGTTGCCTGAACATTATGCTTCTTCAGAGTTGTAGGCTTAATAACGTCTCCCACCTTTGATATATTACTGCTTACATTCTTCACGTTTGATACGTTATTGTCCATTTCTGACACGCTATTGCTTACTATAGAAAAAAAAAAGACATGCTACAGCTAGCTTCATACTAATCTTCATACTAACATCGGATCTTTCAGATTGAACCGATTGTTCACAACAGATTTTCGAGACATGTGGAAACGAAAATTTTAATATCTTTAGAAATTTGATTAACAATAGGCTTGACATAAATTTTAGATCCTTCCCCCCCTTATATATTCAAAACTTTATATTATATACTATATAGACATGCACACATAGAGCGTGTCTTTTATAAAATGTCGATATATGAGGTTTCACAAACTACTAAAAAAGAAAGAATCACACAGGACAAAAAATCAGAAATTCAAGCTTTATGGAAGAAATAAATCTCAAACGAAAGGAGAAAACGGAAAATTCAGTCATCTTATATTTAGCAGCAAATAAACAAGAACGAACAATCCTAAATTAAGAACAACCATAGCATGCACTGTGAAAAACTCAAAGTCAATCGTAAGAAGATCATTTACTATTTCCCCATGTACACTCTTTATTCTGCTTCCACTGTGGCTCCCCAGTTTCATATATTTCTTCCTTCCAAATAGGTACCGATGCTTTCAACGTATTAATAGCATATTCAACTGCTTTTAATGATTCCTCCCTGTGAGGAGAGGAGATGGCTATTACAACACTCGCTTTAGATATTGGTACTTCTCCGATACGATGATACATAGCAATGCCTTCTACATCCCATTGCAAACGAATTTTGGTGCAAATATTATTCATCTCTTTTAAGGCCATTTCTTCATAAGCTTCATATTCTAACTTGATCACCTAAAAGAACAAACATCCATAAATATTTATCCGCTTAACATAAATGCTTAAATTATTATATTTTCATCAATATTTTACCTTTTTGTTTTCAAAATTATCTCGGGTAATTCCAATAAAATTAGACACTGCTCCACAATTTGGGAATGTTACCAGATGGATGATATCGGTAATATTCAATTCTTCTTGTTGCAATTTGATAAAATTCTTTGGTGCCTCCATATCGTAAAGATTATCCTGAAGAAGTATAATATGATAAATAAGTATTTAGCATTAATTATATTTGCTACATGTTATATGTATTTTGATGACTTGTTTATAATTAAATTAATTTTAATTGTTTATAATAAAAATATAATTAAAATATAAGTAAAATGAAGCAAAACTTATAATTTATCAAAACTATATGTATCAAGTATTTATTGTACATAATCAATTTGATACTGAACAAACCTCCGCTGAGTGGTGGAATTACTGCAATTTTGTCTTTCTCTGATAGTTCAAGAGTATTATCTCGTGCCACAAATTCTTCGTTCACAGCTAGTATTATTTGGTTATGTATACTTTCTAACTTGAATTCTGAGACAATCTTGTCCAGAAGATCACTGGCAGACAATTGATTTGGAACACAGATCTTGCGTTCCTTACTTCCAACTAGTTCGCGTGCTTTTGCAAAAAATAAAACTGTCGCTTGTATTTGCGTTATGGTTTTATCCATTACAAGGTATCAGTAGGAACATAGAGATATAAGAATAGAGGGAACAAGCCTGTAAGTGGGAGTGATAGAGGCAAAGAGAGAGATGGATGCCGAGTGTCCTATCTGTCTCTTTCTAGTTGAGCGCTGTGATTGGTTGTTACAATGAGCCGCCAAGACGACCACGCGACGTCAGGAGGGGAAAAAGCAGACTAAAATTTCGTTTTGTAAATATACGTGCACATGTGTGTAGAATTAAAATTCGTTAAATATTCGAACGTTAACAAAATAATAATTGGACGCGATTTGATTAAAAATGAGGCATTGTTTAGTTAGACGCATGAAATATCGTTGCAGTTTTTTTGAATAATTAACAGTCACGATGCACGAATACGCAAGCAGGGAATGCGTGATCCAAAAATCCTACTTACTACCGTTGGATGTAGCTTAATCGTAGATTTTTACGATTAGGAAATTTATGTCTGTGTGAATATCCTGCGTGTTTCACCGAGGACAAAAATAAGGACGAGGACAATAGTTGAGTGGCGCAAAGACACGACAAGATACAAGTTACGCGAGTTACCGCTGCGTTTCTTGACAACTCACTTCACCGTTCTTGGAACAAATTACCTGATTGCTATGCGTTATGCATGATATCGCATAAACCGAAATGGTAATCACACAATTACTTACAGCAGTAGATGGCCAAAGAATTGCGGTGTGAACCATCACGTGGTTGATTGCCGGTTTCACTCAGGTGTCACCTGGACTTTCCTTTATCGCAGATCGATAAGGGATGTGAGGAATTTTTCCCGAAAGTGCCGCTCGGAGAAATTATATTTCCGTTCGCGCGACGCAACACACGCGTCAGGTCATACGACGCTCGCAACTCTCTCTCTCTCTTTCTCTTTCTCGTCTACTTATTTTTCCCTCGTCGAAATGTACCACAAAATTATCTTACCGACACAATTACATATATTATACATATATGTACGTCGATGGCGAAACGCAGAGAAATTTAAATTGTATAATGGACGATGGAATAGAAGCACAGGAATGAAATTTGTTACCTGCCTTCGGCAGCCTTGTCGTTTCGCCGTCAGAAAGTAGCGAGCCGTCATTCGGAGATGGACTTCTTTGAAAATCCACATTACGCAAACACGCGGTTTTTCATGACAATGATCGGTCAATGGCCTTACTGCAACTTTACGATCAGATTCCTCGTAAGAATGTTCGTGTGTGCTCTTCTCGTTTCCTTCGCTTATGTTCAGGTACATTCCGCTTTGACAGAAAACGTAAAGCAACTCTCGAAGAAAGTCTTCTGTCATATTGTATAACATCGTTATGAGATTGTTAATAAAAGCTGTATCTCGAAAATGTGTTGAAAGTACCGATGACATTGAAAATTCATTGTATATGCAACGTAAATGAGAGATTTCAATCATGTCAGCACATTTCGGAACAAAGTCCAAGATGGACGACGCGCGAGCGATGAATCGATGTTTGATCGATTTTTTCGAAATATAGGATCGATTATCTTCTCGATATTTCAAAATTCAACTAACTTCTATCGATAACTTTTCTTTAAATTGTCTCATCAAATTTTACTCGAAGGCGAAACATAACCAGATATTATTTTCCTACATCTGATTATTTTTATAATATAATATATTGAGTATTTTTTTTATATTTCACAGATAGCCAAACTTTCGACATCCAAATGTACGTTCGATCTGATCGTCGAAGTCATTCCCCCGTTAACCATTTGCTTTCTTTGGGCGACCAAGTATATTACTTGCTGGGTAAATATGAAAATTGTAAGTTTCTATCGCCACAATTCGTGTTTATTAGATTATTCGTGAAGAAGAAAAATGTCAAGTCGCAAATTTTGCCAATTGTATCTTTGCAGATAAAAGATTTATTACGACACATCAAAGACGACTTGAATTCAATACAGATTACCGAGGAACTGAAGATTATTCAAAATTTCGTGGAAAAAGGCAGAATGTACGGCATATTTCTAATAGGTATGAAAAAAAGCGCGAGTATAGAAATTTATTTATCCACAAAATGAAATTATATATATTCAGCAGTTACATCACGCAGATACGTGGATTATAAATGAAATTGTCATGATATGCCAACATATAATTACATAATAATCATAAGAATCTTTTTCAGTGCTCATTTACTCAAGCATCTGCATGTTTATTTTAATTATCTTTTGGCCGCGCATCTTCGACATCATTATACCATTAAACGAATCACGTCCGTTGCAACAGCCGTTTAAAACTGAATATTTTGTCGATCAAGAGAAATATTTTTTTCCAATCATAACGCACATTTTCGTGGTTGCTTTCGTCGGTCTAAATATCGGCCTAGCTACTGATCTGCTTTTCATCGCCTTCTTGCTGCACGGCTGCGCCATGTTCACCGTTCTCGAGTGAGTTTGATTGAAGGAAAAACTGGTTACCGTTTCGTATACTACACTTTGTGATACAATGCTCACTAAATTACAACGGGAGAAATGTATAAATAATAATAAAAATAAATAATACAAATAAATAATAAATATACATAATAAAAATAATAAAAATAATAATAATAATTAAAAAACGTATTATTTGCGTAATTACTTGCAATTGTCATTGCTATCTTTTTATACTTTTACAGGTATCGATTGGAAAATATGTTTGATTCGTTGATAAAACCAGCTCCAAATGATAGCGACGTGCTGTCGTCGAAAGTGGCAAATTGCGTCGAACGTCACAAAAATATCGTTGAGTTAGTATACTCAGTTTGTGGATTATAGATCGCAAATCTGGAAATGATTTCTTTCTCTCGTTGACTTCATGTCATGTTTTGAATTAACTTCTGTTACTTTCCCTCTCGTTACAGATTTGTTGAAATGATTAATTCATATTACACGTCTTCCTGCCTAGTGCAACTCGTGCTCGCGGTACTTATTCTCACAGTCGTATTGCTACGCGTAAGTCACGTTTCTTCGTAATCACAATAAGATATTTTGCCCTTTGTATCATAAGATAAGAACGTCGTTTTAAATCCCCAGAATTTTATAACATTTCTTTAGTAACTTACCATACGAATCTTATATTACAGTTATTCGAGAGATTGACTTCGATACACGACGCTGACATGGCGGAATTGACCGTATGCGTGATTCATGTTACTGGTCATTTGTTTGTCGTCTTTCTTAATATCTTTCCGGCGCAGAAACTGTTAGATTGCAGTGAGAGTATTTTCTTTAAAGTGTAAGTGGTATACTTTGTGACAGAAATAAGGTCTAATATGGGATGAACAAAATCCATCGAACGCCAGAATTCACGATGAAGTTTGTCAAGACGGTCAATTTAATACTTCAATTACTATTCTATTATCGCAATGCAATTAAAAAAAAAACTTCACGTGTGTTTTGTAGATATTGCAGTTGTTGGTATTGGGTGCCAGTAAAGATACAAAAATTGCTGTTAATGATAATGAAAAGAAGTATAAAACCTTGCGGAATAACTGCTGCTGGAAGATGGCGGTCATCACTTGAGATGTTCGCAAAAGTATATGAAACGGACTTGTTGCGCATAAAAAACAGAATGACTTTTTTGTTGCGTTTCGTTTATTAAAAATACGTAACATTCAAGATCGTGGAAACGTCATTGTCCTTCTTTATGGTGCTGTACACCGTTCGACAGTGAGATGTAAATAGGCGATACATTATCTCAAACTTGCACGCACACCACATATATTTAAGTAAGTATAATAAAATAGTATGACAAAATTATTGTAAAGTTTCCTCTTTAACTAGATCATACATCTAAATAAAAGACGACCTAAGCAAAAGAAGATTACTTGAAAGATACGTTAAATAATTGTTACTTTAGCTCATTAAGCAACAAAAGGACAATTGTTTAACACAATGTACTTTCTAACTTTTATACATTCATATTTATTGCATAAGCATGTTATAAGCCATTCCTTTTTTGAAATGTGACAAATTTTCTAAAAGTTATGCGGCGCAAGATAACATAATACTCAATATTTTACTAAGATTTTTACAAAAATGAATAAACGTTCGTTGAATTCAGAGATATCTTTATTTCCTTCTCATTTACAATACACCAACTTCCGTATAATGCTAAAAGCATTGCAAAAATATCTCCCCTTGTATCACCGAAGAGTTGTACAATCTTATTGCAATATTGCTGCAGAGTTGCGGCAACGTAGCTTAAACAGAAACATTGCAGCGCGACACACCATCGCAGTATCGTAATATTACATTATACATGTGATGCAACATTGCTGTAAACATACGACAACAAATGGACGGAATTTTCCCATTATCGGTAAACAACGAATACGTTAAATCTGACTAAATTTACCAGGCCAATTCTATCTACAAATTCTTTAGTTAATTTACAGGCGACCTTAACGGAGATTCATTCTCCCAAAAGTTCCTCGATCCCATCGTCCTTGTCGGAACTGTCCTGCCGCTGCATCTTCATTTTGTAGCCCAACGCTTCAAGGAGATTCACGTTGAAGTAATAACTCAAATTGATACCTGGTACCAAACGTTTCAACTCCTCGATGGTGGCCCACGCTTTATCAGTGTCCCCTATATTGGCGTAATGCTGCGTAATGGTCGCGAACAGGTCACCACGACGCACCGATTGTTCCAGATTCGGCCCTTGGGAATCCAACAGGTGCCGGACGTGCTGCATCGCCGTTTCTGTCTCGCCTTTGTCAAACAATCTGCCCAATGAAAAGTGTATTTCCCTTTAGATGTGCATATGAGAAAATTGGTACTTGCATGTCTTGAAACTATAAGCATCCTTAGCACACGAGAACAAAATATCGGCCAATCTTCTGTCAGTTTTTCATTTATTCTCCCCAACTGACCGATACCATTCATTGAAATCATATCTTGCAATTACCTCTTAATGTCCAGATAACGTTTGATCGCCGACATCCTGTTGTTCACCAGCTCCACCGCTTGCTTGTGAATATCCGAATCCCGTGGCATCACCACCTTGGTTAGGCACCTGCTCGCCTGATTCAGGGCGTCCAACGCCTTCTCGTAGTTCTGAAACTCGTCGATCTCCACCTGCGCGCACGCCACGTAAAAGTTCGCCAGCAGGTCCATCGCCTTGCCCTTCGAGTAGAAACTGATGATGTTCTTCAAGACCTCCGGCTGATTCTGCCAGTCCAACGACTGCAGATAATTGCCCGCCATGATGTAGATCTCCCGGTTCCTCGAGACCTGCGCGAAGAAACAGATCTTCTCGGTGTCGCCGGACTTGAGCAACGCCTTCATCGCGCGCAGCTTGTTGCCGGCCTGGGTGAACTTCTTCGTCGCTAGGTGATAGTTGCCCTGGTCGAAGGCGATCTCCGCGGTCCTCTCGAGGGTGGAGATCCTCAGACGTTCGTGCTCCGCATCGTCATTGCTCCCTTTCTCGAGCGTCAGCTTCTCCGCGAGCTCCTCGCTCAACGCGACGTTGTGCTGTTGAATCAGCTCCAGAGCCGCCAGGTAGTCCCGGCCGGTCGCGAGCAGATCCACCGCCTTGTCGATCTGCTCGTTTTGCATGAAGTAATCGGCGCACTTCCGTATCAGCGCCGGATCGGAATCCGCGTTCACGTCCACGATGATTAGCTGCAGCGCGCTGTATTGCCGCGTGCGGAACGCGACATCCAGAGCCTTGTGCAAGAGACCGGCCTTGTGGTAGAGCAACACCGCCCGATCAGACTGGTCGTTGTCCTCGTAGAACTTTGCGACGTCTATCTGCGAATGCCGCGGCGCTAATATAGCCAATGGCCACAGCTCTTCCAGCATGTCGTGTTCCTGTAGATAAGAAAAGAATATTCTGAAGGAAACGACGGTGTCCCCTCTCGTATTCCTTCTTCGAGCAAATCGAACAAACGATGTTCTCGACCGTGCTTTAGGAACGAAATACCTACTCGTTTATATGAGTCGTCGGCCGAATCTCTCACCTTGCATAGTCGAATCGCGTTCGTATAAGCCTTAGCGACTGTGTAGAAATGAATCGCTTGCGACACGTTGTTCTTAGACTCGTAATGCGCAGCGAGATGATAGGCAGACGCGGCGTGGCTCGTTCTGATCACCAGCTCGGACACCTCGTCCTCCCGGCCGAAGTAACAGAGCAACCTCGTCATTGACAGGGTATCCTTCGCCTGCTCGTAAAGACGCAAGGCCGCCTCCATGTCGCCCGTCGACTCGGTGTATTGAGCGTGCCAGTTTTTGATCTCCCTGCGTGACATTGTAGACATTATGAGATCGGATCTGTAATAGCTGGTCTGATAAGTCAGTAACGTAATTTCTGACGAAAGGCGCTTCTCGCGCTGCCAAGAGTTTCAATAACGCACGAGTCTCAGGAATCGCGACGTCTGGTAGCGCTGAACATGCTTTTTTTGAAATTACGTTACAATTTAGCGCTTAGAGTCAAAGGTTAGTAGTTTACGATACACCTATCGCAGATCCAGCCTTGTAGAATATTTTATAATTGATGTAAGATAACGATATGTGATATCGCGTCACTCACGGCTCTTCCGAGTTATTAAGATACGCAAGGAGCTCCCGAGGTCTCGTCAGGAGCATTCGCGGCACCTCGAATCGATGACAATCCGCTTTCGTGTACATATCGATGGCCTCCGCCACCTTACCCTGCTGCTCCAGCGAGCGGGCGTAATTGTAATAACTCGTCTTCTCACGAATCTTGTTCTCGTTGCTGGCTAGATCGATCGCTTCCTTGAACTTGTTCCGCGCCTCGAGCAGCCGTCCCAGCAGGTCCAGCCGCTTCGCTTCGCGAAACAGACGTTCCGCGTCGGTCTGCACCACAGAGATGTATCTTGGATAAACTCGCGGTAAAATGATCGATCGCAATGATCGATCGAGGAACATACACTCGATCGACATATACTCAACGTACATGAAGACCAAGCTCGACCGCCAGAATCCCCACTTGCGCCTCCAAGCTCAGAGTTTCGTCCTGCATCGCTTCGCGAAGAGCCCGCGCGGCGCTGGCCTGCTTCATGTGGCCCAGGCAGAGCAGAGCCATGTTCAGTTGCTTCGTCTTCACGCACATCCTGGCCAGGCTCTTCCAGACCGCCTCGTTCTGTATGGACTTGATGGCCTTGAAGGCCTCGTCCATGTTCGCCACGCTGATGTGGTAACTGAAATCCATCACCGCCTTCCTCGTGGCGGAGTCGCAGCCACCCAGCTCTTCGAAGTCCCTCATCAGCAAGCGCGTTATCTTGCTCGTCCTGTCCAAACTCTTCTCGGAATTCAGAATAACAATGTGCGGCGACTGCACACCCAACAAACGGCAGTTCTCGTCGGCGATTGGCTTGACGTCCTGCACGACGATACCGTGGTCCGACGTTGCGAATAACGACACCAATACCACAGAAGCAACCTGCGAAGGAAAAGGCAGCGGGTCGTCGATCGTACGTCGATCAAACGGTGGGTCCAATGGGACGTTACCTGATTACCGCCCTTGTTCTTAGAGTCACGGTTTTCCAGTCTCTGAGCTCGACACACCAACAGCCTAGGGTCCTCCACGTCCCAGCAGTGCGCGGTGACCAATCTTCCTCTGCATTGTGCGGTCCTGGGGAAGAGGATGCGCATTAGACCTTGATGTTATTACCGGTGCATGTGCGATGTCGACATAATGTTCTGCATTAAATCCATTGTGTATTCCGACGTCTGTACGAAAGAACTTTTTCTTGGAGAAAAACAGGTAAAAGGAAACACTTGGCGCAAGATACCGAAATGTTTCTTACTTACAGCATGGTGTCGTCATCGATGATATCGTCCGACTCTCCGAAATCAAATTCATGGATCTGATCACTTTCGATGTCCCAAACGTACAAGACCGAGCTGGGCATGAGGTTGGCCATGGCGACGGTGATGGATACGCAATGACAGTCCGCGTTACATCTGGCCTCGATGATCTCGGCGAAATCGCTGATCGCCTCGTACGTTGCCATAGCTCGGGTGTGCAGTTTAGCCTCGCGCTTACCTAAATCCCAGATCTTCAGGATGCCGTTTAACGACGCTACGGTCAAATATGGTCCTGCGGACGATGAGAATCGTGAGATCGCAATATACTTCGCAAGTGATACTTCGACGTTGGATCCTGAAGCTTTTAATTCCGAACTGTCACCGTTTTCAGTCGATAATTACCTGTCAACTCCATCGTGATCGGTTCACCCTCTTCCGGCAGGGTGGGGAGCGTTTGAATGACGGAGCCTTCCACGGATCGCAATTGAATGATCATCGGGGTCAACACGATCAACGTGTGCTCGTAGATCAGCATCTTCTCCGTGTCGCAGCTGAAGGTCGTCAATAAAGTCGTGTTCAGATTGGAGCCCCGGTTGATGCGGTTCACGATTATTTGCCGGCCGGACGAAACGGCGACGTATTCCTTCGTTACCGCGACCACCTGTACCTGAATCTCCGTCTTCAGCATGTACGTCTGTTCGTCCAGCTCGAGGAGGATCTGCGTGGGGGTGAGCTGACTCGCGCAAACACCATCGTTGTACACGGCGCACATCGGCTGCTGATGCAGGACGAAGACATTGGTGATGCAGTTCACTGCCAGGAGGGAATTCCGCGACAGGCTGGTGCCCCATGCCAGCTGCTTCACCGTCCCGTGGATCGCGCAGGACTCCGGCACGCTCGGCCACGCCTTCTCGTCGCACTCGGACACGTTTTTACGCTTCCACAGGTAGATCGTTCCCAAATTGGTGCCGGCGGCCAAAGTGTCTGAGGATTTGAAACGTTACCCGACTTGCCTCGAAATTCGTTCCAGCCAACAATAACGTCGGTTTCGAAGCGGACGTTACCATTCGCCTTGCAGAACGCCAAGCTGGTGCACATTTCTTGAGGAGTGGCGATGTTTCCGCTGGACGAATCCGGGGGCGACAGAACGTACGTGTCGCCGGTGTGAAGATCCCAGCAACGTACAGCAAGCTCACCTGTAAGCACGGCCAAGGTGTTCCCACTGATCCAACATAGAGTGGCGCTGCTCGTGCGTGATGTGTCGTTCCTGCCGCTCAGTTTTACCTAAAAACAGTATTTCACGCGACAATGTGATGTCACACAATTACACACCGACTGATTCTACAGATAGATACTTCAGAGATAAACGAAACGTATTCGTGACATTGCCATCGGCACCTTCGTTAGTTCGATGAGCTCCCCGCTGACTGGATCCGCTTGAAAGTGTCCGATGTTCAATCCCTCCGTCATGACGATAATCGAGTCTCTGGTCTGGTGATGCAACAGACAATGTAGTCCCGCACCGTCGGTACTGAATACTTCCTTGCACTGCCCTTGAACATCAACAAAATATATGGTGCCATTTGCGGTGCCGATGTAGAATGCATGGTTGTCACGTTGAGTCGGAACAGCCGTTGGTGCGGCGGTTCTTGGCCGCCAGGAACTAAACAGGTCCAAAGCTCGCTCATCACCTGCCACCGCTGCCTTTGCCAAACCACTGCAAGCCATCAATTGCTCAAAATCCTGATTCTAATGAAATAACTGAGAAGGAAGATGAAATTGTTAAGTTTTTAACTAAAAAAGGACTCCTTTTTATGCAACTTTAATTTAACACTCCCTTCTTTTCCATCTGTTAGATGTATTTATTTCTTAAAGATACTTTTCTCAGACCAATATTTTTGGAGGTTTCAGCTTACGGCATTTGAGATAGAACGTAAACAAGATAGAATAAAAAGCAGAATGTAATTCTCAAGTCATTTGTTCAAGCAAATCATAGGTACTGACCTAATATCGATAGCTGGTTTTGGAGGAGCTGTCTTAAATGCAATTTGTGTAAAAGACTCTTTTAACTCGTGATGAAATGTCATAAGAAGCTGCCCTCTGGAGTCTATTTTCCAGCCAACTATAGATCCACCAGTGTCAGCAGATACCAAGCGACCACCAAATTGACTCCATTGTAGAACTGTAATGGGATCTCGATGGGGAGTTACAATTACACTGAATTCTTGGCTGCCAGTATCTCCTGGCCATATCTGAAGATAATTGTACAAATTCTTTCTATTATGTTCATCTGACAAACAGGGACAATTCTAATTCAAAGCTTGCCAAGGGAACACTGACTCGCAACTCTCCACTCTCCCATCCTGCCGCTAGCCATGTCCTTTCAGGATGCCATCCGAGCGCAGTGATTTGTGCCACAGCGTGTCCTGACGACTCAACATCCTGCACGGGTTCACCCTGGTCGTCATAGATGGTTACAAAACCGCCCTTATCTTGGGAATATGCAGCGACAGCTAACAATGGGTAATTATTATGCCAAGCGACAAATGAACTTATCGAAGCAGTTTCAGGATTTTGCACACGTATGTCAAAATATAGACTCATTGTTCACTTGTCATATTACACTGCACAATTTGTACTACGTACTAATATGCGATCACTCACACACACATAATTTAATTAATATAAGTATTCTTATTATGTATCGTATATAAACGACTCGAGTGCACAATATTATGTTCAATTATGTTGACAGTTGCCATGGAGACCAACACATGATCCGATACAGTTCGAGACTCCCGAGTTCCAAACTCCAGCCTATTTTACCATCAGAGTACGTCCCGAAATGCGTTACCTTTCTATTTCACCCGCCATTTTTGACACGTTTCAAATGACTTGATGTTCAATATACCTCTTGTTTTTTCTTGAAGAATCAATTATCTTCTTTGATTCTAAATGCACCCTCTTTATAAATAGATAATAAAAATCTTACACAATCCTTTGATCGATAACGGTAAGTATATATAAAATCATATTAAATAAGATAGAACGTAATTGCATGCGATCACATGTGTTCTGACTTGATTCGAAGATTGTTTCTCAAATGGCACAATTCAGCTTCGAGTGTGGCTATTTTCTAAAAGTATAGTGTATTCATATCGTGAATGTTAATTATGCACACCAGAAATATAGCGATAAATCACATATAAAAAATAGAAAGAAATTATTAATATAATTCATCTGTGAGAGATGTCCCTAATACTAAAAATAGTAATTTTAACAGCAAATGTACAACAAAAATGATATTATGAATAAAGAATACCGTCATGTATTCTTTTCGCTGATTTTCAATGGCAGTATCAGCATTTATTAAAAGTGCCTTATATCTTTTCTCTAAAGATGATACCAAGCTGTGTAGTTCATTTTGTTTCTCTGAACACAGAGACAAAAATAAATCGTTCGTCTGCTCTTGAAATTGTAGTTGCAAAACTTTGATTTCTAGATTCTTATTCTGTAACGTCGTATATATATAAATTATAAAACACCATTATATATATATTAAAAGAGAAACTTACGAATAATAGTAATATTTTTCAATAATAAATTATTTTCCAATACTTTGACGACATGCTGTAATTTCTTTTTATAAACGTTCTCCACGCTGCTGTTCAATCTTCTTAGTTTTGCGATAGTTTTCTTAAGCGATCTGATTTTCCATATAAGACTCTGACTCTGTGCTCGGTTCGTTAGCTGTTTAACATGATTTCGTAGTTGAGATTCTTTATTGTCCACCGTATTATTCTGATGTTTCTCTAATTCGTGTTTCAATTGCTCATTCTGAATCCGAAAATTGTCGAGAGCGACAGTTAACATATCGATACGATGTTTGTAAAGCTTTAGGTGATTTCTTTCTATGGCATTTCCGTTATGACAACATGCTTGCGAATTCATGTAAGTTGTCGACTCAGAATCATGTAGTCTTATTCTGTTTTGTAAATGGTTTTTTTGGCTTGATTTCCTCTTAAGCATTAAATAATTATGATGGTTTCTATCATGATCAGACAATTCGCTACTCAAAGATGAACTAATGCAAACCTAATAAAAGTGAAAATTGGAATGATGTAGACAAGTATATTTTGACTAATATTTACTATATATAATTTTAAACAAATATATAGTAATTTCTCTCTCCATACATCATATGTGTACACACAACCACATACATTGTTTCTATGTATTACCAAATACTTCAAAAACGTCTCAAAAATCCTTTACAATCCATTGCTTTGACAAAAATGGGTTTGTTCTTGGAATATATGTTATGTTTGGAAATATTTTTGAGATGAACAATTTTATGGTCTTAAAAAAAGATGAATATATATATATATAAATGAAATACCATATGACGGGACGATGATAACGGCATTAACAAGTCATCGGGTGGTTGAGTTCTGAATATTCCTTCGAGCGTACCGACTTTTAATTGGCGCGAAAGCTCTAACAAATATTCATTCCTCAAAGTACGTTGTGAAATAGTAGCATTCAGCTTGTCGAACCAAATCTTGCACAAATGCGCTTCTTCCAAAGAACTCAAATTCGATATGTATGGTCTGACGCTCATCAAAGTTCGCTTATAATATTCGTCCAATTTTAAAGCCTCTTGCTCATCACGTTCTTTAACTTTTGACATGGTAATATGAACTGACAGCTCGTAGGTTACATGGCTTTGTATAAACATACGAGAGATACTATAAACATACGAAAGATACACTCACGCGTTAATATTCCCCGACATCAAAAGCATTATGTAAGAATGCAAATAGAAAACATATAAACATGTATGATATGCGATCTGATTTATTCGTAATCATAATTATTTCATCATTATTTCATTCTACCCCTTACGTTTATACTCTTATTTCTTCATACGTTTTATTAAGGAGAAACATTGTTACGATTATACACACGCGCGCGCACACCTACATATGTAGATTAATATAATACCATTCATCGTTAGAAAGTAGAATGAGAACCATTACATATAAGGAATATATGTAGGAATATATGTAGAGCACATCACGTTGAATATTTGGCTACATACAAATACAGCCAAAAGTTTGCTTTAATTATATTCTATGACAAAGTATGAAATATACTTATGCATATGATTAATATTTTCAATAATATTCATTAATGGATGCGTGAGTTACATATCATGTACTTATACATTGCTTAAAAATGGGCTGTAACAATATGTAACTTAATTTACAAGTATATATATATATATATATATATATATATATATATTTGCAATATAATTTCTTCATATTTTTAACCTACTATGTGTGTATATAATCACAATTTTAGTTATCTAATAAAAAAGATTTTATTGAATTCTCATGTTTGTACTTAATAGGAAAATCTACTGAGGGATGAAATATTGATTATTTTTTTATCGTCATCAAATAACCTTTGCAATTGAGAACCATAATTATCCTTCCATAGCCAAGTATCACAGAATATCTCTCGTATCGGTAAAACTTTCTTGCTTTCTGTATCCGGTATTAAAATAATAATTCATTCTCGTTAGGAAACTATATCTTTTTGTTTGTATTTTCCAGTAACGCTTCTTTAAAAATAAATTTATGTTAAAAGTTTGATAGAACGTTTAACATTTCATATATATATAACACTACTTACTATATATACAAAAATAATTTTTCTCTACGTCCAAGAAATGTAGTCAATCGTCTAATTCTTAGTAAACAATTGTTACAACCCCTTCTATCTAATGGAATCGTTGGTGATTGTTTTGTTTCAAATCGCTAATCGTGCTTTGATTTTTACACACTCGATGTGTTAGATCGCAGATTTCTCAAAGAAAGAAGCACTACATACGATTATTTAGCTTCAGTTGATTCTCCGTACTTTGCTTTAGCTTTGTTAATTTTCTTTTCATTGGCTGGATATTAGTACCAATCCATTCCTCGATCATCGATGAGAAGAAAATTGCTTCCATTTGAACCCGCAAATAGCCCTCCAGGGAAGACAATTCCAGTAGTAACCTGTTCAAAATATCATCACCACAGAACATGTACAGGTTGTTTGTGTCCGTAATTGGGGGAAAAAAAAAGTTATATTAAAAACGATATTTTTCTCGTGAAATTTTAAATCATATCTTATTTCAACGCGACATATATATGTCTAGTGTACATCTAGCGATATTTTTATACAGCTTGGTATTATTGCAAAGATGCTCACTCTTTAAAAGCAGGCACCAAGTTCTCCAACTGCATAGGATTTGTATAATTATTCGCCACTTGCCATGGATTCATCCACGTCATAATTCTATCAGAGACCAATTATATTTTATATAAATATAAATAAGTTCTTTTTATGTTACCAGTGTTAAAAAACTCTAAGAGAAATACTCTTTAATACTCTTTTCTTAAACATGTCAAGTTATTTTTCCACTTACTGGTCGTTAGCCACGATATTATGAAACTTCGTCTTGAAATTGAGGAACCACTCCATACCAACAGCTATTTGCCATCCCGGGAAAAGCAGACTGCTAGGTATCGGCACTGGTCTAGGCTGTGGTGTTATGTGCAACGGATAATCGATGTAACCCAAACTCTTTGCAACCTGTGTATGCGTCTGCTCTGAATAACCATGTAGCCAAACTTTCAGACACAAAGCTAATGACGGTATCGCCGTGGGCAACAGTTCACACATCGTGGCATAGTGATCGTACCTAAAATTTCAATCAATCAATGAGATAAATTGCAACATTTCCTAACAACTTCTCTTAATCTAATCCTCATTGTTACCTTGACCAACCGGTGAATGCTGTACCTCGAAACTCGTGTACTTTATTCACATGAACTCCCAGCTCCTCTAGCCATTTCTCATGATTGCTTATATGATGTCGAATTATGGGTATATGTTGTGCAGAACCGGTAGCGCCTTTGAATGCAGTGGCTGCCCAGATATTGGGGAAAACTGCGCTAAACTTATCCCACAGACCTGACAAACATACATAACTCGTAATAAATTTGTCTTTGTATATCGTTCTTAAACCTAGTCTGTTTATGTTTCTCGAAATAATACCATGGGGCAATGCGAAATTGTCTCTGGGATTGTAATGCCAGACCATGGGTTCCACATATTTCCCAATGTAATGTTCTGCAAGATAAAAGATCGGTTGTATGTAGACACTCGCGCAATCAAATGGTGCTAACAAGTTATCAAGATACCGTTCAAAACCTGTAAGTCTATTGATCTTAACATATCATCCCAGATGATGATCTTTAAGTATGGATAAGTTTCCTGTATATATTGGGCTATCGCCAGAATATGCTCCAGATACAGAGAATATTTGCCATATTTGCTGGCCGCGGCCCGTTTAGTGCAGACTGAACAAAGGCCTAAATGCCATACTTCATCGCAACCTATGTGCAGGTATTGTATGTCCGGATGAAAACTAACAATCTGACGTATCAAGGACTTCACCACTGGAAGTGTCCTTGGATTTGACGGACAGATAGAACTTGGGAATGGTTCTACTTCTCGCAAGGATCTCCATTCGTCATGTTTTAGAACAAACTGTGAAATATCAATCATCATTTACTAAAACTAATTTGGTACTTCTTAAGGTTTTGGAAATAGTAATATGATCAGATGATAGATAAAGTATAAAGTAAGGCGATATAGAAATAAGTAAAGTATTTTCATACCTCCATATGACCAAAAGTTTGTACCAACGGAACAACTGCCAAGCCACAATCACCCGCTATTTGCAGGATATGCCTAGCCTCCTGGACTGTGTATCCACTGGTTAAGCTGCTCGGCCCGTTGCTTCCTATTGGTGAGAGTTCTCGATTGTAAGGGAACGTATCTTCCCATTCCAGCAATAACCCGGTAGCTCCCCATGTTCTTAAGAGAGGAAAAAGCTGTAAATGTTAGATTAGATTGCTATATTGGATTCTAAGGTACAATTTACAAATGTTTTTGCTTTTTCAAATTCAGAGACTGTCAGTGTTATGTTATTATTATATAAACTTCAAATTCAAATTATAATAACAAATTATAATAACAAATGCATTTTAAATATTTCTTGTATACTACTTGCGAATCGGTACACATGAAACTATACAGATCTAGACATGTAAATTATAATAATGATTGATTACACAGTCTTCATCTATGTTGTTGATTCTTCTGAGAATAAACAAACAGTCCGGCACTATCTGACGGTGCGATCGATATTCGAGGCTCAATTCGAATGATAGACATCGTAATGAATATAAAAGAGAAAAACCAATCAGCGAATTGCTTTCATTTTTTCGAATAACAGAGGTTGCTGTGAAGCAGTGCGTCTATGCTTTTTGAGTAAACTACGTGCGGAAAACAATGTATGTTCCAAATTACGATAGTACGGTAAGAATGCGAAACGTTTACCAACAGTACGTACTTTTTCGAAGTAGCACGTTCGCGGCGGTGCACCCTTGAGATCAAGGTGGATCAGCCTGGAAAACAAGAGATAATTAATCGTGACATGACATTTCATTTTTCGAAAAATACATGGAAATTTGTATCTGTCGATCGGCTTTACCTGTGCGAGCCCAACGTTAACGCGTCCATCTTTTCAGCATTTCACTCTCGTCAATATGATTGGCTGAACCAAGAGCGATAACTTTCAGCGCGAACAATTGGAATTTTGAATTTACTCCCGTAGACGTTATATCTCAGTCGCACTTTTTCAATCTTTTATCACTGAGCAAAAATAGCAAGAAGACAGTAAATGTGACTAAAAATAACAGACCTGTTGAAAATGTTTTTCATCATAGTTACTCTTGAAATAGAATAAATATGACTGAGATTTCTGAACAATTATTAACGTTAGAGGTAATTGTATGGAGAAACTAAGATTGTGAAATTAAAATCAATTCGTACGCAATATTCCTAATTAATATGCACATATATCGCTTCTATTATATATTTACCCGTGTCATAAATCTACAGAATCTGGTATTAAATCCAATAATTGTTATTTTTTAATGACAGTTTGTGATTTATCGCGTCAATAAAGAAAAAAATGTCTACAATCAAGCAGTAGTATCAGCAAACGAACTTCAGTGAAATATAATTTTTATTTCTATATACGTGTACTTCAGCCTTATGTAAAATGTTACAACTGCACGTGTAGTGGTATCATCTCCCAACATGTAGTATTTGTCATGTATCATAATAAAATCCGTTCTAAGATCGACATGGGTAAATCAACGCGGATTTGAACAATTCAATGATTAGAATACTTGCTTTTGACGCCCATGATGGACGTTCCATCCGAAGGAATGACCTCTGCCGTGCAGTATTATATATTTGTTTCAATGAACACAATATTTAAACCAATGAGTACAGAGTAACACGTACAATTTGTAGAAGATGCTCTATATCGCATAGGGAAAATTGTTTTATTTCCATCCATGACAGGCATAAAAGAAAAAGATTTCTCAGCTGACATAATTTAATGCGTATACAGTGACTGTCAAGAATGTTAAAATAGAAAAATAAAAACACACGATTGGCATAAAATGAAGACGCACGAACCTACATTTCCTTAAAAATTCCATAAAAATCTAAAAATTGTCATCGATAGTTCCTTCGTTGTTCTCTGTACTCGTTAGTGGGAACCCGTTTCATAAATCGGACACTGTTCTAACGAAAATGTACAGCCCGAGGTTAAAATAGAATGTCGCGCTTCCGAGTATTTTGGCACTTTGGTTGCGTCGCGTGATTCATGAGTGATAATGCAAGAAATACAAAAAGATAAAAAATATGTGTGTACATACATATATATGTATATAATATTATAATGTAATATAATATTACATATAATATACATGAGAAAATTAGAGAAAACTAAGAGTGGAACGGGCAACCAGAGCGACAGTTTTGTCGAACAGCGATTTTTATTATACAAAGTCCAGCGAAAGAGATCGCCTCGAGTCACACAATATTCTCATCTTCACTATAATACGTTATTTCGTCTGTACAAAATCGAGTCGCCCAGGGATGGCCACTGCGATTAATCAATTATATCACTGTATCGGCATATAATTGGATTTGCGCGAGAAAGTATCAAGTTGTCATATATGGAATATTGAATTTTTCAGCTAAACTTTTTTATCTTTGCAATATCGATGGAAGATGTATGACGTTTCATTCGATCACTGTTTTTTTTAAATGAAAGTTACGTGATTCAGAAAAATAGATTTAAACTTATTGATATGATATTATATATATATATATATATATATAATATCAACATTATACATGCATACAAATTTTAAATTGTGTGTGTATATATATATTATGCTAAAAAGTTCAATGTTTGATGAACGATGACTCGATATTATGCATTTGCTAGAACATTTCAGAGATCTGCAATATCAACACACTGCTGGTATGTGCAGCAAAAAAAGATAAATAGAAGAATCGCACAAGAGATCCATCCCCGGCGGTATCGTGTATACAAGTGTCTGGGCAGGAGTATAACAACAGTCAGCGATATACAAAAATTGCAATCGGTCGATTTAAAAAAATTGAGCTAATCTTAACACCTACGCTTACGTTACGTTCATGACATACAAAGATGTCGATCGGGCAGTCGGTCGGCTTACCCCATCGAACACAAAAAGGCGCCGGCGGAAACCAAAAAACGACGGCGACAATAATTCATTTTCCGGCAAACGTAAAGCGTCACCGACGTCTAACTGCAGCATTGATTATTAATTCTTTGTTAAATAAATTAATTACGTGACTTAAATCTTTGTCCCTCTTACGCACGCACGCACGCACGCACGCACGCACGCACGCACGCACGCACGCACACACACACACACACACACACACACACACATTTTCTCCCTTTCTTTCTTTCTTTTTCTCACGCCTTACTGTTCCGACCATATTCCAAGATTTGCTTATGATAAAATAGAAGGTATCTGAAAAGAAAAAAAGATCATTAGTCATGATACATTTTTCCCTTTCTATATTTATTAAAAGAAATCTTAAAAAATTTCTATCCCTTTCGAGTGTTGCATCTTACCCTTCACTGGTCAAAACATCCTTCAATTTGGCTCGCGTAATCAAATGATCATCGCATTTAAACCATTGATCCCTCTGTTGCCTGATGAAGGCGGTGTAATGACCAGTCTCTAAAGAGCCCTCATGATTTATCACGGCAAAGAGAGAGTACCTAGCGATTTTAGCGAATTAATTAAAAATTAATTAATTAAACTGATTCGACATTTTGCCGAAACAACCCAATGCTTAATTATTGATATAAATTGTAAAGAAAAATTTCGTGTTCATTTCATATATTGTGCTAAAACTATTATCCTAAACGCTATACTCGGTAGGTTTAAAAATTTCTCACGCCTCATAAAATACTATCTACCTGTTGTCGCTGAAAGTCATGTCTTCCCCGTTCTTCGACAAGCCGTCCATCGTGGCGCTATTGTTATTGCCATTACGCTTGTGCGACATAAACGGCGTCATATCCAGTTGTTCTGGGAACGAGATGAAGGTAGAGATTTTTTTATCTTGAATGCTGGAATGCTCGAAACGTTTCAGATGGAAGCTCGCTACGATCGGCAGTTGCTTCATCGTCAGCTGTTTCGTGCTCTCCTGGTAGGTCTGGCAATTGCTACACTTAATCTTTGCAGTGGAACCCAAATGTTCGGCTCTGGTGAATCTCTCCAAACAATCTAATAGGGAAGTGGGAGGACCGGATGTATCAGAACCGGACGCACCAGCCGCTGGACCGAGATCCAAAGATATATCCCAAAATGGATCTATCGTGGTTGACACTCCACTAAAATAGAAAACACAAATAAAGGAAGATTCTCTCTGGAAAATTTTGTAAAGACTAAAATTATAGTTTAAAAATTTCGGAAAAACCCAAATTTTTTCCTTTGTTTTTTCGCAAATTTTTTCGGTTTTTGTCTTAATATAAAAATTCGTAAAAAAAAAAAATTCACTTTATGTTCAGTTAAAACCTGTCACATTTTCGCTTTTTCCTGTAAAAAAAAAAAAAAAAAATACATCGCAGAAAAATGGGGAAAAAAGTTTTTTCTTTGAAACTATAACTGAAACCATGTTTAACATAAAAAAATATTTCTATCGCTGCCTTGGATAATTCCAAGAGTATATCTTTTCCCGAAATTTCTTTATATCGGTCATAGTTTTTTGCAGAAGACAGAAAATCGACATACTTGCAAGCCTGACAAACAACATCGCTCTGAAGGCCTCCTGTAAATATCTGATCAATGATGCAGTTACAATGATGAGGATTATCTTTAACAAGTATCGGAGCAGCTTCGCAGTGTCTGTGAAGGACATCCAATGTTGCGATGAAGAATTCATGAGCATCTTGCTGCTCATAGCCGGCCAAATGCCTGGCGTGTGTCCAGATTAGATGAAGGAGCTTGTGAAGTGTCAGCGGCGCTTTGCTGCCAGAATAGAACTCCTGGAACAGATGCGATACCTCGCAGACCAGGCAGCGAGTCGGTTGCGGGCAGTGGTGACGGTCAGCAAGAAAGTAGTCCCGTAGCAACGGAGTGTGGATCAACGCCTGTACGATGCAATTCATAAAGCAAGTGCTGCCAAGATTGATCAACCCTCTTAAACCTGAAACGTGAAAGCAATTGCGATATGAATCTTTTATATTGTTTGTAAGAAGCATTGCTATAATGTACCCTACTTACATATTTCACGCATGGAAGTGACATTGTTTAGGACTAATAGAACTTTTAAATAAAATGGCCATATTTAATGGATCTAATCGTGATCATAAATCATCTCCTTTACCTATGGTAGAGTTTTCTGCAACGCGTCTTCGACGCGGATGCTTCCTCAGCAGCTCGGTTTCTATCTGCGTTGGTTCCCATGCTCGGTAAAATTCCCCAAAGCTCAAAGATTTTGCTGAAGCACTCCATTGCGCCTTTGCTACTGCCAGCAGCTCTCTATCGTATACGTAATCGCCGCATTGGAAGCACAAAATATTTCCGTAACACAAATCGACGGCTGAAATATAAACAAATTAATCAGTACACAGGAATCAAACAAGATTAATCGAATGCAAAAGAATAAAACTTACATTTGTCATTAATCTAATCTACAATATTTATTTTTAGTCAAATTTAAATAAATCGTAGAATGTCAAAAAAAAGCTAACGGATATTCATAATTTATTACCTAGGAAATGTTTCTTCGTTCTCGCATGTTCCTGTATGTGACCTTTCACATGGCAGCCAAAAAATATACAATGAAGACAAGAATGTAGGCGGTCTTTGTAAGTATTACATGTATGACATAAACAGCTCACAGCCTGAAAAATAAAATTATTGGAATTATTATCCATATAGTTGCACACGAATCACAGAAATTAGTAGTCGAACATATTAGTGTTCCCACGCGTTTAATTAATAAGAGTCGACAGAAATCTGAAAAATTAGGTCTGTTCGTTTTCTCTCGCGAGACAACTATATGTTTTCTCACTTTACTTATTGCACTAGTTCAGCGGTGCAGCAAAAACGAACAGACCTATTGTCTAGTAGTTATTTTATTGTAAAATTGACATCAGCGTTTGCACTGCCGACAGTTTCAAAGTACCTCTGAACGCGCTCCCTCTTTGCTAAGTTATGTTCGCTCGTGTTCCGTAAAGATTATCCAACGAATCATCGAAAGTGCGCGAATTGTTAGCAAACGTTTAGCGCAAAATCTCATATAACCGCTGAGTCACTATTCTCGTCGATCACGGGCAACACCCAAAAAAAAAGAAACTAGTCGCGTATCCTGACGCACGTAACGACAAATATAGATGGCCTCACTATATCGACACTCGGTCGACATTTTTAAACGTCCCGCCAGCAGTTTGCTGTATGAGACACTCGCATCCCCTTCTAGGAGATTCACGAAGCTCGCACGTCAATCGTTTGGATGATGTTGCGAGGTGTTAAAGAGACCAATAGAAAGAGGCGGATTGAGACGAAGGCGGGCGAGGAGAGAAAGGCCCCTCGAGATAAAACGAACGAACGAACGAATGAATGAATGCATGAATGAGTGAGCGAGCGAGTGAGCGAGCGAGCGAGAGAGAGAGAAAGAGACGCGACGGGGAGCAGAAGTCTGAAAAACAGCGCGACAAGAACCTTGACCACGAATTGTATCGCGAAAGAGAAAAAAAGCGATGGGCGAACGTACCTTCCTGATGCGCGCCTCGGTCGATGTACTGGTGACGAAGTACGCGTGTATCACTTTGTAGGGCTGGATACCCTTGGCCGCTTTAAAATTATTCAAATGTATGCAACCATGGTCGCTCATCTCAGGCTGGCGACGCCGACACGACCGCACGTCCTTCTCCTCCGCCGCCGCGACTCCCGACGTTCGATGCTGTCGGCGACCGTCGGAAGCACCTCCCGGTGGCGCGGGCGCAGCGGCGTGCACGACGATAAGGGCGAAGATCTACCGACAGCAGCAGCAACGACGAGGACGCGGGGGGCGTAGCTTGCTGCTGGCCTTGGTAGGAGCGCGCGTGTCGTTGACATGGAAAAGCGAGTAGGCTTTGGGAAATAAAAGAGCGCAAGCAGAGGAGCGGCCTTCCTCCTTCCGGTCGCGTGAGAAAACGTGATCGGTCGAGTGGTGATCGCGCAGTGTCGTCGCACCGCTGTCAAGTGCGGCAGGAGAGAGAGCGAGCGAGCGAGCGAGAGGGGAGGGAGGGAAGGAGAAAAGAGCGAACGATTAAGATTGATACGAGGAAATACGAGAATTTTGCTGCGGCGACAGTACGAAACCGAAGGAGAGCGGCGTGACCGTCACGCGTTGGGGCGACACACTGTACATACACTCCTCCCGCTCTCGTGCAATGCCTACCACGTTCCCAGCTTCGCTTCGGCCCAATTGCGGATACCAGCCGGTCACTGCCGACGCCTCGTGTCGCCGGCGAAAGGAGGCGTTAATCGCGACGCTAGAGACACCTACTACTCGGGAACTTTGCCTTCTGACCGCTGATTCGTCCGTTTCCGACGGCCAATCGGTGAATTTCGTATCGAATCCTAGGCCAATCCGTGTGAGCGAGTGCTCTCGCCAACCTACGGTGTAGGGAGAACCGTAAGTATCTATGGAATACACTAGATCACTAGACTAGCGTCATTCCCTAGCTCTAGTGTTATCAGAAACTCTTGCGAAACAGATCGTATCCGGAAACGAAACGCGCTCGAAGATTTTTTGTCTTCTCTAATCGGTGATGAAGCAGTTTTACTACTACAGCGGCAATTGTATAAGCACTCCGGAATTAATTTATACGTATACATATAACGTCTTGCAATTATTCGTTAATAAAATGTCTCGTATAAATGGCATGACACGAACGATTATTTCAAATGATGTAACGTATACTTCGATCGCGTGCTTTGTGTATGTGGCGCGTACTCGGATAGATTTAAAAAAATTATTCTTTTTTTTTATTCAAACACCAAACGCGCCGTTATGACTTTACTCGCAACAGAGAGGAGCGACAATTTCGATTGCATTTATCGTTCCAATTTACAAATGTTACTCTGTTTAGGGCACAGTGCATGTGCGGCGTTGTCACGAGTACGTTGTCGAATACGCCCTACAGCACATTCGACGATGACGAGAGGCACGGGATCACATTTCCGCGCACATATTTACGTAGTCACCTGACGGAGGTCGTGGTTTCCGTAAAGAGGCGATTGCGGGTAAATAATGGATTGGCAACACCAAGGTGAGACAGCTATTAGTATTCCGCTCGTGTGACGATGATGCTTACGAATGTAACACCGAACGGCAGCGGGCTTAAGTAGGTTATGCAATTCTGCCTGAGTCACGCACATACACACACCGAGTCTCTTGACATGTACTACTTTGTCACCAAACGAGAATTCATCGTGTTATTGTACGTAAAATCGCCGCATCACTCCCACCTATTATCCGCTAATGTGATGGAAGCGGAGACGACGACGATGACGTTTCGTGGGCACCGAACAGAGTAACAGGGCTATAAACGCGCGCGATGCTCTTTAGGTTTTATAAATCAAGAGGTGGAAGAGAGACAATCGAATTATAGGTCGGCGTCATGTACGTTGTACCGTTCCTCAGATCGGAAATTACACGATTTTCAGCCTCACACTCACAACGTATAAGGTTGAAAATCGCATAAACAATTCTAACTACAACGGTAGAGTTATAATAATTTCAGTTCTAATTGCTTTGATCTTGTGTGTACATATGTAAGGCTGAAAATCACATAATTTTCCATCTGAAGAATGATACAGCGTACATGTCACCGACCTGTGTTCTCCGAACGAAACACGATATGCAAGATACACTAGCGGGAACGCTCGCAATAATTAAGTTAACGCACGACTTCGAGACCGCTTGTCTCGCCTGTAGCTGTATAATTCGCTCCTTCTCATCGAGGGGGGCGCGCTTCTTTATTTTTACGCAATCGGCGTCAGTGTACATATGCGCGTACACATCTCGTAAAAGAGAAACGAGAGAGAGAGGATGGAAAAACGACTTCCCACAATTGTCCTCGTGCACCGTTCCACTTTTACACGATGATGTACGCACGCACGCGTGTGCAATATATACGTGTGACACGCGCAGTCGTTCGCGGAGTCACGAAACATTCGCCAGTCAACGAACCGTGTTACAAAACGCCATGCTGTAAAGTCAACGTGATCGCACCTGCTATTCAACGTGTGCGCAGTGAGCGCATAATACGCTCATTAAGCGGTCCTTCTAGCCAACGGCGATCTCGGGCGGGCTTTTCGCCGAGAGGAAAGTGCCGCCGGTTAATGAGAGAGTATGTCGGCGATACAGATACGGTATTATTTACACTGATGGATCGAAGGATTATCGACGAGAGAAAAACATCGCGAGGCGTGATTCATCGCATCGGCGTGCATATTGCATGCGCGAAGCGTAACAACTTGTCGACCACAGTCCAGGAAGAAGCACGAGGACGACGTTCTATGAAATAAATATCTTTATTTGGAATTCGCCTTTCTTGTTATATATATATATATATATATTGCGAAGTGAACGTTCATTAATATCTGTGATATTCGACATAACGCGCTAATAGCACCGATAACAATTAATATTACTAATAATTTTCACGATTTCTTAATAATAATGTATAATAAGAAGAATAACGATAATAATAAATATTAATAAATGCTTTATATATATATATACACACACGGAGAGATTTGACGTGAAATTGAAGTAACACGAGTTGATCAGAGCAAAGAATCGCGTACGACTATTCGGGATCAGATCTGGAGATACCAAGTGTTACACAGACGTATACATACATTGATATTAATATTGTACAAATCGACCTACATATTGAACTTTCATCTACGCAAGACTTGTACCAGTGTTATGCGATTAGCAGCGGCGGCAACGACGGCCTTCGCAAACGATGTCATGATGCGCGACTCAGAACTGCAGCAGCAGCTGCATGATCGAAATAAAAACATGAGCTGGTAATTCCGATATACTCGCGAATCCTCCCTGCCTCTCCCGCATTCTGATCTGACCGATCATCGGAAGTGTTCAGCACTGATATTCGTCGGAAATTGGTGAGGGACACCTCCGGCGCGATTCCCTTCGAGTTAAGCAGAAGCTGATTTATAAATAATTTCGAGACTATGTAAAGGGGGTCAGCGAAAATCCGGACAGTGGAAATTGTCGAATGTGTGACTCTCAGGTATCGCACCGTTTCATATGCGCAAGCGAACAACATTCCTCGAATATTCTATTTTCCTCTCTTCTTCAGCGTCCTCTTCAAAGACTCGCGATGCAAGCGGACATCGAAATTAGTACGATCGGAAAAATATGATCGAGAGAAAACTTATTTCTTCTTATTTGGCGGAGGAAAGAACGCGCGAGAGCGATAATCTTTGACATTGCTCGTGAATGAAATTGATTTCTCATCTTCAATCATCATCGTATCTACCGGATGCACTTCTCTCGACAAACGTCTTTCTCGTCGCGCGTGCCTCGTATTCGCACATTCCTCGCCCCGTATTATACTTATATACTTACATTTACACTTAAAACATATAAATTAATTACCGTGGAAAGGTGTCGCGCACGTTGAAAAGTTAATGTAATTTAAGTGACTGCTGACTGTAAAACCGTGGACTTACGGGTCGTTTCTTTCGCATTCTCGCACCAAGTGTACAAAGCTGCCACTTCCCGCTACCACCTTCTGCGCGCGGTTTTCCATGGAAGGAAGAGGCGACTACTTCGCGACGAGTACCAAAATTACAGAAAGCAGCGTGGCAAACGCGAGACTGACGGAGTCGGCGCCGGCGGTGATGTCCGGCAATTCCGGCGCCGTGTTGTTCTCGTAGTACTGGTAACTTCTGGCACCCACGCGCGTCCTGATGAGACGGTAGTTGGACGTACTAACGTTGACGCGACTATTCAAGAAGTTCTGCAGCGTGTTAACGACGCACCAGAGATAGCCGTTCTCGTCGAAGGCGAAGCTCTCTGGCCATTGCGTCAACACATGATCCCGTGACATTACGCGCTGGCCGATGGTGAAGGACGACGAATTCTTAGTGTCCCACATGGCGATGGCATCGTCGGCTAACAGGCCGAAGTAAAGCACACTTTTGGCCGACATTATCATGCCGTCCGTCTGCGAACTCTTCCGTCCGAGTTCTCTCACATACTGGTCAATATTCGTGGCGTTTTTCTTCAAAGCAGACACCGGGATCGAGTATAGGTGGAAGGAAGACAAGGGCGAATAGTAGACTTGCCTGAAACACCGTGTTGTTTCTTGAGAAAAAAAACCTCTCGCAGGAATGTCTACGACGTGATACGATCGCTTGATGTCCCTGAGACGCTTTATCGCGTACGACGCTTCGTGCAATGTTAAATATGCCGTAACCTTTTAACCCTTTCGTTGCGTGCGACGGATATGTCTGGCGCTAAAAAGTAGTTTCTCGATTACATATATTATGTACATACGTCGTGGAAAATCGCCATTATAGATAAACAAATTTGAAGATAGATAAACTTACTGCTTCTATATAAAAACAGAGAGACGGAAAAATGGATTAAAGACGTCTGACAGATGTCTAATAAAAATAGAACGTCTGTGAGACATCTGTATTTCGCCTAGTTTGAATTTTTCGATTGGAATTTTCTTTTTATTATATTATTCCGCCTACTCAGTTTCGCACAATTGAAGTGCCGAGTACATGGCGAGCACTTTTCTCGGCTGGAGTGCGCCGCAGCGAAAGAGTGAAAAGATTCGTTGAAATAAAACCGTTCCAGACTCGCGTGATCATATCTAACGACTCTTCGCGGAGAAGAACAACCGCATAAAATTCATCGGTATTGAAAGAAAAAAACGCTAATTTATACGTAGCAATACCTGTTGCTGCTACTCGCTGGCGAAAGCGCTATACCATCCACAGGCGTCGGCAGTATCACGTGCGTCTTCGCCACCATGAACGTAACCGCCTCGGACTTCGCCTTCATCGAATCGTGGCGGATCTTCCACGAGGTATTGTTCTTCAGTGAGTACACGATGATCCCAGGGTCATCCTTGCTGCTATCGGTGATGTACGCCATCACGCCGTCTTCGTGATCGAGAACGATGTCATTGAGATAGGTGACACCGCGACGAGCCACGTGATCGGGGAACTCGTAAATGCGCAGGATTTTGCCGGCGTTCTCGAGATCGAGGATGACGAGACGCGCGGGACAGTTGGCGGTGAGTTCCCTGAGAGTCGTCGGCCGGCCGGTGTCGAGCACCCACATGCGCCCTTTCGGATCGATCTCCATGCTGTGGACCAGTTGGAACGCGTAGCAGTCACCCAGCTTCTGCATGGCCCAGCTGGGGAAGGGCTCCAGCAAGGGCGCCGTTGTACCGTTCACCGGCGTCGCCGAAGTGACGCCGAGCGTCACCGGCACGCCGTCCTTCCACCGCGGCATCGTCAGGTACATCTTGTCCTTCCAGAACTTCACGGTGGCTATGAAGTTGTTCGCCGGGATGTAATCACCGTGCGTGCCGGCGTAAAGCCGCTCTTCGTCCGACGGCCACTGTGTGTCGATCGTCTTCCACTCGAAGATCACTTGAAACGGCTCGTGGCACATCACTATGGTGACCGCGAGAGCCAACAGTATCAATCGCTTCATCTCGCCGCTTAAAAATCTTCCTTCACTGATGAGACGAGTTTCCACTTATTTCACACTTCTTCCCTCCGTTCCGGCGGACCGTGTAAATCTGCTTTAAAAAATTGCCGTTCAAAGAAGAAACGTTTAATGTGCGAATACGCAAAAGTTTCAGCAGTGTCACGGACGTGCTAAAAAAAAAAAAAATACCGAGAGTACAAGTGGTCCCGAGAACTATCCTCTTCCCTCTTGTCCTACTTAGCGTGAAACAGAAACCGTTGATTGCCGGAAATACTTATTCAATGGAAAGAAGATTACATTACGCGAAAATAACGAATCAAAGGCGATTCAAAAGTTTCGTTATTGCAAGTTCGTTTTATCATCATAATATGAATGTATGTGCGCGCGTACAGCGAGATTTATATTTGCGTAAACTTTTGCGTCCTATATCGGAACCACGTACCACTCGCTGCTGAAGCTTCCACAAAATGAAAACGGACTTTACACTCGTCCGGTATATAGCTGACTCAGCGACTCACAATGTGCTTCATTATTTCAAGGATCGAGAGAGAAAGAGAGACAAGTGTAGGTATCAAACAAGTAAAAAAAAAACAATATACAAATATAGATTTACTTTTCATAACCCCTCTCGTAATTCTCTTAAACTGTATGTTGCGTAAGAGTTCTATTTTTATTCAATATTTTGTTTGTTCGTTTGAATGTTTACGTCCTCGGATCTATCATTCCCTCGATCTTGACATATCGACGCGCCCCAGTAATTCCACATAAATATTAAATATCGCTCTCTCCGGGATAACTTATCTGTTTATTATCAACACTACAACACGGCTTGTCTTACATTTTATACGTTAGGACCTGGAAGAGACTCGTTCCCGCGAATGACGTCTTACGCGTAATCGGAAGAGCCGTCGTCGTCGTTAGCGCGCGAGAAACGTTTCTCTCAGCGAGGTGGTTATTTTCGTACGCAGAGGTCGGAATCGCGTGCGCCTGTATCAAGGTGCGATGTTGAATGATCATGCAGCGGCGATCGCTATTTGACTGACGAGCGGCGCCTTCGTCATCGGCAACGGACCACCACCGCCGCGCGGCCGCCCGCTGGTTAGGGAGGCGAGGCCGATCTCCCACTCGCTCGTCCAAAGTGTATTTACACACAGAGGCGAGGGGAAGACGCCCATGTTACATCGAGAGCTTACAGGCTCGTCGAAGTGACACGAAGATGCAAATCTCCGCGCTCCGTTGGGCAGCGCGACGCAAGTCTCTCTTTGGCCCGACCTGTGATGTAATCCGCCGTGCGTGGAAAAAACAAATTCCGTGCGACAATTCGGTGCGACTGGATTTTCTGTTGCCTGCGGACCAGACGAAAGCTCGGTTGTAGGAAAGGAAAGATTCTCGTAGGAGGTTTCTCTGTCCGGTCAATTGCTCCCGGTGATCTCATAACCGAGTTTTAATGCAGCACTGAATGTTCACAATGCGAATGCTCTCAGCCGCGATAACGGAGATGTCATTTCTCGTCGTCACTGACGTTTTCGTCCGGTCCCTATTCAGGCTGCGTTCCAATATTCACTGCCAGTACTGAAATTCTATAGTTCACGTATACTATAGATTTTCAGTACTGGCGGTGAATATCGGGACACGCAGGCTCAATATCGCAGGAACCGAGGTTTTCTTTTCGTGTGGAAATGGCTCTTAGCGGCTCTTCGCCGATCGCTCCTCGCAAGCCTCGTGTTGCTTTTCGGCCTTGGATTCACTTGTTAACCTAACGGTTGCGACTCGCAGCATCATTGGCGATTTACAATTATTATCAATAAGCCTAGAATTGGGAAATCAGCGAAGTTGATGAGTCAGACTCGAATAACAGTAAAATGTTTATCCACGTTCGTTTCGCAGCGTAGCCGAGGAGAAAACTGACGCTTGAGTTAAAATAGCGCGCGCGCGTGGGATAAAAAATAATTCTGAAATCTATTCAGCAAATAAATGAACGAAGCGAGCGAGGGAGTGAAAGAGGGAGTGGAAATTTACGGCTTTAGGAAATTGCTTTTGCGAGCAGACGCGTTACTTTGTTTCATTTCCACCTATGTATATCTTCTTGCAACTTTGCGCGCGTTTCGAAAATAGAGGCCAGTCCAGGGAAAGTTGCATTTATGCGTGCGTGCGTGCGTGCGTGCGTGCGTGCGTGCGTGCGTGCGTGCGTGCGTGCGTGCGTGCGTACGTTCGAAAATGAATATTATCTTTTCTTCAGTCAGCGGATTTGGAAACGCATTTCATGTGTATTCAATAGGAAAAAAGTATCTGCCAAGGGAATTACTAGAAAATAAATTCTCCCGTTGGATACGTGATGCGTTGGGCAAAAAACTCGCCGAAAAAACAAATGAGGTGTTGGCGTCCTTCGATCCGCCGACTGTGTTTATTATTGGCGTTCGGCTTTTTTTCGAAACTTCGGAAATTTTTCGCTATCTTTCGAACGATCACGTCCGTTGCATCCACTTGCTTTCGATTTACTTTTTCGAGAAAGCGCACGTTCCGTCGAAAATATCGTCTTGAACTCCGCTAGACGCAACGTGGCTCCCATGTGAATGCCCTTACGAATCGTACACGTCTCATTGACGTATGCGCGTACCATCTCGCCGCTGTCGTTGAACTGTAGATATTTTCGAGAATTGCATCAACGTACGCGCGCGCGCGAGTTATCGTTGCAGCGCGCGAGACAACAGCAGGCCGTTACGTAACGATGCTACATCCCTGTTCATCCTCCGCTCTTCTCGCCACTTTCTCACGCCGCCTCACGATCAACACGAATCAAGCGCGTGTACGCAACAAGCCGGACGACGATTTCTCCAAACTACGATTATTATTCGTATTACTCGACACCAAGGTCGAACCGAATAGGAAACACTCGCGAAGAAACAACGACGAGCGAATTAACTGTATACCTGTGTGTGGCAAAACTCGCGCAGTTCCACTTAGCGCGAAATACAGTCGCCAAGCACGTCCAACGATCTTCTCTATCATCGGCATCTGGCACGTGTGTGTGTGAACGCCTCTCGATTATAAACGGTGAATCACGTTAGAAAAATAAAGCCTCAGATTATTCCATTGTAAAGTCTCTCATTGTGTAAAGCTTCTATTGTGAAGTCTGAAAAAAAAAGAGAATAATTTTGCAACGATTTTCCGACGGAAGCTTAGTTTTCGTGTGCGTTAGGACGTTACGCGTCGAATATCCGTCGAGTCTATCGTGTAGTCTGAATACCTGGTATATAAGATTTCGCTTCATTACATAGATACGACTATGTAACGTTAGCCAGATCGGCAGTGTCTACATGTTTAAATTAGGCCGCTACGTCGAGTCTAATAGAAACAAAAGCGGCGGCCTCGTCAGTTCCGTTAGCGAAATGAAAATGAAGGCGTGAATGACGTTTCGTTTGAGCACATTTTGCACGGAAGGGAGAGGATAGCCATACATACATAGACGATCACGCTACGTTACGTGAATTTGGATTAGACCCTATCACGCTATCTTCCGAAGATTTGCACAAGAACATCAACAACAATTAGCAGCAATTGCGAATGCTTAACGATCCGTCAACTCGCTCGTTAATACAGATTAATGCAGAACGTTAGTAATAATAATGATCCGTGAAACGACACAAAGTTATCCGCGAAACGGAACAGATTCAGTTATCCTGAGCGACTCGCCGATCATACACGCATGTTTACTACGTTCCTATTTATTAAGGACATTTAGGAAGTTACCGTTATTATTATTATTATCTGAGAAATCTATATCGTCGTAGGAATGATAAAGCTTCCCTCTTCCGATACCCGACAGAGCTAGTAACGAATATCCATTAGGCGCGATAAGACAGAATTCAGTCCGTTTGAGCCCATTTAATTTCGATCAGTCGTGATCGTCAGTCCTTATATCTTACACACACACACACACACACACAAAATATACACACATATACATACCTCGTGTATAGCTGTTTCGTTCTCCTTGGATTTCCTAATTCGCCGGAGCGACTAACCGTTTTTCTTCGAATGGCTGTTCTATTTCGAGCAACGTCGGGTGTCAGTTTTAGTAGGCCACTGGGAAACGGAAGCGGAGGGTGCGGCCTTTGCCTACTGTCGCATTTATGCTCGTTAAATCAGACTGACTTATTCTGCCCAATTCATCCTATATATTCTCTATCGCGTCCGTTCAATCGCTCGCCATCGTCTTGTTCCGAAAAAAAGAGAGAAATAAAACACACGCAACCCGCGATAAGACGATTAATTAACGAAATGGACGCTGGCTCAAGCGAAAACTATAATAAACCTTAGTTTTTTCTCTCTCTCTCGTGTATTTTTTACCGCAAAGAGAAAACGCTGAACTCAAACGAATTACTCTCGACAAACTAGATAATACAATACTACGACGTGATAACAACAATAAAAATTGCGAATCACGTATACAACGTGTACGTCCACTGTGACAGTTTATTGATATTACATCCGCGAGACGGCCCAATTAAACATAACTTCAGATACCGTTTACGGCTTGCCGTTAGAATTTTTTAAAGGACGCGTTGGAATGCCGGGCCGCGGATAATTGACACCCTCGCGCCTTCACTCGCACAATGTAATTTCATATCGCTTAATTACGCAGCGTGCAAGGACGACGGCCCTAATTCGCCAAGCGCGAACGTCAGTCTACGATCCATAGATTTTCTTCGCTAGAGGAAACGACACGTGCTTATACGGGCTTATACGGGTGAGCCGGAACGGCGACAACAGGAAACAACGATAATGATACGAACTATTGAAACGTTGATTGCAAATAGAATCCAACGACAACTTCACGATCCGACAATTGAAGCTTTGCAATTTTGTCGGAAATTCCGGAGTTTTTTGGTCCAATCTTAAACTGTAAATTATGATCGATCGGATTATTAGCTAATAAAAACATGATGGTGATGATGACGTAAGCGATACGTGATCATTTACTTTACAAAATTGAACGAACTTTGTGTTTCTCATAACCGCCGTGCGATGACGAATGGTCTTATCTAAATTACGCAAATTACCAGACAGTTAGTATAATTGCGATACTGCGATATCTTTAATGACACTACAAAGATTGTACGTTCCGATAAATGCTATCGGTATTGAAAAGTAAGAAAACATGAACTTGGTCAAATTTTCAGTACTGTCAGCGAATATTGGAGCACAGCCAAAATCGATCGCTAATTCAGCGACCGAAAAAATATCTTGGTCCGCAGGGTCACTTAGGTGTAATAATAATCTTGTCTAACGACAACTCGATCGATATTACGATGTCGTCAGTCCCGTAACTGTAATTATGCCAATCTATAGTGAGGACCGCCGATCGTACGATTTCTAATAGCCCTCCACAGCCGGAAGCGAAAAAGACTCGAGCGGCGTTGTAAAATGCAAACATCGCAAAATGCCTAGAGCGTGGAACGGCAATTTACAATAGAACAGAGCGAAAGAATTCCGCGAAACAACTTTGATTTGACTTTGTAAGTCCCAAGGATTGAATTACGGTGTATCGAATTTAATTGCAAGTGATAAAGTACGGATAAAGCGAGTGTGAGATTTACAGTTTCTCGAGAAATTTGCGAGAAAAATTTCGAACACTCGAGGCCCCTCACTTTGCGCCGTGAAGCGTTAACACGTTAACTGCCACGCGCATTTCGGAGGAAATTTCCGTCAGGCCAAATCCATTAAAATTTTTTGGTAAGAAATATTTAAGTATATTAATTATAGGATCCTGAAATTACTTATTAAACTATGTAATTTTTTTAGTTTTATATCGTACTTTATACTGTCAGTCGCCGATGACTTACGCGGCCCCAACGAAAAGTTCAGTGTCAGTCACTGGTGACTGACGTGGCAGTTAACGTATTAATGATCTAATCTAAAGCGTTATCGTATCGAATATTTTTGCTTCGGATTAACGAGAAGTCTCGAAAGTGCAGGAAAATTCGCAACGTCCGACAGTTGACGAGTTTCTTTCTTCAAGATACGTTGGAAAAATTCATTTTCACGACGCCACCGTGTAGATAGATAACTTAATCACTAATTTCACATTTACTCGGTATTTCTCACCTCGGTGATCGAATAAAACTATTTTTACGTCGTTTCTCCCTCATTGAATCTCCCTGATTCGTCCAGCTTCTTGATTTTCTGCAAACGTTCCTGGGCGATTTGTTTCATGTTAGCGTAAAATTCCGACTTTGGTGGAAATAGGCATTTGAAGTCGCGACGATCTAACCGAAGCAACTCGCACACTTCCAAGGCGATCACTGATTCCGTTCTGCTCCGATCAGGACAAATCAGGACTGTCTCGCCAAAGTGGTCGCCGTCGTGCAAATGGCATATCTATGTGTAATTTGAGAAGAAAAATATACCACGGGCTATGAAAATGCGTTAAACGCGACTGTATCAGAAACAACTCTTTAGAAATTCCAGATATTTTCAGTCACTCACCTCCTTCCCCGAGAATGTAATCAATACGACGGTCCCGCTGGCTATAAAGTACATACAGTCACTCTCGGTGCCGGCCTTATAAATTACATCTTCCTCGAGATATATCACCGGTTTTAACAAACCTGTTTCATAATGTGCATACTTGTTAACTCGTAATGATTAATTGTAATTTTCAGTGATTCTCTAATAACGAGTAACGGAGAATGACAATTAGAAATCGATGCAAGTATAATTGATAACTATCAACGGAAAAGAAAGAAGATAATTTACTCATTAAGTCACCAAGGACATTGTGGGTCAAGTTGCGGAGAATCGCATTATTCATCAATCTTCGGCTATTGTGGAACAGAATTTCTCGGTTCAAGTGATCTACGGGAGTGTCAGAAAAACGTTAGAAGTTATTTTCATCTTCGGTTTGTTTTTTCAGTTCAATTAGATGGTTGGTTGTGAGCTCAGCCGTCTCAATCGATACCCCTCTCTTGCTCTCAACTAACTTGAAAGAGTGTCAGATATGATGATCTCTTTGAAAAAGCTGCCCTGGTAACGATACTCGTAATAAGAGGTCAACTTGTCCTTCAGATATCGCGGAAGCCTTTTCTGGTGAATGTACTCATTTACTTGATGCATAATGCGTTGATACTTGAGCTCTGGCTCAGCCGACGATTCCAGGAGTTGCAAAATCGTTACTACGACGTGACAATAGTGAATCATAACAGTATGTTGTAACAAGATACAAGAGTTAATAGAATATGAACCCCAATCTGTTTCTCTTTTAACACGTTCGCTACCAGGGTCTGAAAAGAAAATCTTGCACCACAGCCCAGGGTGTTTTTTATCAGAATATGTTCCCCCAATTGACATGGGTCTTTTTATGATATATTTATAACATAAAAATGTAATTATCCTTAGATCAAGGACATCCTACATCTATTTGATTGTTTTTTAGCTCAACAATATTGTTCATTTCCAAATTTATTGCAATACGTTAATAAAGAACACGCACCACACTGCGGCGGTGGGCTCAGATATAAGAAGCGGGACGCCGCATATATGAGGCAGTGATAGTGAATGTGTCAATGACAATTCAAAGAAAATAATCGAGAACATTATGGAGCATTTTGAAAAAAATATGTGTATTAAAGTCAACATATGAGCTTGTACATTTGCTTCTTCGACTTTCTAATCATCGAGCTATTACTTTTTCCATTCCATTTATTTACAAATCTAAAAGAAACCGAAATGTAGGACGAATATACTATACCAATGAGATAGATTATATAGCCCTTCCCGCACAGCAATAGTACACATCGAATCATTCTGTCCAAAATTCCGAAATTTTCAAATTCGATGGAACTCGAGCCGATCAAATTACTCACTCCAATATGTACAAATATTAAATAGATTTTCCAGATAGGTTTAGTGTAAAGTTTGGTCGATATATAATACGTGTCTGAACCCTAAAATCACATACGGTATAAAATAGGTTACGAATTTACACAAGATTCCCTCTCTCTCAGAAATATCGATTTAAATGCAGCAATTATAGGCTCAACATACCATCATAGGTTTTCCTTTCACATGCTTAACAATATATGGAAAGATATAACTTATACAGCCACTCCAATGAAGAATCAGTAATGTTATGATAACGAGCCATATCGTTGTCTTTTTAGTTCGTGGGATTCCACACATCTGTTTAAAAGAAGTTTCAAGTTAAACTCACCCATTTATCAAAATTCGATACGGCAATCTGATCTATGAAAATCCATCGAGCGTAGATTTATATTATTTAATGATTTCACAACAAATTACCTCACTGATTTGCTGAATATTGTGCCTTAACGAAAGCATATGAATTATCTTCAAAATGGGTAGGAATTCGATGATGAGCAACGCAGAATTCGAATCAGGGCCAGACGGTAAGATACGCCACGGGTAGAGCCACGTGTAAGGTATCGAGGTGAATAAATCAACGAAGAAATATCTCCTCACATAGTGCCTGAGTAAAGGACAAAAAATTACAGATTTTTCTATTTTTTTAATACCCCTACCGAAATGTTTGTAAAACGGTACGTCCACATGACGTCTTTACCGTGCCACTAAAGCAGCGTCGAGAAAGATCTCATGGCCATCGGAAGATACAAAACCGGTCATAAAGTTCAGAAATATATCTATGATACAAAGAGTATAGACGGGATACACGATGTTCCATCGTTCGGGGCCGCTATTTTTCCCGATTCTGTAGAAGCACACAACAAACGGAACCGTCACGAAGAGATACAGGTAGGTAACGGTCATTATCGTATCCCAGTAGAATCTACGGCAAATATTTCCAATCACCACAACGTCTGTACCTCAGTTTGTTCTTCAGGAATCAAGGCTCTCTATTCCTTTTCTTTTTTTAATTCTCGTACCTCAACATACTGAAGGGGTGTATCACCCATCGATGAGGTGACCTCGCGTGTCTCCTTTTTTCAAAGGCGATAGCCGCCTGACTGCGTAAAACCGACCGGGTCAGAGGGTGCCGAGCCGAGACGAGAACGAGCTTCTGAAGTCTTCGCCGCCAGCGACTGTAAAATTTCGCGTTCGGTGGTAATTTCGGCAAATTGCTGTTGGACGACTTGGGCAAGTCGCATATGTGCAAATTCGTTTGCTTCCTCGAGATGTTTAAATCTGTCGCCATGTTGATACAACGTGCATGTCGCGAAAAAAAGTACGACGATCGCTCAACGATTCGACTTTCAGGATGGGAACCACTATTGTTGTGACACTCGTCGAGTTTACAGGGGCGTGTTTGAACGATGGTATATAGAAAATTGTTATCGTCGGGATTTGCGTTTTCGGTTCTTGGAGAACGAGTGAACGATTGAACAACATCTTAAATATTCTCTCTGCTTCGCGCCTCAGTGCTATCACTCGTGCCACCAATCAGCGGCCAGTCGCGCCAACATAAATCTAACCGCGCGGGCGATACGAAATCTAGAAAGGAGACGGACTTGCACGACAAATTGAAACTTGCTTGATATCACGCGAGAAAGAAGAAATTCGTTATTGGCGCAAGACGACGCAAACAAAACCATAGATATGAATGTTCCATTGAGAGAACGGTGGATGCAAGATATCGAGATGTTCTCCAAGTACTTGGATATAAAAGTAATTCTCGCTCGTTTAACTAATTACAATCTTCAATTATATATCAGTAATGTATGTATACACACAATAAATAAAAAAATTAATTTTTTATTATAATTGTATATTAATCTACTCCCTTATTAAAATATACATATGTAGTCGACGGCAGAACAATTTCTAGGATGATACTAGGACATATTTTTGTATCATACTTGTATCAACTTGTGTGAATTGATTTCCATCAGTAAATCAAAGGCAATAATAATGTGTGTGATTACCAGATTGTCCATGCAAATGCTCATAAATTTAACGGTTTAATAATTATTCTCTTTAGTGTCTATATCAAGATATCTGTAGAGATTATTACCGATAATAAATACAAACTATCGCCTCTTCTATGATCAATTTGTGTACATCCTCTAAATGTTACAATTTTCATTCGAAATATCATCTTATTACCATCTACGTGTATGTGTGTGTACTTGTAGAAATTTTACAAAGAAATTCTCTCGTTTGACAGTCTCACAATGCAGCCGAGCAAACGGATTATCTGGCAGACAATCCTGAAATAAAACAGTTGATCGCGGACTATGTTCTGACTCTTCTCATCGGTAATCACTTTATTCACAGGATAAGCTTTGTGCCCAATCTGCTTCGACAGATCGAGTGATCTTTATCCGTTGTCGATCTTTAATTAGCGAAGCCTGCCAACGTCATAGACTTCACGATACAACACTTCAAAGCGTTCGCTAAGGAACCGAAAGCTTGGGACGCCGATTTGTTTGCGAAGCAATCTGACATTGACATACATCTGCAGCAACAAGGTCCGAAAGTCCAATCTGACGTTGTGTGCGATGTTCACAGGGTCTGCGTAAAGTGCATATTTGCGTCACAATCTGACAAATCATTCCACGAGCAACATGAATCAAATTTCTAAAGAGACACTTCCGAATCTTTTCTATGTACCCGCTAAATAGTATAAATATGCAAGTCATGTGGAAATTTTTTTTATTAAATTGTAGAGAGTTTACACAGTTATAATATAGCTTCACATATCGAATAAAGAACTAAATTGTAAATTTAAAATGGAAACATTAGCTACTTACAAATACGTGATAAAAACATCATTACAAAAATTTTTCTCTCGCCATCTTTCGTAAAAATATATACATTTATTAACATGTACTGCTTTAGTGCATTAATATAAACTAAAACAGAGTAAATAAGCTAATAAAGGAAAATATATAGAAGTTTTACCCAATTTGATTTCAGAAACTGAAATATTTCTAAATGAAAAAGTTTCAGATTAAAACTCATTCGTTTTAATTAGTAATTCTAATTCGTTATGCAAAAGGTTGTTTACGTCACCGCAATTTCGGTCTCTCACACACACGCTGAAATATCATACCGTCGTGTATCCACTTCAAGCTTTGGATATTGCATATGTCACATAAGATGAGATTTTACTTTTATCATTTTCTGCTAGGCACCATTTCCTTTTGCGAATTGCAGATTACACAATTTTCCTGAAAATAATGATCATGGTAATGACACATCGATAATAACGAAGCAATATAAGATTTAGTATGGAGAAAACATTATACGTACAACCAATTCAAAGTTGGGTAGACAATCCTCGTGGAAAGAGTGCTTACAATAAAATACAACCATGTTCCGCGGATCTAAGAAAAAGAATTTAGTGGAAGATTTATACATACAATCGTATAATTAAATTTTAAACTAACTACAACATTTATAAATACCTCTTACAATTATCTTCCTATGGCAAGCTCCGCACATTTGGTCGTCTGTAGAAAGAAAATAAAAGTGCCAGTGGCAATTTTTCGTAGATAATATTATAAGTTTTACTAAAGCGAAATATTTAAGCTATATATAAAACAAACAGACACACTTAATTGAAAATTCTTGAAAACTTTCTATAATATTCCTTTATTATTTCTATAATATAGTTCTATAATGAATAACTGCATCATCTTTGCTTTTCAAAAATTGCCAAGTTAATTCTACAAAATCGCGTACGCTACCGTCGATAAATATGCCTTTCTGGTGACAACGAACGAGCCTCTCATGAAGGTTGAAATAATCATTGGACAAGATCTTCTTACAACCTTCCTGCACGGACACCTGCAGATTATAGTCACACATCATCTTGACTAGCGCCTTCTTCAGTCCGGGGATCTCCAAAGTGGGCTCTATCCTCTGTACCATGAGCCGAGGATCGACGTAGGTACCGATCCTTTGGAGAAGGAACGTAATAGCCGCTGAAACACACAAGAGAAATTGGTGGTTTTCTTTCCAAGTTCCATTGTGCATATGATGCTGCTAAAACAAATCGATTCGTATAATTGCCTAACGCCTGAAACCTCACAAGCAGATTTCTTCATCTCTCGTACCAGGTTTGTCGAGCGAATAATTAACTAAGTCGTTCCACAGTTCCTTATCGTCGTGTTCTTGGCAAAACGCAATAGCACTCTCCATATCGTTGAGTTCCCTCGTCATGAGCGCCAAGGCTTCCGAAGTGTTTCCCATTCTGCCCAACAGGTACACCATTTCGGGATAAAATTGACGCTGACTACATATATCCAAGGCTTGCTGTATCGGATAACTATCGGAACGACGTAGAAGCGGCAACAGCTTGTCCCTCGAATAATCAGCGTACAGTCGTATCAGCAAGTCATGATACTTGCCTTTCGAGTCTTTCGTATCTTTTTTGTCTAAGGCATCCAAATACTAAAAATGAGAAGTGTCAAAGCGGTCAAAGCTTCATATGGAGAAAACTTTTGTTTTCGATAAAATGCAAGCAAATTGAAAAATTGTGAAAATGTACGGCCCTCAATTAGGCCACCAAGTGCGTTCTCCTTGTACACTTCTGAATGACAAAGGTATCGTTGAATTATTACCAGGTATAAGTAACGTTGATTATGCTGCAGCTTCTGCACAACAACTTCAGACGGCACCCTGTCCTTCTCCAAAAAGAACTGTATGGCACGATCCGTGTCCAGATCCATCAGACCTTCGATCATTTCGTATACCGAACTGTACAACTGATACTTCTGGATCAATTGGAAGACGTCTTTATGTCGCAACTTCAAGTACATGGCGAGCGCTTTGTCGTATTTGCCGTCGTAGATATACAGAATCGCTAATGCTTCCAACAGTACGTTCTGTCGCTGATTGTGGACTAGTAAATGCTCCAACACGCCGTTAACTACCGCTGCCACTGTATATAAGCTTGGAGACCATTCTTTGACTAGCTGCAGGAAACCGTCGGGATCCATCTTCAGGTACTCGTACAGTACCATCTCGTAGATCAACGGATCGAGGGTGACATCACCTCGAGGCAAATAAGACGAGATAGAACGTAATTGATGCACTCTGGCGAACTTGTAAACCTGAAAAATTATTCACATCATATTTAAAGTATTATTAAAGACCCCACAATCCTACATACCTAAGAGAATCACACTCACCTCTTCCTCCCACAATTTTTTATTTCGTCCTAAAATCTTGAGGCAAAGTTTCCCAGCCTCGTCATACCTTTGATACTTTAACAAATGATCCAAATAAGTACGGCCTACGTACAACAATGTGTGCTTTTTGCAATCTTTGCCGTTTGCTGTTACCGCTTCCAGAGCTTGCTCGAATTTCCCGTGGTTCAACAGCCAATCGATCCTATCGTCTGCATCGTATAAACTGGCTACTACAATGTCTTTTGGACTGACGATGAAAAATCTAATTGAAGAATTTTTTGCATGAGAAACAGAGATAAACATCATAATGACAAACAGCGATAGATAAGAAGGAAATTTCAGTTCCTAGAAAAAGGGATAATCTTTTTATACGTAGAGATATAGTCTTTCAATACTTTGTGTCTGCAGTAAATAATATTCTTTCCCCTTATTTCTGTAATTTTTTTTAGGAAATATCGAGAATAAGAAAGAATTATTTTCAAAGCTATGATCAAGAAGACGTCTATACTGAATTATAATAATATCATTACCACCCACCTGTTTTCTTCTTTTAAACAGTCCAGGTGGTAATCGTTGCAACTGTACTCCTTGTAGCCTCGTAGTGTGAGCGAGTTTGCGCATATTACCGAGAAATCCTGACCATTGGGTTCAACCACATGCAGGGTCGGACGTTGACTTTTTCCATTTTCGTCCAGCGTTTTTAGGCATCCCAGCAATACTAGCTGATTTCCCAATGGCGCTATACCGGATATGTAAAAATCTACTTGGAATGTCGATACTGAAAAGAAATGTGCAATTGTTTACACAGTTTTTAAGTTTACGGAGTCTCTGTTATGATTTAAATCAGATCATATACTGTCTTTAATTTGACACACTCAAGAAATCTAGAAGAAATGCACTCTTCACTGATTACCTGGATCCACTACAAATTCGGGCAAGTCTCGATTTACCATTTCTTGCATAGTACGCTTTCTGATCTGACAGACCCGGACGACGTCCACCCACCCAATTAACAGTGTTTTATCATCCGACCACTGCAGATTACATCTATAATGTTCTGGCGATGCGCTATGTAAAAAAGAACGTTGTATGAGCACGTTGTACGAGATACACAAAATGAGACAGGAAATTTCTGGTTGTAAGTGCATCAAATGCAATCGCTCCAATTAACATTATTTGTGACGACGGCTGCTTTAAAAGAAAACAAATATCCTAGATGATTTTTGTTTCACTTGTAATTCACTTAATACCAAAATTTCCTTGACATGCCTCGTAACACATATGATGTATGCTAATTGATACAAGTGCTTACTCTGCTGTACGAGACCACTTGATCAGTCCCAGTGAACACCTGGCATCGAGGTCGTAAACTCTCACACCAGTATCAGATGCCCAGGCCACGAAGCGACTGGACCAAGCAACAGACCTGACTCCACCCTCTGCCTCACAAAGCACTATTGACTTCATCCTGGCTAGGAAAGTCTTCTCGTAGAGCACCAGTTTGTCATCACCTATGGATTACATGCACTTATAAATATCATTAAAATTTGAAAAAGAAATTAACTTTAGCTAAAAATCTTTAGATGTAAAAAATACTCAATAAAAATCTCATATGTTTAACCTGTAATAAATCTTCTGCCACTGCCACTTTTGTAATAATTTGGATCAATTGCTATACTTTTCACCAGCCTGCCCATACTCATATTATGATTGTTCTCTGTACTATATAGTCCATAGATGAAAACTTTTCCATCATCACTACAAGAAGCAATGAAGTCACCATTATGGTCTATAGAAATCTGATTGACTGCCACTGTGTGTGCCTGTAATGTTTTAGACTTTACATTGTTCCCCTGGTGGTCCAGAAGATGGATCATTCCCCAATGTGATCCTAGACAGAGGAACTAAGGAAAAAAAAAAGAAACAAAACTAATGAGATTAAACAAATAGGACGAAAAATTGAATATTTATATTAATTCTAATCTTCAAAATAACTAAATCACTTACTTCATTTAATTGATTTGAATCTTTACCTTTGGATGTACAGCTATACAGCTGGCTGCGTCATTCTGTAGTATATGTTCCAGATCATTGCGAATCCTCACATACTTAAGTCTTGGTTCTACTTCATCTATTTCTGAAGAATCCGAGTCATCTTGATTATTCTGCTCGTCCTACAAGTAAAATTTCTGTTAATACTGTAAAAATTGCTCCATACATATAGGGTTCAACAATCATTAAACATTGTATTAAAAACAAAAATAATAACCTATTTGATCAAAAAATTTATCAAATTTATCTGATATTAAAAAAAGGAATTATGAGAAAACTCAACATTTAAATTAACTTAAAGGGTAGGAAAATACAACAATATAAACAAAGGACAGTTCAGTAAAACTGCCTAACAAGAGCAACAATAAGACACAATATACATCGTATAAAAATAAAAAAAAAAAGAATTAACAAATTCACGATACTTTACTTTATTCAACGTTGTTTCCATCTTTATTTTTCGGATTCTGTCAACACGACGTAATAAGTTAAGAACTGTCAAAATTTCCAGGTTAGGGTTAGTTTGAGTATTATCAAGAGAAGTTAGGTCAACACTAAAGATACGATCCACTTGAAGCGTTTTGAAGTGCTTAAAAAAAGAATATGATTGGTCTACGCGTCGCTTCGAAACATTTGCAACATAAAGTGGATCCAAAACGGTTGCTTTTCTTTTTTCTCCTAAAGCCCGTATTAAACTACGGATTAGAGATTGATATTGAATTGAAATTTGATCAATTAGTGCAAAGTTCACTAAACTTCACTAAATTTGAATTCAGTTAACTTTGCACTGATTGGCCAAATTCAATTCAATCACATTTCTCAATCTAAGTCTGATACTTGGGTCACGAAGTGGAAAGCACCTATTATTATTGGACATATATTATTGGACATACTGATTGGCTGCCGAAAAATCACTAGACTGCGGAAGCGCCTCAATTTAGGCCTAAAGTCACTAGGATTTCGCGATCATATGTATCATGCGATAATCTATACATGCAAGCATTCGAATTAATTAAAGAAGAAGCAGCAACGATATGTCAGATATTTAGAAAAGTGACAATTATAACGTGAAACAAAATCATTTATAAAAAAGTAATATTGAATGTGTCATTATGTCGCTTGACATTAACGAAAGTTCAAATCACACACGATTATCCTTTTGATTGCAAAATGACGAACAATTTGTTGGTTTTTATCCCTCAAGGACTGCACACCAAGCAGTCCGGCTTTGTTTTTGGCAAAGTGATCCATGACACACATAATAATATGAAAAGAATGTACATTATTGGATTACGTAAAGTAGGTTCTTTAGAATCAACTAAATGCACATTAGACACCATCGGGTGTTACACTAACTCGAGCAATGTGACCAAGGAATTCTTAGATCGAAAGCATTCAGACTGGATACACATTACAGGGAGATCTTCCGGGAATAAAGCGAGAACCGAATATCATCTGACGAATATCATTCTTAACAATGTTAGTGTTGACCTATCGACAACACGTACAATAATTGTATTGTATGACCAGCAAGCTTTGCAAGAAACTGAATTGTTCAAGAGCAAAGCTGTATCAGGTGATCATTTCTATGAGTTGGCGAAGCTTATCCAGAGCAAGAAAGATGAACTGAAAGTCAAAACGAGGTTTACTCGTGTTAAGGAAACTCTGTTGACTTATCATATGCTCTTCTATTTGTATCCAGTTTTATTACTATCCAAAGTGACAGAGAAGTTATTGCTGGTCTTGAAGTATTCTTCTCTTGGCTTACATGTTCACGACTGGTTAGAGAATATCAAATGGATGCTTGTCACTGTCATACGTAACAAGGGTTTCACATTAAAGACAGGAAACTATGCATGGGCGATGATAATAGATGTTGCATTAGGAATATTTGTTCTAAGGCTATTGCAGTATCGTATTGAGGATACATTGTCTTCACAATTGCTTCTGAACAATGCAGAGGCAAGTTTGAAGATACATAATAATATGTGCAGAGATAATTTATATTTGTTGTTTACTTAGCAAAAATATAACTTCAAGTGACTTGAGAATCTGACAAGAGCTTGTTTTCTTGAAATTAAAATTTGCTCAGGATAAATCAAGAGATAAAACTAAAACTACATAAATATTTCCCATATTACATAAAGTTTGACATTATAAACCTGCAAAGTATGTTTAATATTATCTATTTTGGTCAGCTTGGAAAATTGCAATGTTGACTTTCTAGAAAGTTGTAGAGACACTGAAGGATCTGATCAATTGGTTAATGGGTGTGCCAGCTGGTTTGAAGCTTAATCATGCTCTGAATAATACAATGGGCAAGTTCTTCATGTATCACATACAACTCTGGTGGACATTTTTGATATTTTCAAAGCCGCTTATGGATCTTGCATTCAAAATATTACTTTTGTTCGGAAAGTTGGGCGTCACGTTTCAATTATCCATCGCTGCAGATCTCTTATCTCTTGTCAGCTTTCACACATACTGCATCTATGTTTATGCAGCAAGGTATTTTTCGAGAAAATTCTATAAAATTTTTATACACTATCACGTGATACATTTGATAAATAAACACGAAATTATATAACTTGTTGCAATTGACTTAAAAAGATAAATTTATTTCAGACTTTATAACATACAATTGAGAGGTATCACAGCTCTCTTCAGACTTTTCCTTGGAAAGAAAAAGAATCCTCTACGTGAAAGGGTGGACTCTTGTCAATATCAAACGGACCAATTGTTTGTCGGAACGTTATCGTTCACCATTCTTGTGTTTTTAATGCCAACAACCTGGGTGTATTACACAGTATTTACACTGGTAAAGTGCTCTGACTTCCACTTTCTTAAATCAAGTCTATTATGCAATAATATTTATCACATGATTGCAGCTCAGGCTAATATCCATTGGATTCGGTGGCTTGTTAACACGATTGAAGTTTTATTTACAAGTTATGCCAGTTTATACCCTCTGGCAGTGGCTATTGCGCTCTTACAGCATTTGTAGTAAGGAACATAACACGTATTATAGTTTAGAAGGAAAATAATTCTTTGCCCGATACATCTAATTAATATTGTGAATAATGATAATAATGATTTCCTCCTAGACACCGTTGATGTTAGATTGCATCCTATCTGCCCGGAAAAACCAACTACATTATCAATGACTTTGGTCATCGCGCCTTGGTCCCATACATGGAAGAAGTGTGTTCCAGACACGATTACTTGTCATCCATCCATTGAGTGGCGCACAATATTGAATAACATCATGTGGGGCCAATTATTGTACCCATTATGAACATTTAGTAATAAATGTTAATTATATATATTTATTAACAAGTGTTCATTACAGTATAGCGAACAAATATCGTATGTTATACATAATAAATGAAATTATTTTACAAAATTAATTACAATAGTATTTGTAAGAAGCTTTCTACTTTGACGAAGATTTCATAGCCTGTTTTTTTTCATATTCTTTTCCAATTCGCTTCAGACTAGTGTCTAAGTCAACATAAAGCAATTCGTCAATGTCATTCTCTTCTCTCAATATACAGAAATAAATTAGAAAGGTAGATATGCTAAGAACTACAATTATTGGTTGATATTCAGGTATATCATCTATATATGGGATACGATACTCATCAATTCTCATTCGAGAAGCTTTCGATTGAGAGTATTTAATAGGACGATACAATTCAGGATCCTCAGTTTCATCTGCCATGTGTTGATTTGTTGTAGTCTGCTTATGTTTAACATCGAGTATAGCCTGTGGTACATTATACCTATAATGAGAATAAATATTGTTAAAATTATTGTACACATACAAGATCATTCAGTAAATTTCAGTTTTCTCTTTCCAACACTTCACAGCTTACTATAGAATAAATCATTGTTTGTTTTTTGCTAAATAATAATATTGGTTCTTCTTATTATCATTGCAAAATCTAGCGTAACTTTATTAGAGTTGAGCAAGCCAAACCGCGTTGACAACACAAAGAGTATTATTTAATTACGTTTCTGTTTCGTAACAACGATATAAATTGCCACTAAATTTTGACAATAACAACACTTCGAACAACGTTGTAATGGTGAAATTAAAAAAATAGCTCTTCAGCTTTCAATTACCTTTTAAAAAGCACACTCTTATTCCACGGTAAAATATTCTTAGTAACGTTGCGTAACATAATGTAATATCGAATGGATAAAGTCGAAATTAATCACACTTGTGAAAAACACTTATTTCCCTTTTACTTTATTATTACCGCAGTCATCAGTTATTCTCAAGCTTGGTTGCTATTTTCTGCAAACATTCCGGGAAAACCAATGAGCTCTGTAATATGCTAGAAAGCATACGCACTCAATAACAATCGAGCTAGCCGGTTAAACAGGAAGTATCTCTATAGGGTATGCGTTATCTCTCTGATGTTCTGTAAGCTGTTAGCTCAGTTTGACGTTCGATGTATTAATTATTTAACCGAGAATTTTTCGTGGGTCTGTTCCCCTGCTGACTTTTTTTGCAGACCAGTTAATTTCCATAAAATCTTACGTTTTCATCCTTTTTTTGAAGAAAAAAAAGAGACCGTTTGAATTTAGCGGAAAAACTCCATGTTGATTTAACTCCCTCACGCTTCTACTAGATCGCGCTCGTTCAGGTCGTCGTAAATAATACGCAAGTCTGTCTATCCTAAGCTGTCATCAACTTGTGTCTGCACAACGTCCAATGAAGTTCTTGTAACATCGGTAATGTCTTTTTAATCGGACGTCGGAGGATTTTCGGCCGAACAGCTGGGCTTAACGGGTTTTTCGTGCGTGTCCGACGATATTTGGATTACTGCATTTCACGCATTCCTATCGTCACATATTATAATGCCACGAGGTAAAGTAACACATCGTCGCGTCTTCACTGCGTCTTTTTTCTCTTGTTTATTCCCGAGGAAGGTTTTCTCCTCGTGTCTTCACGTCTTCGTGTCCCAATAAAAACGCAATTCTTAAGCCAAGACTCGTCATTACGATCGCACTTTCTCATCATGTAGGAAAGTTCGTGAATCATAAAGGCAGAAACCGGCACTTTACGAGCCCGGAAGAACTAGAGGAGCAACGACGCCAGGAGGAGAAGAAGCAGCAGTGGAGAGTCAGTATTTTTAGGTTAACCGACATCGCGTGGCTATTTAGATACCGTCGTTGACTGTGTAAGCTTTTAACGCTTGAGATTTAGCCCTTTCATGATTGACTTGTGAAAAATTAGAAAATGAGATATTTGGTAAATATGTATATCGTATAGGTATAGAGTTATAATTTTGTTATATGCTGTTAAGAGAATAGGACACTTGCAAAACTAAAATATATATTATTCATTTAGGTATTTATTTGGTTTTATACCATTTAAATCTCAATATACAAATTTCCACAGGATATCCTCGGTTTGATCTCTATAACTTTAATTTATTTCAATCATTGAAGAGTATTGGATATTTGTGTGATACTATCTAGAATAATACTTGTAGAATGTGTAATCTGTTTATTTTATAGAAAAATAAGGGACAGGAAAGTTCTAGTGAAGAAGAAGATGATGAAGAACCCAAAGCCAGTGGAGCCAATAGGTCAAAGAATCTTAGCGCAACAGATAGTGAGAGTGAATCAGAATCAGATTCGGAAACGGAGGTACTATGGTCATAATAAATAAAAACATAAATAAAAGTTTCAAATACAATTGGAATTACACTTAAAATTTCACACAATCCTAAAGTCTCATTAAACATTTCATGATTCTGTCTTTACAGGGAGGAAAAGCTAAAGGCGTAGAGAATCTAATTCAGGTAGAAAATCCAAACAGGGTACAAAAAAAAACAAAAAAGTTGTCGCAGTTGAATCAGTCGCTCGATGCGAAACCAGAACTATCACGAAGAGAGAGGTATGTAGTTCTGTAATCATCATAATAAATATGATTCTAAGGTCAATGCGAGTCAGCAGGTATAATTTTTTATGTATTGTACCATAGTGTTAAAATTATATTAAAACTTTTCACAATAAGATTTTCGTAAAAGAACGCACGGTTGCGGATACAAATTTTACTGTACTTTGTAAGATTTTTCTGTAGTCTCTCCAGACAACATTCAAGTGGTTGTCTTATCTTTACTACCAAAGCTAAGCTCAAATTTTACTTTTCAGGGAACAACTTGAGAAACAGAAAGCGTATGCAAATTATCAGAAATTACATGCAGCCGGTAAAACAGATGAAGCTCGAGCGGACCTGGCTCGATTAGCCATAATTAAGCAGCAGAGAGAAGAGGCAGCGAAGCGACGGGAGGAGGAGAAGAAACAGAAAGAACAGGCGCAACAGAGGAAGACCGAACTGACGCAGAAAGCACTAGGAAAGAAGTCCTAGAACGAGGGTTAATGAAGAGAAATGATCATTGCAATATTAATATCCCAACGTCGGTTCCCATACCGATGGGATACTATTAAAGATCGGCGGTCTTACGGAAGTGCGACATGCATAGCTGTTGATGGCAGCGTTCAGCGAACACAACGATTTAAGTACTCGACTTTTGGAAGATTAATATGATCCCTAAATTAGTAAAAGAAGACGAATGAGAATAACGACAACGTAGATCTAAAAGTATCCACCAAACATAAAGAATTTTTACCGAACGTTTGTACAACCGTTGTGTTCGCTGAACGTAGCCAAAGTGATCGCGCGTTTAGAGAACTTTAGATACATCGGAAAACACAGACGATTACGACACTACTATATTGTTATCCTCGAATCTTTTTGGCAATCTTCAAGTTTTAATCAAGACCGACGATATTTTAATAGTGCCTCGTCAATGATACCTCATCGAGTTTCGACTATTAATAAAACACGATTAACTGGTTCGTGCGTTCGCTATAAGATGGGTATACAATGTACGAACGAATAGCGATTTCGAGTTTTCGCTGTTGCAATTGGGAAGGTGCGTACACCGTTTAAAAACTAACACTTCTTTCTTACATTGTAGTTTGGGATGCAGCTGATGGTCAGATGAGAGAGTTTATTTTGCGAAGACGAATTCTATCATTGCATCATCGTTTGCGTTCCGAAACTGCATCGAAAATAAAGCGTTTAAAACGTATTTTGAAACTTAGAGTATACGTTATAACAAATGCGAATAAAACATTCGATTCGCGTTCAATCCGATTTGCATGTGAAGTGGTACATCAAAGCGAGCTCGTGTGAACGCGAATGTACGTTCATTGTTCGTTATTGTTGCTGCAAACTTGTACATAGTTTCACTGTCATAAGTAAACTATGTACAAAACGAGTCCTCGATAATGCTGTTCGATGTGAATCAGATGTATCTCTGCATCTTACATATTTAAATGTAATGTACAAATTATTGTGTCGTCCGAATTTTTTACTTTCACCGCAAATATCGAATCTAGTCGATATGAGACGCGAAGAAAACCAACCCAAATACAAACGTACGAACATTGAAGTTCGCTGTTTATTCGTTGTTCGTTCGCTAAATACATACTCATCTATATACGTTTTACGGCACGCTAATTAACCATTGTTTATATAAATACAATTATTTGCAATTACATCTATTAATATTAAATCCAGCCTGGCACGTCAATCATATTTGTCAATGACCCGCTTAGATCTAAAGCTATTGTAAGCAATATACAGAATGATTCCGTTACTAACGGCCATTTGTTTTATTTATGAATTTTGTTACAATTTTAAAGAGTTTATTACAAACTCAGCACTTGTACACTCGGTCATGGAACGGTTGCGACAGTTTTTGTTTCTTATATTTCGGAACACAAAAATTATGACGAAGCGAACCTATGAATTGACATTGATCATGCGCAGTAGGTGATCTGTCAAATTACATATACAAGGTGTGTAGGCATAAAGAAAAATAATAGAGCAATATATTAGTTTCCGCGTACTTAACATGCAAAAATGCGATATAATTTATAAATATAATCCTAATTTTTCAGTTTTAATTTTCTTGTATTAAATCGTGTATAACTAATATATTGCTCTATTACTTATCTTTATGCCTACACCTTGTATATGTAATTTGACAGATCACCTACTGCGCATGATCGTCAATTCAAAAATTCGCTACGTCATAATTTTTGTGTGTCCCGAAATATGAGAAACAAAACAAAAACTGTTGCAACTGTTCTGTGACCGAGTATACAATCACAGATTATGTTGGAAATTCTATCGAGTTTGAACCAGGTTTCTTGTGACCGACGTGATATTGTTCGTATTGATACTGGAACGTCATCTATACTCGCCACATCACGACTTAACTGACACCGTGTGACATGTTTGTCCTGTAATGCAGCCCTTACAATTTGTCAGTCTGTCATCACGGGCTGAGGTGCTCCTTTAGAGCCCCGGATTCTGGTCGACAGGCTGCCTCCTCTTGGCATTGGTCTCCCAACATCTACCAGTCACGATCTGAACGTCTTGCGATAAATAAATAGCAATTCTCGTCGTGAACCACCCACCCTCCGCCAGACCAATAATCTAGTTCCTTTTAAATTCAATCAATTGTGTGAAAAGTTATCTCTGACATCCTCCCAGCACCGTCACTGCCGTGTTGTTGACAGTACTCAACTGATTCGTGGCTGTCGCATGCGGATACACTTGTGCACTAAACCGACAGAAATCCTGTCGTCGTCAAAATGGCGCCTGCGCTGCGCCTTCCCAGTCGTCTCTATGGCAATCATGCATATGATCGCGTACTACTGAGGACAAAAGAAATGTATTTCTGTAATTTTGGACTTAATTAGATAAGACCTTTCGAAGGTGCGTTCCACTTAACGCACGCAATGATTGCGAGCATCGTTCTGTCTTTGTTTAACATCTAAGAGAAACAAGGATCGAATGATGCTCGCGATCATTGCGAACGTTAAGTGGAACGCACTTTGGGGCGACATTTTTAGTAGCCTTTAATACATATTAAATATTATTTAATAATATTCAGACACGATGTGTGTATGTGCATAGGTTTCTACGGGATTTTCTAACGTATCTTTAGAATTCAATGGCAACTTAATTTATTTTCAAATAATATTTCTACGACTGATTAAAGCACCATTTTTCATTTGTTGCGAATATTGTTAGATATGACTATTTTGGCTATTGAATAAAGAATTTCTAAAGTTTCTAACCTTTTTTACCGGGTACCGTAGGAATTTCTTATCCGACAGCCGGCAATACTAATTTTACAACGAATGAAATTACGCCCATTCAGTCGGATCTCCATTTTCAAGTAGTGTGACTCAATGGTAGGACAAGACCTGTTTATTTTCAAATACGATTCAAGTGTAGATCGGGAAGATTTGCAGTTTCAAATAGTACGGTTCAACAATGGATTAAACGGATCCTTATTTTTAATGTAGTGCTTCTTAATTATTTACAAGTTTTACTAAATATATACATATATATATATATATATAGGTATAATACTTAATTGAAGGCGCGAATACGTAGTCCGCGTATGCCATTTGTAAAAAACTTCACGTTTGGTTAGAATTGTTTCCGTTTGAGACTAACCTACATGGAGACATCGTCATGATTCATACAATGTCAAAGTGTTAGTTGTCATATATCCCTTACATGTCTCATACGTGGTAGCGTCAGGTGATGTCCAAAATTGTAGTTGATCACAGACTACGAGTAGACACGAAAGTAAAAAATGGCGTTGGGAATTTGGAAATATATTCTGACTTGTATCGTCATAAATTCAGGTAAGTACAAGCTCATACTTTACGCGCCTTCTCAACAACAAAATCAACATTAAGGAATGAAATCTTAGTGGTCAGCGAGAGGATAAAGGATATGATTTACATGCCTTTGGAAGGTGCGGCTGCTTGTTTCCGAAGACACAATGGCACACATCAGTTTGGATGTTCTTGTAAGAAGTTAAATCTGCCCCTTGATTTATTATTACCATAATTATCAATCTAGATCGGGTATGACGAGCGACTGATTTTTACGGACAGATATGTGCAATGTTTCGTTTGCTTTCAGCTAGTAGATCAGGCAGCGTAGGTGTTGTGCATCTACTTGAAGTCGATAGTGATCTTATTTGGATAGAAAATAATGCCACCGCAGGTCCGTACACTGTGGTTGTGCCGTTTTCAATGTTCACCAGCAACACGCTCGTGAGACTGCGAAATACAAATAATATAAATGGAGTATTGTTAGCAAGGAATATCAGCCGAGATCGACCATCCAGTTATTCACCCGAAGACAAATGTCCGAATCGGTATTCTGGTTATAAAAAATGTAACGATGTAAAACCATGGAATCCCTTTGGGTCTGCGTTGCTCATGGAGGACTGGCCGTTCCCCATGTTTTATACAGATGTAAGATTATGTCTGCAAAAATGTACATCGAAAGAGGGAGAGAGAGAGTGTGTGTACGTGTCAACGTGGTGTGTGCGTAATGAATATTAAGTATTTGTAAACATTGTACTTGTAGAATCAGACGGTGTTGGAAGCTATAAAGACCTGTTTCTGGGCGCACAATGCCCACGACCTCGAGACGCAGTATCAGAGATCGTTGTGCGCACTCGAGATGAAGTCGTTCATGTATGCCGCCGTCAACTCGGAATCTTGCATAAGGCGTACCGACTTCAAGCTGAATTTCAATCCGACGCAATTCTGCGACCCGCTCGGCGACAGGAACATACATTGGCCTCTGGCGCCTCTCGACGAAGCTAACAATACAGTAATAATGGTGACAGCACGCTTGGACGCATCGTCGTTATTCGACGGGATATCGCCCGGCGCAGGTAACGCCGTGACGGGGCTCGTGACGTTGCTCGCCACTGCGTACTATTTGAATTTCTTGAACGCCACCGTCGACAGTAAGTATCGATCATGGGGAGAACTGCTGCGAGATCTCTAATTACAGTGTGTATACGTGTTTGTTACCGTTTTGCTCAGAGACGAACGTGGTCTTCTCTTTGTTGAACGGAGAAGCGTTCGATTATATCGGATCTAGTCGTATGGTGTACGACTTGAAGCAAAACAACTTCAACGCTCTCGGCGGCACGAGCTTGAAACTCGACGACATCAAGAGCGTGATCGAGTTCGGCCAGTTGGGCAAGGGGGAGATATTTCTCCACGTGAGCGGCACGAACAACGACACGATAGGCCGCCTGCAACAGGCGTTGAATGTCTCTTCGGACGAGACGTACAGCGACAGTGTCCCGCCGACATCCGTGCAGAGCTTCCTCGAGGCGAGGCCGAATCTCACGACCGTTGTGATAAGCAACCACCGCAAGCAATTCACGAACCCGTACTACAACGGTATCTTGGATGACGCGGAGAGCCTCGATTTCCACAGGTATATGTCTCTTCATCCTCAACGTGGATTCCTCACCTGCTTCCGCGTTACTCGATGAACATATCGTATTCATACAACCACATATTTATGTCCTACCGTGTGCACTACAATTGTTCAATCATGTTTTAGAAACGATACTAGCGCGCTTGCATCCGATTTAGCGAAAATTGCTCTTCAGGTGGCTAATGAGCTTTACCGAGAAGTGACGGGAACAGAACCGGCGCCGCAGCCCGACGCACGATCTACCGTGGAAGATCTCGTCGCGGATATGCTGCATTGCTACTTGGAGAGCGCCAAGTGCAATCTCTTCCGCGCCGCTTCGGTTCCCGGTGTTAAGTTGATCAATCAGGTACTGTCGCTCTATGTCGGTGTGCACAGAGCACCGAATGTCGCCACGAGCTTGACCGGCCAGCTCTTGGCCTTGCTCACCGGCGAGAAGCTCTACGACATGAACGAAACTACGTGCCACGAGAATCGCCTCGCTTGGATGGGCGGGCCCAATTTCACGGGGCTGTGCATTAATTCGACCGTCAATTATAGCGCCGCTGTGAGCCCGGCGTTCATCATCGCAGGTAGGTCGTTAATACCGGCGACGGATAGAAGACTGATTCGGACGGACAGTCTCCTCCAACTCTGTGTTACTCTGTGTCGCAGGATATAACATGAAATCGGGTGTCTATTCGACTTGGACGGAATCCATATGGCAAACGCTGAGCGTCAGGTTGTTCCTGAAGCCGTCGGCGGCGACGGAACGTTTCAGTATGATTCTGGGCAGTTTGGTCGCCGGCACCTCCTTCGTACTGGTGTGGTTCATCAATAACCGAGCTGATGTGTTGTTTAACTCGAGGTTCGTATCACGCACGTAACGCACGATGATTTCATTATCGCGTATTAATGCGACATTTCGCTTTAGGAGAACGATCGAATGCTAGGGATGCGCCGCGGACCACATATCACTGACTAGCTTAGACCACCATTGTGAAGACCAAGGTGTTCTAGTAACTAGCCTTTAATCGTATGTGTGGTACGCCCTCGGATGACGATTCCCCCCCAACTCGATAATCAAACAATTCGGACGCCGCGTTATCGTTCTAATTACTCTTATTTATCGTTATTGTATTTTACACGCCACCGTAAATCCGACCTTGAAAGTCATTGCCTCGAACTTATGATATGCGAAGCCAGAATGCGAGCACGCTATTTATTTTAATGTAAATTATCAATCCTCTTACTTTTTCCCCCGCGTCTCTCCCTTCTTCTTCATAATAATGTTCGATTTGCGCATCGTCCAAATTATTTATGAGATTTTGCATTAAAAAGGCACGAATGTGACGAATGGAAAACTTGGTAGATTAATGGCTTTGTACATATCGCGTTGATAAGATTTCTAATAAGATAGAGTTAAGAGTTCTCACAAGCGGATTATACTTTCGATCATTGGTTATACGAATTAGTTACCTGTTTAACGCTAGGAGAATCAACCAACACATGTAAATCTGTAGTATGGGAAAATATATATGAGAGAATCGCTCTCATACATCAACGTTTGAGAGTTTCATATTCTTATGAATGCATCATAAAAATGTGCAGAATTATTTTTACGTCAAATTTGGCTCAACTCCGAAGGCTCAAGTTTCTTTCTAATAAATGTTCACTTTGCGCACTTTGTTACTGCTTTTTGTTAAAACCGTGAAAGAATATAGTTAGAAAAAATATATATATAATTATATAGTTATGTATATAAGTATATAGTATATGATGATACGGTGTATATTTTTTAACTATATTCTTTATATGTGTATAAAATAAATACATATATAAGTATATATATGTATATATGTTTATATACATATATAACATACACATTAACAGTATTAATATAGTTGCGGTATGAATAAAAAGGAAATAATGCAAGCGTGATGGCGTTTATTATCGATAAACAACTTATTTAACAGGGCTTTGATGTACACGAGAAAGAAGTATTTAATTTATATATCTATGCTTCTTTTTTTTTTTAGTATGCATGTAAATATGTAATATGTTTCATTTACGGCGTAAAATTTGGACAAAGTTAGGAATGGGCAAACTCTTCACCTTTCAGAAGACGGATTTGGATATCGAGAACTGTACAATACAAATATACGAAATTACGAAAACAATTCATTTCCATTGCGTATTTACGTCATACACAAATACTGCGGACGTTCTGTCGGAACTTAGGCGAAAGCGACTTGCTATTTCGTATTAGCGATCGATGCGAAGGCAACGTCACCTTTCGCAAAGTATATTCGTGCGTAAAAATTCGGACGAAATCATCGAAGGACGAAGTCCCGGGTCGAGTCTGAACGGTCGCGTAACCAACTGTTACAGCCATCACACACCGGAAAAAAGCTACGTGTTTACACCTCTTCTCACCCATTCCTATCTTTTTGTTTCATTTTTTTTTTCATACTTTTCCTTTAAATCTAGTTTTCGATAGATAAATTTCGCATCGACGTTAAATGCGGCGAATGTTTTACGTTCTCTAACGTACGAAGAGTCCATATGCACGCGTCGTAATATTTTTTTTTTATATGGACATACCCATGTGAAGAAGAAAAGAAACGAGTTCGCGTTTACGTCTAAATGAAAATATGCCAAGTTTACAGTCACATGTCACTGGGTCTCCTCTTTTAGCCGCGCTCGCGTGCATATGGATGAGAAAAAATCGTTTCCACCGCAACATGCACGTCCCCGACACACGTTCAACCTCTTCGGTAATCGTTTTTCTTACGCTTTCTTCAACTAACTTTTTCAGTATACAAGGATGAAGTAGGAGGCTGGGCACCGCCCACCGAATTATCACAGTCGTCTGGTGCCGCAGCACATACGTATACGTGGTTCAGCCTTATGACCTACCTCTTAATCTAGCGTTAATCTTAAGTTCGACTTACTTCGAGGAATACAGTATAGTCCCGTACGAGGTGGTTCGTTAAAGCAATAACTAACTAGAGAAACGATTATTATTTCTTCTTCATACGGTTGGACTACGATTGCGTACGTTATTGCTCGTTGCAAACGGTCGCGTCAACGATAGCAGATGCGGAGGAAATGCACCCCCTCCCCCCCCCCATCAGTGTGAAGCCGAGGGCTTCCCTTTTCTTATTTTTTTTTGCTCATTTCTCTTTGAATTAGAAGAATAGTAATGTGAGCATAGAAACGCCTAGACACACGCTATTCCCTCGTCCGTCCGTTCTGCAGAATTGGTTACAGCCGATCGTTTTTATTACTTTAAGCGAACTGATGTCGCAGCACCGTATATGGAGCTATACTGTCAGCTGTCTGCAACTGATGATATCGTTTTACCGCGAGGTTTCATCGCTGTAGAGACGTAGCGATTTGCGTCGCGCGACCTCACACACACGATGATATATATATATATCGTGATCGGAGTTGTACGAGTTTATCACACGCGAAAATCGGCATGTTCAAGAGAAGAAAGAAGAAAGCGCGTACAACACACAGACGGTTCGTTCGATCTGAATCACTCGCAAGCTACTAATGGAAGCACTCTGTCAATCGGCTATGTACATCGGGAGACTCAACGTAAGAGAGAAGATTATCGTATAAGTACAGGGGGGGAAGAAAAGTAATATTTGGCTACTTAAGGCAACCTCGCTCCGACAGGCTACTTCGTATGACACATTTTTCCTGGTACGATCGGATGACTAGTGTTCGGTTTACTTATCGATAACTGATTTCGCGATAAAATGACACGATGATGTGTGACACACGGGCGGAACTGAGGTGCGAACGCGAAGCCGAGGTACAGTAAGTTTCTACATTTCTCGCTACGCTTCTTGATTCTTCTCAAAGGCAAGATGATCGACGAGGCTTTTCTACGGAATACAGTCAGCCTGGAGCAACTAATCCTCGAGCTTACGTTTATCGTATTACGTCGAAACCTAACACTGTAACAAGGTAAAACGGTTTTCAACAATTTAAATCTCGATGGACGGAACGCGTGGAAATGATGAGCTCGGGAAAAGCATAAATACACGCGTAATATATATGTGCATCAGGAAGAACAGTATGTACACGAGTATATATGTTCAGCGGAAACAACCACGGTCTCTCTCTCCGCGGGTGGACATCGAGACTCGTCGGAAGTTCGAAATGAAAGGAGCTTCCGCGTTCGAAAGCACGCGAAAGAAAATCTATCTGCCGTTGACAGTAAAACGTAATGATCACATGTAGACAGCCAAGTGTATAAACATTAGTATCCTAAAAATGGCGTGTACGTTGTCGAATATTCGTCGTTTTTTTCTTTTTCTTCAGTTATAAGAAAAGTATTAACGCTTCTTCTTCAAGTATTTAGTAATATTTTCTCCTTTGCTTTCTCTCTCTCTCTCTCTCTCTCTCTCTCTCTCTCTCTCTCTCTATCTTTTTCTCTCTCTCTTCCTCTCCCCCTTCCTTTCTTTTTCACTAACAGTTCCGCATGTAATATATACAGTAGTATCATGTAACGTGTAGTACACGCGTAGGGACGACACTTAGAGTTTAAAAATATAATCGTCATATATTTAAAGTATTATATCATCATTGTGTTGTGTTGTTGTTGCTGCTATTGTTGTTGTTATTACTATTATCATTATTATCGTCATTATTACAGTTATAATTATAATTATTTGTAATATTACTGTTATTATTATTTTTATATTTTATTATTAATATTAATATTATTATTATTATTATCATGGAGGGACAGCGCTTCGCTATGCCACGACACTGCAGAGCTGAACAAAGACTAAACGCGGAAGTTACCACGCTCTTTAATGGCACGAAAAGTACAATTAATATTGCGTAAACTACAAAACAACATGTCTTCATCTAATTTGGAAATCAAGCGGATCACCTCGCTTACACGTTATTTTTTTGCTAATGTGCCACATAAAACGTCTGATCGAATGAACCTTACAGTTTGTAAGCTTTAGTTGGCACTGACCTGAGTAGTCACTGCATTCTCATTGTCCATATTACTTCGCCACAAGCGGGTTACAAAATACAAAGCGGATCAACGAATTCTCCTATCCCAAAAAGGATACGCGAATTATAATTGCGAACAAAAAAGTACGCAAACACCGGCATCTCGTCATAATAATAATGATGGATTATTGTAATGGAAGCAGTACAAGTATTAGTTATAGCGATAGCGACAGCGGTAGAAGGAGCAATAGTACTAATAATAACAGTATTAGTAGAGTAATAGTAGAAGTAATAGTATAGTAGTAGTAATAGTAGTATAGTAGTGGTAGTGGTAGTAATAGCGATAATGGAAGGAATAGCGATAGTAGTAGTGATACTATTACTAGCGATAATAATAATGTAGTAATAGTAGTAGTAATAGTAGCAGTAGTAGTAATAATAGAAGTAGTTATAGTAGCAGCAGTAGTCGTAATAGTGGGGTAGTGGTAACAGTAGTATTGATCGTAACAGTAGCAGCGATAACGTAATAATATTGTTCGTGAAGCTAACAGAAAACAAAGATTTGATTTTGTCTGTTTTGTTTTATTGTTTTTTTTTTTTTAACGAAACGTTAATGTTTATATATATATATATATATAATATATATATATACATATATATATATACGAGAAACCGATACTCATCGACTAAGACCTATTGGTTTATCATAATCAAGGTTGCAAGGTAATGCAAGGAAGAAGAGAATTTACATCATATTATTACATGTGTACAATTGTACAAACGTACAATTAAAAAATAATAAACTACCGAGACTAAGCGTTTCTTTTTTTTTTTTTT